TTTATATTTATATATATATATATATAACATAACTTCGTAATCATGAACGATAAGATGAAAGAAATGATTTTAAATTTAATATAAGTAACATGAAACTGTAATGTTTTCAGACACATTTATTTGAATAGTACCATTTTTAATCAAATGTATAGAATTAAAAGAATTTGTCATAATATTTATTTATCGAAAAATAATACGAACTCTTCTAAACTTTAATAAAAAAAATAAAACAATGCACATCCAACTAATATATTGAAATTCTATTAAAATCATTTGCTAATTGTATGTTACTATTAATAAATTTATTATAATTTTCTTTGACTTATTTAAACTTAATTTATATTTTTACCACGTGCAAAACCAGATTGAGTAAATCACCGACTAAAAAATCTTCTATTATATATATATATATAGCTTATGTTAAAATATGTTCAATTCCATATAAGGAAGCAGAAATGATTTTCCTTAATGCGTAAGGATACAAGGAATGTACGAAGGTGCCTTTTTACCTCTAATCTATGTTGGTATAAAACCTAAGAACGCATAGTTTTGCGTGTCCTTTTCATCATAATGTGATCTTGATAAGCTGTACCGGGATTGTCCGGAGTCTTGTCCACTCCCCCCTCCTTCGCAGGAGTGGGGACGTGACTGTTATCGATACCAGCTATATTTAAATAAACCTGTTTAGAACGTATGATGGCTTAAGACTGCAATTATTTCAAGCTAAATACAACACTGATAACAGAGTTGGAGCCCTGTTATTACATATATATATATATATATATATAGCTTATGATGAAATAGCAATGAAAAATCTAAAAAACAAAATTGACAATTTGCCTTTTTATTTTGAACAATTGATTTAAAATACATATCTAGAGTAGACTGCTTCAGTCAACAAACTATAGACTGAATTAGGTAGATCTTTACTTTAAAAAAGGCATAAATGTCTATGACGGGAATGGTAGGACACAAATTTTTTTTTTTGCTAGAAAATGAAATAAAGAGCACTATTTTTCTGACGTACTTTATAACAGTAATGTTGATTTTAATCGTAAATTATCAAGCAGGAAAATAAAGGGAACTGATAGATATGAGGTAAAAAAAAGATGCAATTTTTGAAGAGTGCAGTAGAATTTCTAAAAATAACTTTACTTTCGTTAGGAAAAAGAAAACTTAGGTGATGGTCACCCACACATTGCTTTACAAAAATAAGAGGTTAAAAATGCCGATATTCGTTCTTCACTTTGCTGTATGTCATTCCGTATAGTATATTCCATTAAGAAAAAAGTCTTCCATTTACACATTTTACGTATAATATTACCCACATAAGCACAGTTGTATTGCAAGTTCATAGTATGACCTTGATAAAATGAGAATCTTATCAATTTTAATTATAAATAGATGTTTTGATGTCTGATTTTTTCAAAATTGTAATGGAAATATTAGAAATTCAAATAATTTCTTTTAATTTTGTAGCTGACGCTCTCATAGTTCTGACGCTCGAATTACTACAATATATATATATATATATATATATTCAACTATTAGAAACAGTCTAATAGTTAAAAGAAATATCCGTTCGATTATATTTAGAAATTTCTTTTCATTCATATTCAAAAATTTGAAAATAATTGATTTTGTAAATTAAAGAAATTTAAATGATGAATAACTGTTTCTCTTAGACCTAAATAACTGCATATTAGAAAAATTGTTTGGAAATGAGCCATGTTTGGAAGATTTTACCTTTAACGCAGAAAAAGATACATGTGTTTTATACTGTATTTCATAATCATAGATAAATAAAATGCTAAATAGAATTTTCACTTATTTTGATCTAAATTAATACACAATAATAGAAAAAGTAATGAAAAATATGCTTAGTAAAAATTCAAAATCAGTATTTACATTAAATCTAATTAAACACAGATTGTTACGAAATCGCCGCCTTTACCCATATATTTTGCATTCTTATTAGGTATAAAAATCACGGTCACATTTAAAGTCGAAAAATTTACATTTAAAAAAATAACAATAAAAAGTTATTAAAATCGGATGAATCGGTATCAAGGACAATCACCACGTGGATACAATATTAAATCTGAATTTTGTTTTTCAACTTTAAATACCTTTAAAGCTTTGACCAATGTACCAATTCTGGTGGCCAAGTTAAAAGCGATTCAAATTTGACAAATAATAATGAAATAAACTGACTTTGATGATTTCAATTCTTCGCTTGTAATGAACAACTTTGATTGTTCATAGTCACTTTTTTCCTAAGGTTCCCGTTATTTTCTTATTAAAAAAAAAATAAATAACACGATTAAACGATTACATAAATATTTTATTTAATACAATATAGCAAGAATACTTCCTCAAAGTTTTTTTTGCAATTTATTGTCCTTGAGCTCAATTTATTTCACGAGATAGATCAAGTATAAATTTTACTTTTTTTTTAATACAACTCTGCCCCCCCCCTCACCTCCCTCCAAAACAAAAAAAAATCTGATAGTGTAGATAACAACCACTGCATCGATCCATTAAAATAATAAATCATTGAATATTCTTTTAACAGGTAAGTTTATTTTAACCTTATTACAAAATATGTCAGGGTGTTTAGTGAGAAGACATTTTTAAATTCCCTGACAGTATATAGATCTTATACCTGAATATTCCCTGATATTTCGCTGTAAATCAAAAATTCTTCCTCTATCGCACAGATAATATGCAATATTAAATTTTATTTAAAAAAAAATTATAATTTAAGATATATAATCAGAGTAAAAAAAAAATATTGATGGACAGTTTAATAGTATAAAATAAACACCATGTATTTGAAAATAAAGCAGGTTTCATTCTATATCTAAAAAAGGGCATCATATCCCTTTCAAAAATAACTTCCATCATAAAAAGGAGTTGCATTTTACAAAAATTTGCATCGGTTTTATGCAGCCCAAAATATACCAAGTCTATAATCTTATCATTAAAAAAAAATCTTATTTTCAAAGGGATTATTGAACTTAAAATTAATTTTGCAGAAAAATTAGAGCATTCACTAAACCGGTTTTAAAATTAGCGTAATTCTCGTATTTTAAAAAATGTTGCTTGTCGTTATGACATATTAAAAATATCGAGATTTTAAAAAACGATATTAAAATGACTGAAAAAACAATAAGTAACAGTAAGAACTGCTGAAAGCGTGTAAGAATGTCATTAGTACTAAAATACGAAATTCGATAACCATTCACTCGTATTAAAAATATTGGAAAAGAAAAAAATCAACTGAAATAGCTGGAGGAAAAAAGACAAATGTCTGCTGAAAAAAAAAAAAAAACGACCCTTAAATTACGTAGATTTACGATAAAATCATTGTGAATTGAGTGAGTCAAAAGTGACTCCTTAAATTCAAAAGGCACACTTGTCATGATAATATCGTAATAAAGAATATAAAACCTTTGGTAAAGTTCATGTGTAAAAATAGTGAATACATTATCATGAAGTTATTAAGAAATCGAACACATCAAAAAGTAGTAACTCGAAATTCTTATGTCGTAATGATATCGTATTAAAAATATCTTAATTAAAAAAAAATGGTAAATAACTTGTGAAAGAACAATCATTGAATGACGTGAAATGACGATGGAATCGTCACTAATCAAACGTGTCAAATAAACTTATCAATAACTGAAAACTCAAATTCGAAACATAGTATTTAAAATATCATAATTTGAAAAACTATGCGAAAAGAAGATAAATAATTGCTGAAAATCTCTCATAAAACGACGTGAAATTATGATGGAATAGCTAAAATTTCAAATTAGCTCGTCCTAATAGCATTATATGATAAATATATTGGAATATGAAAAAGCATATGAAAGAGGTTGAAAATTATAAATAATTTCCAAAAAGAGCTATCATCTAAAGATGAGAAATTATGATGGAATCCTCAGAAATCGAACGCTTCAAAAATTCGATAGCTGAAATTCGAAATTTACCTACCGTCATAATGTATTAAACATATCATTTTATGCGCTTTATTAGGGAAACGATAGAAGAAAAAAAATGAATAAATGCTGAAAAAATAATCTGAAACTTCAGGACCACTTGGAAGAAAGATGGGAGAAAACTTGTTAGTGTAAAAACCGCTGCTCATGATCACTTCATGTGTGATTGCGTGTTCTTTTTTTTAAACTTTTCCCTGTTTTACTAATTTTTTTTAGAAATTCCCTGAAATTTCCAGAATCAATAAAATCTCTGATAATTCCAGGTTTCCCATATTTTTCCTGTCGCTGGACACCCTGCAATTGGAATAAGTTCTACATTTAGTTATCAATCACAGTAAATTTCAAAATTGAATAGAAAACAAGAAAAATAGAGAGAATCTCTCTCATGCTATTTTTATTTTGGTCTTTGTTTCAGTATAACTGAAACTCTAATTGAGCGAATCACAAGCTATTTATTAAAAATGATAAAACATATTTATCTAAAGATATTTATGAAAAATAAATCCTATATTTAAAATTCGATATCTCAGGAACTATTCAATCGATTTTGTTCAATTTCTGTACATTTGCCATATAAAATTACAGTTTTTAAAATGTAAAGATTTCTATAATGACCTTACAATTCAGAAAAAAAAAATCTGCTATTTTTAAATAAACTAATTTAAAAATTATTTTTTCCATTGTTTGAATAATCTCGTTTATGTTTGGATAAACGAATTTTATAATTAAGTTCAAAATTCAATTAAGCAATTTTCAAAATTTAAGTGCAAAAATTTCTTAATTTGCTTAAAAAAAATTCTCGAGATATGGCAAATACTATTATTTCAGCAATGGGCCACATTTTTCTGTCAATCTATTCCATCGCCAAAGCAATTGCTTTCGAGAATCCAAACTTTTGGGTGTTTTAGTGCAGGGTCTAGACTTCAAAATGGACCATATACTGTAATCAGAGGTGATTGTGAGCCCAACTAAAAAATCCTGAAAATGTTTTGAGTAAAATCATTTTTCAAAAAATTAACGTCTTTATAAATTTAAGGCCGTCTTTATTTTCACAATATGAAATTCTAATTAAATTGCATTGCAGCATAATTTAAATGAATAATTGTGTATAAGTTTACTTTTATTTCTAATCACATTTATTATTATATACCAGAAAAAATATATACAAATGAAAGTTATGACAAGTATAAATTCTAGTTCTAATATTTTTAAATAAAATATACAAGAATTTTTATACATAAATGTGATCAATGAATTCCGGATCGCGGTTAGCTAAAAATCCGGATTTATCATCTCTGTTGTATTCCTTTGTAAGGTGGCCATTCTTCAGATGATGTGATATGTTCGAAAAATTTGCCTTGCACCACCTTTGTGTCTTTCTCAACTTTTGAGCCGGTGTGGCATCGTGTTTAAATGTACAATTTATATTGCCGATGTGTTTTTTGATCCACATAAAAACAACAGCTTCTAGAATGTTCCACTGGTACACTTTTTAAATTATATTAATACTCTCGTTCACAAAAACTCGGTGTTTTGCCGCTTGCAAAAATTCTGCCCCAGACCATGACAGAATTTGGATTTAAGCAAAATGTTCAACAATTGTCGAGATGCTTTGGGCATTTACAGTTTTGGGAGTTATGATCTTCCTATCAGTAAAAAAGAATCTTTCCTGACTTGTGGTTCATTGATGAAAATTGCAATAAGCGCTACAAAACGCAATCACTTTGAAATCAATTGAATTATTTATTAGTAAAAGTCTTATTATAATTTGTTATATTTTATTTATTATTATTAAAAATTGTATTTCTGGGTTTTTCTGTTGAATCCTGTCCTAATTAAATTGCAAAACAAATTATGGTAAATATATTGGACACGTAACTTAAATTTAACATTTATCCTAAAAGTTAATTTTCTTTATTATTTAGAAAAAAAATTTTGTTGCTGAAACACTATTAGATAAACGTAATGGTTGTCATTGGAATTTTGAAATTTTCTTTTTTATTTATCTTTTAAAGTTTTTAGAATTTTTTTTTTTTAAAAATTTGTTTACACAAATTCTTACGTAATTACCTTTCACTACAAACTTTGCATAAACAGAACTTTCATAACAAAATGGTCACATTTATTACTTTGTGAAAGGCTCTGAATTAGATTTAGTAACTTACTGTTAAATTTTTTCAATTTCCAAAATTCCATTTTTTCTCTTTTATATTTTTATTAATATTTAAGAGAGATCAGGGGCCAAATTAAAAGACTCGCTTGGCCACTTTTGACCTGAGAGGCATAGGGTGTGCAACCTGTTTTCAACCAATAAAAAAAAAAGATAAGCTGCTACGAAAAAAAAAAAAGCTTTTTATTAAACAAAATATTTTTCAAAAACTGAAATCTGAGAGAAGCAAGAGGTTGTCAATTAATTACAATAAAGTTAAGAACGGCACTTATGCAATTTCAAAACTTGTTTGTTTGAAGAACCAGCTTTACATTTTAGAAGTGTTAAGTACAACTATTTTAAATTACTAATATGAATTACAATAGTTAGTTTTCCAACTTTTTAAACCAATTAATTATTATCATTGACAGTAAATCTTCCAGTTTTAGAAAAAATTCTTAAGAAGAAGACAAGTTTTAGAAAATGTTTATTCTGTAATGAGTATTTCAAATCATAGATGGGATGTTTTGAATGGGATTATAATGTTTCGAGTGATTTTTAAGTATATAGGGTGAATTGCATCACTATAACTATTAACATTTAAACTATTTAAGTAAGAAACTCACCTTTAATAAAATAAACTACAACTTTTAAAAAATTGAGTTGCAAAAATCTTTAATTCTAAAAAGTTAATCTGTCCAATAAAAATTTAAAACGGGTATAAATATTTTACTAATTTGCAATGTCATAAATTATAAAAAGTATATTGTATAACTTTTTTTGTACTTATTAAAAATCATTCTACAAAGTTAAATTTTTTTCTCTAAATCAGACATCAATTTTATTTTAGACTAAAACTAAACAATTCATAAAAAAAGACTATTAAAAGGAAAACAGAATTAAAAAGACTAGATTTGTAAAACTAATTAACACATAGAATTTTCATTTCTATGCTACTTTGCATTTATTTTTTTGTTTTGTTATATTTTATGTATTTTTAAAGGATTAATATTTTATTTATGTGCATTCAGTAATACATAAATCCTCTCTTTTTACTAAATAATACAATAAATTCAAGGGACTTTCTTTTTTTAGATGCAAAATTAATTAAATTGGGAGAAATTATTTGTTTGCAAGAATGTGAAGAGGAAATACATTTTCTTGAGAACAAAAAATTTACGATTTAAAATTGGGTTAAAATTAAACAGGAATTGAAAAATCTCTTATAAAATGCACCTAATCTTTTTCAGAAATTAAAAAAATTCCTTACTTTTTAGGTTTTACAGGACTTTTAAAATTGCTAAGCACCCTGTTTTAAATGTATTTATAAGCAACTGCCAAAAGAATAAAAATGTTTTAGTTTATAAGAATCTATTTTGGATGTCAAAAATTATAGCTTTCAGTTATCTTTAAAAATAATTTAATAAATTTTTTTTAAAAAAAATATTTAATATTTTAAAAACATAAAAAATTAATGATTCATAATTTTTGACAAAATATACTCAGAAAAAATTTCATGTAAAAATTATATTAAAATGTTGAAAAACAAATAAAAATTACTTTGCAATAAGTATATAAGGAAATTATTTTCTAATAAAAAAATTACCAAGAGAATATGACCGAGTTGCTGTACAATCGTCCCTTGAACTAGACGATCATTTATGTTCAGGATCTTAACTGATATCTTTTCTATACAACCTGTTAAGTCAAAAATTATTCAGGGTGTATTTTTATTGTGCAATGTTGGTAATAGTTAGTCAAAAAAACAATTTTCAGAATACTAAATTCATTAATGATATTTTAATTTATAAGTAATTTTCTACATAAATATTTATATATTTTTTAATAGTAAACATAATGCAAGAATATTAAGTAAAAACCACTAAGCAGATAAATAATCTTAAAAAAAAAATAATTCTAAAACTACTTTTTTATCGTATAGACAACAAGCTACGCTTAAACAAAATATACCAATATTTACTATACATTAATTTTCAAATATATATATATATATAAAATTGTTTTGACAAAACACAGTTTACATAAATAACATAAAACAACAAACTAGCAGAAAGGAAGAAAAATGCCTACATTATCTAAATAACTCGAAGCCTATGAAAATTTAGAGAAAGAAAGCTATTCTTGAGATTTTTTGGAGGATGCACTCGAACTTTCACTCGATGAAGAGCTATTACTAGATGTAATATTCAATTCACTGTTAACATCACAAGCTGAATTGTGAGTGTTAGCTTTGGAATGAAAAGCTTTATTTTCAGAACTGGCAGAGGTGATAGGTTGTTCTCTTTTAGCTGTTCCTTGAAGAAGTGTCCAGTTTGGTTTTGGTCCAGGAAGTGGCTTATGAGAAGCCATCCAAAGACTGCAATTCTTTCGGGGATCTTCATTGGTTGAAGCACCCTGTAAAGGTTTTTCTTCACTTTTTCTCAGTCTTTGATGTTTACCATGAATGTCAGTTTCAGCAACGGTTGCTGAAGTGGAAGGAAATGCACTTTTGGATGAACAAGGCTGTGGAAATTGGTCCAATAAACTGGTAGTAGAAGGAGAGTCCAGACATGCCGCCTGGCACGCCTGTTCAGAAGTCTCAATTTCATTTAGTTTAAAACAGCTATTTGCACCACTTTCCCATTTTTTACGAGACGACATAATTTTAGAGAGTGCTGGCAAATCAGCAGGTGGGAAAATAGAAGACTGTTGATCATTGTGAGCATTGCTCGAACACTGATTTGCGAGTAACGAAGAGAGGAGCAACGAATGACGACAGCTGTGCCCGTTCTTCTGTTTTTCACCTTGTTTCTGCAGATCTGCAACAGGATTTGCAACACAGTGCCGCAAAGGCTTTTGATGCTGCAGTTCCAATAGGCGTAACAGTGCAATTTCATCATCATCAGATGGCATTTCAAGTAGGTTTCTCTCGAATGAAGAACCGAAATTCTTTTGCGACAAAGGAGGAGTCGTTAAAGAGTTCCAAGAATGAAGACGTTGACGCCGTGGCCTCGACATAGAAATGAAGGAAAAATCCAAATCCTCACCGATCGTTTCTTCGTCGACGTCATTTTCATCGTTGCTATTTTCTTCCAAATGAGCACAATGTCTAGTTCTACCTTCTCCATTATTCACGTCACTAACGGCTTCATTATCGGAACTAGACGAATCTGCTTCGCAAGATGCATCGTAAGAGTCTAATAGGACGACGTCTTTGAGATTACATTTGTGAGAGCATGCACTACCTCTGTTTTGTTCATACGAGCAATCGTGGCACGCATTGCCCTTCACTTTCATTCTAGTGCCCAATGCTCGAGGTTCACCGTAAGCGACTTCGCTGTCGATGCTTTTCTCGAGACTTTTAGGTTCAGCAACTTCACTGTCAATACTGTTCTCACACTTACAAGCTTCAAAAGTACTGTTTAAGGAAGTAATTAAATACTCATTGTTGCTGAGAGATGATACTGTTGATAAAGGTGGCTGTAGAGGAGAAGTGACACTAAATGTGGGAGACAAAGGTGACGTTACAGTCGCAGTAGACATTAAGGAACAAATACTAGCTCCCACACTCGTTGGCACATGGTCGGGTAGGACGATTTGGGCATCTGTTTCTGTTCTAGTATTATTAAGTGCAGCTTGATTTCTAGAGAGTTCAATTGCTAATCGTTCTTTTAAATCATTTATCTGTGTGATATATTGAGCTTGTGCAGTCTGCAACTGATTAATACACCACATCTGATCTCTGCATTTTTGAAAAAAGGTGGGAGATCGAACTTGAAAGCCGAGTATGAGAGTGTCCCTTTCGGCATTTAAATACCCTTCGCTCGCTAGAAGATCCAAACGGAAAAAACGATTGTATCCCCAACACTCCCCTACATCAAAATCAGAAGCGAATTCTCTTACAATAGTCTTAGAAGGATCTCTTGATCCTTGATGAATCATTTCCACTCTATATTCGTATTTAGAAGTTTCTGGCAATCCAGCAGATAATTCCAAGAACACCGAGAGATAGTTGCCGCGGACGACCCCATTTCCGTCGGGATACACTTTGAGTCTCCATGTCAAACCACAAACATGCAAAGGTGGACTGTAGACTGGATCTGCTCTTTGCTGAAGGATGCTGAAATTGTGCATGACGAAGGTGCTGCCGTCGTACGGAGGAACGATTTCGCTAGGAAAATCGGCAGGTACGGCGGCAGTCACAAAACTTGCCATAGGTTTGCACTGAATTTCAGTCATATTCTGAAGAAGTTCATTACTCAAAAGTATTAACTCACTTTTGCAACATGTATTCAATTGTTGTTCTACAGATTTTAATACTGATTCTAATTGTTCTGTTTCTTGAGAGAGGGAATTCTTTTGTGCCATAAGCGTTAATAATTTACTCTTCAGCTGAGCATCGAGACGTGATATCATATGTTCGACAGCATGCCTTATTTCGTGGACACGTTCATCCTTCGCAACTCTTACACTTTCAACGCTTTTTTCTACTTCTTGCACAAGACTGATGAGTTCAGAAAGCCTTCTTCTCAAGCGAATAAATTCATCTTTGATTTGTGAAACATGTTGCTCGTATATTTCATCCAGTGGTTTGAAAACATGATCAGAATGGGTCCCACCCCACAATGCACACTGATGACAAATGCATTGTTTACAGTTCCAACAGAAAACTGTCAGCTTCTCTTTGTGAGCCTTGCACAGCTCTTTTTCTGTATTGTCTCCTTTTACAGCTCCAACTAACTGCAACGTGTCTAATTGTTGAGTTACTTCTTCTACCCAGCGACAATTGACTAATTCATGCATATGTAAGGACGCTCGACAATGAGGACATTGTGAGCGTTGCTCCGTTAACCATCGTCTAATACAAGTATAACAGCAAAGTTTTGAGCAATGAGGGCATAAATGTGCATCTTTTAATTTTTCCATGCAGATAAAGCACCTAAACACTTCAGCTAAACTTTCTACGCTATGTTCATCCATCATAATGGCTGTTGAAAACAAATGAAAATTCACTAAATACTAGCTAAAAAGGAAACATTTTCCAAAAAGTTAGAATTCTACTTTTTTTTCGTCATAAATTGCATATTTTCAAGACATACACAAGTTGCAAGTTCATAAACAAGTTCTACAAAAATTTTAAAATCATTTCTCAGTTCCGGAAATGAAAGAAAGTCTGCTCTAAATTACTGAATTCACTTCAAATCATTCTGAACAAGATTCTGAAAGAAACTTTATTACATCTATGACAGCTACAAGCTTATATTTTTCTGCTTTGAAAACATTAAGACTTAAGTATCTCACCAATAATTGCTGCTATGTGAAAGCATACACATGAATAATTAATACACTGTCTTCTTGTTTATTTTTGTTGTAAAACTGTCATTTTTAGGGGAAGAAGACAGTTTTCACAGTACCAATCTGCTTAATCGAACGAAACTGTATATAGTTTATTAAGAACTGAATGGATATATTTAAATTATGCCACGAATATTTTTGAAGTAAAATTCTTATCCGCTGTAAATAATATTGTGTTTAGTAAGACGCCTATTTATTAATTAAATATTCTAAAAGAAACTATAAAACTCTTTTGGCATTTAAAAATGACTGATATGGATCTATATGGCCCTCCATTGCCACCAGGTGTGTATTGAAGTGAATGTTTTTTACTGTACGTTTTTCTTGTAAATAGTGGTTTTATTCTATCTAAAATTATTAGAAAATTACGTTAACTTTATTTCAATGGGCTTTTTTTTTTTTTTTTAGTTATCCCTAGTTTTTCTGCAAAAAAAATGTATTTAGAGGTGTCCTTTGGTGAAAACTGGCATTATTTTGTGTCTACATGCAACGCCTTTTCAAAGAAAATGATACCAAAAACGAAGCATACTTAAAACTTTAAAAATTGCGTATAATGCATTGTTCTATTAAACTAAAACTAGGAAATTTCCTAAAATTGAAAATGTTATCTAACATGCACTGTAAAAAATGATGTATTCACTTAAGTTATTTAGAAGTTTCTGTGTGGGTTGCCATAGAGGAAATACTTGACATTAATCGAAGGGGAACTTAAAAATATATTCAATTTTTTTTTATTAACGTTTTATTTATTTTTAATAAATCTATGTACATATGTAAAACAATATTCAACTATAATAATAAATAGAAGTTATATTTGCAGGGTGATAAATTGAGTTCAATTTGCTCTCGTTCATGGGTGAATAAATTCTATGAAACAATATTTTATTATTTTTTTTATCAGGATATGTTAAACCTTCTGATGATGGCATTGATTCAACAAATTATATATCAAAGTCTTCAGAACTTCCTATTGCTAGTGAAAAAAAGGATAGACTATCAGCCCCTATGATTGGACCTGCACTGCCAGAACATTTACAGCAAGGGAATCGACAAGATGATTCATCTTTGTTTGAAATGTGTGGACCATCTCTTGATGAATTTGGAACTGAAATTGATGCTGCAGATGATAGAAAAGCTGATATCATTAAAAAAGCTCAAAAAATGAAGCATAAACTGGATAATAAAGTATGTTATGAGTTATATGCATGATCTGAATTTTTTTAAAAATGTTATTGTTTTTAGAACCTCAAATAATTGTTTCTTAATAAGTGTTCATAGAACCTTTAGTAAGCTATGAACTAAATATTCAATTTGAAGTGAATTGTAGATTGAATTTAATCATTAATTGACCATTTCAATTCAATCATAAATAGCAGTCTGCTCTATTTTTGACACTTATATTAGTCTACTCATATATTATCACATTTAAAAGCCTGAAATAAAAGGTACAAATTGTTTTTTTTTTCTTTTTGAATCTAAAGCAATTATCTATTTGTAAGAATTTTATTCTTTGCTAATCTGAAATCTTTACAAATCTTTCAGTGGTGGACTTAATTCGAAAGCCAATGTTACTCTATTTTCCAAGAGCTTTACATTATGTAATTTTAAATAGAAAATAGTAATATATGTGTATACACACTTAAAATTTTCAAACGATATGGCAATTTATCACCTGAGATCAGTTAGGTTGTTTAGGTGTCTTATTCATTTGTATAAATTGCTATTGTAAGTTGACAGTTCGATCTATAATTGCTAATTCTAATAAAAGTTTCTAGTATTGATTGCTTTTATTTTGGACTTATGGAAAAATGTTTTCTCTTGTAAAAATTTAATTCATTTGCTAGTTCACAAAATATGAAACAGGTCATCTATGGATAAAAAAATCAAACTAGGTAAATTCTCCTGGTATTTGAGTTATCTGTGTATGGAGGAGTTTTAATTTAAATTAAAAATTAAGTTAACAGAGAACAGGCTGTTTAAATATTATGTTAGACAATAAATTTTATGCTATTTTATTTTCGTTTTATTCAAGTTTGACTGCATTTGTAATTTGAGTCATTTGTAAATATATATATTAAGTGAATATTTGCTTATTTTTTCAGAATGTTGAGATGCACAAAGTAGAACGAGAAGAATGGATGATTGTGCCTAATACCTCCCAAAAAAATCAATTAGGAGCAATCTCTAGGTGCTTAGCGCCTCCTTCAAAGGTAACTTCTTTTTTGTTGTTACAAATCATTATTTGGTAAAACTTTGTTAATCGTAATTTTATTTGTAACAGAACCAATTATCCTTGGGACCACCGCCATCCTAGATGCCTGAATTTCCTGGATCACTAAAAATTATTTAATGCATCTTAACTTTCCTACCTTAGTACTGAGTAAAAAAAGCTGTATTTTAGTATTCCAATTAAGTCTTTGTATTTTTAATATTTTTTTAATAGCATTTTTTTAATAATTTTCCTACCACTTTCTGTTCACTGATATTTAGCCCTCATAAATTTAAGTGAATTGCTGTTATGTATATTATCAATTTTAGGTGATGTCATGGAATGTTAAGCCTAGACTCTTGGCACATCTCGTTAAATTATGATTTATTTAAAACACATGTATTTTAGGATTCAGCTTTTTTTAAAAAAAGAAAAGAAAAAAGGATTTAAGTACTTTAGAAAACACGAATTATAATTCTTTTAATAAAATCAGTGATTTTAGAACTCATTTCATCTGAATTACGTGACGTCGAAACTGTTGAAACTTACTTCAAGAGTCAATTATTTGCTTGCAAAACGTTATTTAATTGAGATTCGCTTTACTTTTTCTAAGTTTGCTGCTCCTTTAGGTTTTGATTGACAACCACAGAACAGCTAATCAGAGAACCACAGATTTTTTCAAGCACACAGAAAAGATAAAGAATTTATCCCTTCCCCCACCCCTTCCAATGCTAAATCTTCAAAGGTAAGAAAGAAATATTGAAGTTTTTCCTCTATACAAAAGGAGAAAAAGAATCCCTCACTATTTTTCCATCTTCTGAGCTTCAGGGATGACTATATCATTCTTGTTCAAATGGAAAGGAAAACAAGCACAAAAAAAATTCCCAATTTTCTAAAAATCTGTTGAAGGTTCTAAATTGTTCAGCTTAATAGATTCTTACTTTATTATTTAATAAAAAATTGATGTATTTTAGCTGTTTTGTATTTCAATAAAAAATTTGTATTAACTTTATTACGTCATATCGTAAAGTATAGCCATGGATTTTTATTTCCCTTCCTCCTTCTGTTCACTGATACGTACGTGCAATGCATTTCTCCCTCGAAAATTAAAAAGAGACTGAGATCAGCATGATACTCCTTTATGTTTAACTAATAGCAGCTTATCAAAGATATAATATTAAGCTCCTATTTAATCTTTCACAACGTAGTGATAATACAATTATATATTTTGTTTAAAAATTATACCATATCAAAATCTTTTTCCTGATTTTGCACTATCTCAATTGGCAGTAAGCTTTAAAAGAGAAATGTGGATATATAATTAACTTTTCATTATCATTTATAGGACCCTTTATTTTATGATTAATATTACATTTTCTACTTAATATTTATAATATGTTAATTTATTTGCAATGCTGTGGCATTACAATCTATAGGAGAAGAAACGTGAGCATGTTAAACATTCTGAAAAGGACAAGAAAACATCAGAAGAGCTTAAAAAATATAATGTAAGTTGCATTCATATTTAATTATAGAATACTCTTTAATTCTTTTTTTAAAGTTGTGTAATGCAGATTTGATTTAATTGGTTTACTATGACCTTCTTCTTAATTGTTCCATTATTTAAAAGAAATATTTAGTTCTTTTAAAGCTGTATTTACCTAGTCGCACTGTTAATTAAAAGAAGGTATTAATTTTCCTGAAAAAAATTATGTTATAATGTCTGTTGAATGTTAAAAGCTAGACCTTCAAGAATGCAAGAGTATCATCAAATTTGGGGTGCTTGATCAATGCAAATTTTATTTTCTACGTTATATTATTTTTAATAAAAGTGATATGCCGTAAATGAAAACGAAACTTTATTGAAATCTATTCTTATAAAAATTACAACCAATGAATGTTAGTTTCCATAAATATCATTACAGAATAGCATGAAAATAAAATCTGATAGTACAAAAACCAAAGGTAGAAAAAATCATTTTTAATCCTTAATTTTTTTCCCAATAACCATTTGTTTCAGTTACTGAATGCCAGAAATTTTGGTTTTCCTTCTTTGTGCATTTACTGAAAAAATTCTGTGCCACGATAAAAATCTTAGGTTCTACAAAATCTCCACTTGTGATATTTAAGATAATTAGATAGACAATAGAAGAGGGCGAAGGAAAGAACGTTCTTGATTTTTAAAATAAGATTTCTTTTAGACTTAGTATAAAACCAAGATAAACAAGCTATAACATACCCAAAGCAATAAATAGAATAATGGTGACGTGAGAAAAGCAAATTGTTCTTATTACTTATCTTGCTTGTTAACTTATTATAATTTTTTACCTTCTTATTGTTATTTTATTGTTTATTTAGTTCTTATCACAATTATAATATTATAACAATCATTTAATAAAAAGATGTGATACATTTTTTTAATGTAACATGTTTCAGAGAATCTAAAAAAAAATTTTCTCTATTAATATTCCATTTATTAAATATATAGTAGTGGAAATTCCCATATCCGGAATCATCGGGACTTTGGGAAAGTCTGGAAAATATATTTTTTCGGATAATAGGTCTTTAAGGTAATCACAAACATCAAAACATTCTTATTCAATAAAAAATAACAAATTGAGGATAATGAGTCGTGATGACTGAGGAGATAGAGCATTCACCTTCAAATGAGGTGACACGGATTCGAATCCCTGTGATGGCTAGTCGATACGAATTCTGAACCCAGCTTGGACTGACGTAATATATACTCAGTGGTAGACGGATCATGAGTTTTAGTCCTCTTGCTGTCAGACCAACCGTGGGAGATTTACCTCACCATGCATGTAAATGCAGGTGAGTTCAATCAAATAGTCCTACACAAAGGCAAATTTCTCCCAATACTTGATCCAGAAGTTCCTTTGTCTTCTGGATTGAGTACAAAAATACAAGGCTACTGAGTTGAATATTAGTTGTTGTAAACTCAAAAAATTGGGTTGCAATATTATTTCGAATATTAATACAATATTATTTCGCTAAGTAAACTGTGCACAGAAAATTTGGAATCGCCCACTTGAAGCACTAGATTTGTGATGATTTTATTGTCGAAGTGATTTTGTCCATCACATTTTCTTCTGGAATTTCTAGTTCTTAAATTTTCGATTTCATTTTTAATGTAATACTATTACGATCTGCGAATTCCAAATCGCACTTTTGAATAATCTTTTTATAACTCGCTTTAGTCGCGATGATTTCTTCTCAAATCCGGAATTTTTTTCAAAATGTAAGTTTTTTAGGCACTCTGAAATTGAGTGCGTGATTCTTGGCAGCGCTTATCCTTTTATGTGAGAAAGAAAAAAAATTCGATCTTTTTCTTTCATCTTGTTGTGAAATGCCGTGATAGACAATTTTCTTTTTTAAAAAATATTCTTACGGAAATCAGATTAATATCGAACAGTAAAAAATAAATAAAAACAAATTTTATGTAAGGGAAAAAATAGTATATATATTTGACTGTTAAACAGAGACCCTTCCATTAAATGGATATCCGGATACAGGACTTAGTACTGTATCACCCTAAGCATGCGAGCAAAACAAAATAATACTGTTTTTAAAAAAAAAACATGTATAATAACACTAACTGTAATATTTTGTTCCTCTTAGAAATCTAGGCGAGCAGAATCTTTAATGGATATGCATGCAAAGAAATTGAAAAACAAGGAAAAATCTGTAAGTTCTTGATTATTTTGTGCTCATTAAAAAGAATGGCTAATAAATCCATCCATTAATTTTTAAAACTATCATAAGCTATTTTTTACTTTTAATACAAGGGTTGCAAAATTTTTTAAATATTTCAATCTACTTTTTACATTAAAAAGTGCATGAATCATACATAATCCATGAAGGCAAATTTCTCCCAATATTTATTGCAGTTCTCTTGTCTTCTGGATTGGGTTCACAATTGCAAGGCTACAAAGTTGAACAATAGTAGCTATAAACCCTACTATTTTGGGTTGGCTGTTTAATGACGGTTATAAAATAAAATCTACTTTTTAAAAACTGAATTTTTTATGACCCGTCTTATCCTTGAATTTTTTTAATGATACATCATTCACACTTTTTCCGAAAACTACTGATTATTAAAAATTAACATTAAAACTACAGTGCACTCCCGATTATCCGGGTTAATCACCGGGACAAGTCGCACGGACAATAAAAAAACACGGATAATCCGAAAACTCCTTTTATTAAAGAAAAATTCAATATCAGTACAAAAAATATAAAAATTACTGACATTTGCATGCATAACATCAAACTAGGAATTTTCCTTTTAAAAAAATGTGTAATGCGTCTTCGCCATATATCGATACACATATTTTACGAAGCGCAGTAATGTCACCGTAATAAAATCCTCCCATATAATCTAATAAAGTTTCCACAGAGCAGCAGAATGAGAAATTGTATTTCATTCATTTACTACATCTTCGGCATCAGTTACTATCATCACTATTTGATTTAACAACATAACGATGTCTTCATCAGTCAAATACTGGAAGCCAGGCTCACATGCATCACTTTGAAACCAATCTTCTAAATTTTCTTCATAAAGAATTTCGAAACCTTAGATTTCTTTTGCTTGTTCGAGAATATTGTTATCATATTTTTCTTGAACATCTGAAGAGGATTGTTCATCAAGCGGTATCATCTTTCTCCACGATCGTGATAACGAAGACGATTTGTTCAATATACTGTAATCCAATAACAAATATTGCTTTCCAAAAATTTGGTAGTGTTATAACTTCATGAATCAAATTTTTTTAATCTTGAAAGTGTTTCTCTTTATATTTTTTGTGTGACTCCGGAATGAGCACGGATAATCCGCAAACCGGATAATCGAGAGTGTACTGTATTAATAACAATCAGTAATATTATGTTAAGAATATGATCATTATGACAATCTTGTTAAAGAAATAAAAAGGAATTGTTAGTGTTGACTTTTTTGTAGTAGAAATAACACACTTTAATGCTTTGTTTTGTGAATTTAATTTCTCGTATTTTATGCTTTTTTGTTAATGCAGAATTTAACAAATAGAATCATTATAACTTGCTTTTTTTTATTAAAATTTAATTGTGTTAAAAAAATATTTTTAAAAAATTGTTAAAGAAATTTTTTTTTTTTTAAATTTAGATTTTTCCATTATAAGATTTTGATTTTTTATTAGGCACATTACTTGCTTGTATTTTGTTTAAATAAAACTAAATTATTAGTTTATGGTATCATTTAAGACATGAAGCTTTTCTGAAAAATTCTGCGTTTATCACTTGAAAATATTTGACATTCTAAAATAGAAAATATTTTATATGAACTGAAGAACCATCCGCAAACGATAGAAGTATCATATCTATTCAATCGGTAAAAGAATACAAAATATTTAATTCTATAATAACAGAACTTTCTTTAAAAGAAACGCGCAAAGCAGCAGAATTTTCAAAAGAATAATTGAAGCAATAAAGACAAAAGAAAACAATGGAAATAAAAATATTTTTATTTCCATTATTTTCTTTTTTCATTACTGCTTCAATCTATTCAATTGGTTTTGTTACTTCAAAATTTTTAGGACTCTTAAATATTATTATAAAAGGGAAAAAAACTTGATTAAGTTTTCTTATCAAGAAGCTGTAAAAGTCTCATTGGGGATCATATGCTTATTTATGATTTTTCAAATCCTGTATAATGAAGATAAGTTATTTAATAAATTTGAATCAATCTCTGATAATTGATAGCATTTGAATTAAAAATATTAAGTTCTGATTATAAAAAATATAAACGAAGATTATATTAAACAGAATATTAAATTGTCAGATTGGCTCATAGTTAGAATTGATTCTAATTGAAAGTTCAATAATTAATGAGATTTTGAAATAACTAACAGAAGAGTTGTATAACTTAAAGGTGAAATTACTGGACATGTTTACAACAAATAAATTTTGCTTTATATATAATTTTTTAACGTTGTTGTTTCTTTAAATTATTTTAGTTTAAATTTGTAATAAAGTTGTTTATATTTATAATTTTAAAAAAAAGTTTCTAAAATTCGATGTTAAAATGTTATGTTCTTTTTTCCCCTTCCAAATCTGGTATAGCTTGTCTGAAATTATCAAACTATAAATTTATATTTGAAACGCAAAATGTTACTTTGAAATTGAGAATAAAAACAGCTGAATAACAAGTCTAAATAATAATTAAAATGAAGGAAACTCCACACTTAAACTATAAAAAATGAATTATTATTCAAAATTGAACTTTAGTAAATACTTAAATTTACATATAGTACTGAGGCTTCCAAATGTCTGCAGGACAGAAAGAAAAAGAAATATTGACCGAGCTGAAAAAATATTAATCAATATCTATAACGATCTACATATAACTTTTGATTTGTATTTTGTCTGTTAGTTTTTTATTTGCTGTACTCAATCCGAAACTTCTGTTGAAGGTAGAATCTGATGTGTGATTATTAAACTCCAATGGTTATTTCTTTTCCATACTTCAATATACAATTTTTTTTTACTTAAAACTTACTTTCCTCTGTTACAGGAAAAATCTAAAAGAAAAGAAGAAAGGAAAGCGTTTGACCGTGACGAAATGGATGTTCGACATTTCACGAAGCAACAAGTGAACTCTGTTATTGATAAAGCAAAATTCCTCAATTCACGATTTGCCTCATCATCTGTTGATAAATATCTGTAGTATGGTCACATTTTTGCTCCTTATGTGTTTTTTATAATTTAAAACAAGTCAAAGTTTTGTTGTACCATGTATTATAGAAGGCAAGCTCTGCCGAGAAAATTTCGTATTTGATTTACAGTTAATGTGCTTTTTTTTTTATACATATCTGTTTATAAATAGAAACTGTATATGTTTAATTCATGAAATAAAAGGTATTAACAATGTAAACATAGTTTATCATTGTATTTAGCATAGCAGCCTTCTGTATAAGACTCCTCCTGGGCAGTCTATGTCTAGACTTTATTTGCCAGGTCATGATGTCTATCACTCTTAAAATCTGCTTCAACAGCCTCCATAGTTCTGGCCTTTTTTATAAAGTAATGAAGGGCATTGCAATGAGAGGATCACGAGACATTGGGGAATTTAATGAATACCCTAACTTTTGAATATTTTAGTTAAATTCCCTAGGTTGTCCAGATTGAAAATTTCTGTGTCCCGTGACTTCCCTGTGATAAGACAAACTATGATTTATTATTATTTATTATTTGATTTTTCATTTAATTCTTTTTTGTAATAAATCACATGTTTTAGAACATTAAATGCATTTTAATGCAAATTTATAAATTATAATATTCCATAATATATACATCAGCATTTCACAATCTCCCTTGTTTAATAGCACACTAAAAATATATAGCATCATGTGCAGCTCATCTAAAAATGAATCATGGAAAGTATGCCACAGAAACAGATATTATTAATTTAAAAAATTTATTCAATGAGGGAGTGTAAATTCTTTTGGCACATTTGACAAAACTTTGGAGGGTGAGAAACACTTATCTATACATTTTCTATGACATGAATTATATACAAAGATAGCGTATTATTTACAGTTGAAAACTGGAAAAGTGTACAATTCTATTTCAAGAGGCTGTAAATAATCTTTTATCACTGTAAAAGAACTCACAGAGTCAATTTGCAGCACAATCTCTATAAATTTAAATTAGTCTCTTTCTGACTCTTAGTATCACAGACAATCACTGTAAAAATTAAACTATATGTGTTTTACAACAAAATTAGCATGTATGAGGTAAATAAATATTATGCACAAAAATTTTTTTATATGAAATAATATACTTTTAAATGAATGTAACATGAGCAATTTTAAAAATAGAATAAGTCCCTATACAGTCTATAAAAAATTATTAGTTTTCTAAATTCAAGAATTTATTTATTTTTAATTTTTGTTGTTTTATAAATTATTAATTTTTAAAAATTCCAGTTATTTAAAGAACATTATTTAGAATTTTCGGACGGGATAATTTTTTTCTCTTTGCTTACACATCTGTAGATTGCAGGGGCTATGCCAAGCATTCACCACTTGGCCAAATGCAATAAAATCGTATATTTGGCGAATGAAATCCAAATTTAAGCCTTAAACGAACTACCATAAAATACAAATAAAACCCTGTGGAATTATTCTATGGGAAAAAAAGTAATAATAAAAAATTTTTAAGATTAGTATTTGGCGAAGACTTTTGAAAATTGGCTAATACTTTGGTTATTTGTCTAGTGCGCAATCCTTAGTGCGTGTGGATTAGCAAACTAATTTTGTTAAGACCTACAGCAAATAATTATTGAAATAAAAATGATTTTTCTTTTTCTCCTCTCAGTAATATTTTAATTTTGTTTTTTAAATCCGAGATGAAAAGCAATGTGCAGATGCTCTGAAAATCAGTAGTAGCCGAGCTGGGGATTTCTCCTACTGAGATTGAATCTATATTAGTAAATTAAATACCTATTACCATAGTAAATGTTGATACAACTGCAGTTGAACATATTACATACCCTCCAATGTTTGAGGTATTTTTACTTTTGTGAGGTATTTTTTCCATTGGCAGTGAACTAAAGCCGAAATCTTTAAAACAAACAATTTTTTTAATAAAACTTTTATCGGAACATGCGAATGTGGTCCCTTGTCTATCTCACTTTCTTATACATCTGTTTAAATTATGCATATGTAGTGCTGGACAATATATATTTTAATTCTAAATTTACTAAAACATTATTTTTGCTATCACTAGAATTAAATAATTTCTGAAAGTATGAAAATTGTGTAGTTGTTGGAAAGTACACTGTTATCATAATTAGTTGAGCGTCAAAAGTGTCAATAATAGTTTGGTGATTTGTACAACCTCCTGAAATGGAATAGCACAAATTAAAGTTATGAAAAATGAGAAGTTCTTTGTTTTTCGTATTTTTCAAATAACTGCTTCATATCTTCTGATGTTTTGGGTAAAACTTCCTTCAAAGATTGGGTAAAATGCTTCATAGACACGGATGCTGCATCTTCTGTAGCAGCACATCTGCCTGCTCTGTCACAAATATCTGAAATCTTAAAAAAAAAAAATAATAATAAGTTTTGTATGGTTTCTACTTCAATTTTAAACTAACTCATTTTTTGAAAAGCTTAAAGCATATTCAAAGATGCGAACTAATCTGGATTTTCTTTAATTTCTAAGAAATTTTAATATGGGTTGGTTTGCGGAAAGGGAAAAAAAAGGTAGATAGGAGAAAAAATTCTTCACATTTTTACAATTCATACATAGAATGCAAATTAGATATGAAAAAATGAATTATTTTTAAAGAAAAAATAATAGCGTTGTTCTTATAGATTCAAAAGGAAACAAAAAAAATCCTTATTTATCATACCAAAAACAAAGTGCGAATGTCTTTCAAAAAATGTAGAAGGAAATTTTCAGTGCTGATTTAAATTTATTATGAACAGTCACGCATCATGCTTAGGTATTGCACTTGAAGCTACACTGTTTAAATGTAGACCCATTACATGATTAATTGTAAACACCTGGGCTAGGAGCCTGAATGTTTGCTAGTATGCTGTTCTTGAAATTCTTAAAATAGTTCCATTTCTATGAATTTATTTATTTTCAATTCTAAACGCTATATTGTTTATCACTGCAAAAAAAAAAGGGAGAGAAGAGCGTGGATGATCTGCCTGCGGAAAATCGGGAGTTTAGACTTAGAGGTTTAGCAGCTTCGAAGAGCAGGGCACATCGACCAGAGGTCTATTGTACCCAAACGCTAAATCGTGATCAACCGAAAAGCCTTATAGCTGAAACAAAGTTCAGCAAACACATGACAGGAAATATCTTGTAAATCCCAGGCCTTAATGCAATGTTGACCTAAATGCTCAAATCTTTGAGCAGAATAGACCTCACAATCACAAAGTATATGTTTTGAAGTCTTCTCCTCCAGATGACAACCTCGACAAAGAGAATCGGATTCAATACCCATAATGTACCTGTCTCCTGAGGGTGCAGTGAGAAAACCAATGACAGGGGTAGCAGCAAAGTTTTTTTTAAATTTTAGGGTAATTCTAAGAACTTTTTTCAAAAATTTTTAGGTAAATTTTAGGGGTAATATATGATTTTGCTAGGATAAAAACAGATCACACGGTAGTTTATTACATAACAGAATATTATTACAATTCATCCACACATATCATAAATTATTGCAAGCCATAAAATAAAGCTCTGAAATTTATTAAGAATGAAATCCCTAAAGTGTAAAAATGAAATTTCAACTTTACATATTACCTATCAGAAATAAAGTGTATAATTCAGGAACAGACAAAAGTGAGAATAAATCAAGAGAAAAAATAAATTAACACCAACTTGGATTTTTATTTAATTTTTACCTTCTTAATCAAAACTTTATTATTACCCTTTACCTTACTTTATTAAGAAAAACTATTGTGTGATATTATTAGATTTCTAATCAGCAATTTATATTAGAAGTTAGGGAAAAACAAATTAATCATGATCATTTTTAAGATATTCTTGATATGATTTGTGAGATTCTTTTACTGCCCTCAATAGTGTTGTGGTGATCTTCAACACTCCTCGATAATTTTGAATGGTATCTTTGATTAGTCTAAGAGACATAATAGTATTCTCATGGTGACTCACATTAAGCATTGCTTTATTTATCGTAAAACCTCTCTCAGGGTCAGAATTCCCATGTGGCAAAATTAAAACAGTTTTAATTATTGTAGTTAAATTCTTATATTTTAGATTATTGCTTTTTTATTTATATTTAGCCTATAACTCTAATTTTTTAGGAACACCAACAAAATTTTATCAGATTTTTAGGAATTTTAGGGTTTGCACATAGTTTTATGAATTTTAGGGGGAATGCGACCCCTGCAATGATCTTCCTCAAGCTGTTCCTATTACGTTAAGCTTCAAAATTTAGCTTGTCCTTAGCTTGCAAAATTTAGCTGACCGTCTGTGTTGCTCATGGGCAATCTTGCTGTAAAGCTTGAATATAGATGCCGTGAAGGATGTGGGAGAAATTCCCAAAGCTGGTTCAGGATTCCAGATAATCGCACTGGACTGTGCTGCAATCATAGATTTCTAAGTGTGTTAAAAAAAAAATATTGGTTATAGGGATTATAGGACTTAAAGGTTGCGAGTTCTATTGTTGCTGGATGTTAACCGGCCTAGCGTTTTGTACGAAGATTACAAACTTGCAGAAAAAAGGTGAACCATGAAAAATTTTTAACTTTTCATCCTCAAAAGTGGCTGGAACGAATAGAATCACTTATTTCTGGCTGCCATGCGTTTATCACTGAGTGATCCTAACAGATTGAAAAATGGTAACTACATCCCTTCTGGGAGTGAAAATCTGCTAATTTAAAACTGAGAATGTACTAAACATAAAACTACTTAGAAGATCGTCATACTTAGAAGGTACTAAGCATAACACTAGTGGTTGTGAAAAATACACATAGGTCAGGGGTGATTGTATTCCGGGTATATCACGGAATTTAGGTTCTTCACATCATCCTTCCAGGAAAAAAAAAATTAGGAGCAGGGCATGTGATTTTTCCACAGATTTCACGGAATTTCACATATCTTAAGATCATTGATTTGCGATCGCTGATCAAAACTTATCACCTGACGAAAGTTCCACCATCTAAAATTTAAATTTCGAAACTTCCGTTAAATCGTGTTAAAGAGATGTTTTCATAAACGCTATTCTTCTGCCAATATGATTCTGTAGGATTGTCAAATTTTCGATATTTGTAATATTTGAAACTACACTGGAATTAGCTAATATCGCGATTCGTATTCAAGCGATTTTAATATTGAACTTCGATTTTCGAATTAACCCGATTTAAAAGTTACATATTTTGAATTGATTGAAAAATCGTACATGGTGATTAGTATTTAAGTGATTAAAGTCGAATGTCGGTATTCGTATTCACACGATAAAAAAATCATGCATTGCCACTCGCATTAAGGCGATTTAAAAATCCAATATAGCGATTTGTATCTGAGCATTGTTAAAAGTCAAAGTCGCAATTTGTATTTTTGTGTTTTTAAAATCCAAAATCGCGAATCATATTAATTTAATTTTTAAATCCAATATCGCGAATCTTGTAAGAACTAAGTTTTTTTCTTACATTAGTTACTATAAAGTTATGATATTTTTCATTGGTAAGTACTTTAACTATAAATCTTAGTCTAAAATTTTATATTAAACACCCATATTTCATAAATTGGTGTCATGATATTGAGTTTTCGCTCATAAAAGTTTCAGGGTGTTTCACTTTGTAATGCAATTTCCCTTAATAGGTTCTATTATAGAACAAGGTTTTAGGCGATTTGGGGAAAAGATGTGAGACGCCAATTCGGTTAAATCACATTGAGTGAGTTCTAAAACCAAAATGACCTTTACCTCAGCACCAGAATATCCTTCAGTTGCATTTACCAAGTAAGTAGCATTAACATCATCAGATGTGGACATTTTCTTCAACATCACAGAAAAAATCTCACTCCTTGTGTCTGAGTCTGGCAATGGAACATAGATCATGTCGTCGAATCTTCCAGGTCTTAAAAAACTCTAAATAAAGTAGAACAATTTCTTATAAAAAATTAAAAAATAATAAATAAAAATAAATAAATTTAAAAAAAATAACTGCAACTTTTATATAATATTTTTAGAACTCATTTTTTTTATAAAAGCATGAAATTTATTGCTATAAAGTAAAATGCAGATTATCCAGATTATTAGATTTTAAGCCGATTTGGTTATCTAAAAATCTGCATTATCGGACAACTTTCAAAACTACATCTTATGCCTGCAAAATGTATTAGAAAACAGTCAGCTTATTCTAGCATAAGTTTCAAAATCAAATGAAATTTAAACAAATTTGACTTTTTTGTTCCCTTAAAAACATGTTCCCTTATTGGAGGAAGGAAATGGCAACCCTGTAACCCCCTCTTTGGAACAAGAGAAAATTAAATATGAAAGGAGAGGGGTTCCTCCTTTCCAAGGATATCAGGTGATAAAAGAAGCAATTTACCCCTAACGCTAATGATAAAATAAATTTTTGTGCAAAATGTTTTTTGTTTTGTTAAAAATGAGAAAAAATATCTAGTACTTGATCATCCGGCAATTGGAAAATTCAGTTATTCGACATGGTGACAGTATTATTACAGTATATAATGCTATTGTGTGTGTGTATATATATATATATAACATAAAAAGCTTTAATTAATCTTTTTATGTTATTCCTTTTCTTAATTTATTCTTCAAAATGAAACACACTTTAAAATTCACATCCTGTTTATTAATCTATTTTTGGTTCAAGTATGCACTAATTAAGAGTAAGACATTTTGCTCTTTGTGGGAATCGTACGACCTATTTTGTGCAATTATATATCTATTATTGTGCAATTACTAAAACTAAACTAAACTCAGCGGCGCGACATCCCATAGAGGGCCAAGGCCTACTGTGCCCATCTCAGTTTTCTTGACCTTGGGCTCTGGGGTGCGGGAGTAGATGTTCCGGTCAGGTGGGCAGCCGAATGCGGAACCCCCAGTGTTTAGTTCCCAAGCATGCTTGGTACTAATTTATCGACCCACTGAAGGGATGAAAAGCTGAGTCAAACTTGCCTGGCCCGAGGATCTAACCAGGGACCTGTGGTACGACAGTGCGAAGCCCTACGGCTCAGCCACCACTGTTTTGTGCAATTATATACCTTTTATTGTGCAATTACTAAGATTTCCCTTATTCCCTACAATGAGACATTTTATGGATTTTCTTTGCAAGATTTTCCCTAAATTTTATGGAGCAGCACGATGATTTTGTGTCCCTCTCTCGATTTCCACCATCATATAATGATTAAATAAAATTAATTTGATATTTTTAAAATCCTTTGCCTGTTTGTCCTGCTCACACGACTGTCACCATTATATATATATGTTACGGCCAAAGCCCGAATTCGGCCACTTTGAGAAATGGCTAAGAACACTGTAAATTTGCTGGCCAATGTCCGATCTTTTCTTGATTTCGGGAATTGACCGGCCAGATCGTGAAGTGGCATGGGAGGATCAGCCAAAGTTGGAAGAAAAAATCATTGGCACGGATTATTGAATCTATATAACCATAACTTCATTCTTTAAAAATTACTAGCTGCGGTACCCGCAGCTAACTGCGGTTGGGATGTGGCCATTTGAGACAAAGTAAAAAATTTTATTTTTTAAATTAAAAAAGAAAACAAAAGGGGCAATATTAGCAAATTAACTTTTTAATAAAATTCGCCACGTGGCACATTACTGTTGGAATTGCAGATGCGCTACCTACCAAGCATCCTTGAATCAGTACATTGCGTTTTGCCGGAACATCGTGGCCACTTAATTCGCAAAGTGGTCGGACTTCGGGCTTTGGCCGTAACACACATATATATAATAGTATTATACTAAGGACATATTAGGAGAAACATCAGTGTTTAGAGTACCGGTTAAATGCATACTGGGCAGTGGCACTAAACCTTAAAAAAACATTGATGTAACATTAAAAAAAAATATTTATTCACCTATAAAGAGTTATATTATAAAATAATTTTTTAAAATTTATTTTTGACAACTACAATAAATCTACACAAAACGATCCAACTTTGTATTTTTTGAAATTACTGAGGCAATTTTTTTTATGAATTTACTACTTAAAGAAATTAGGCCATACAAAACTATTTACTATGTATATGTCTGTTTTTATTTTTCCCCGCTTAACTTATTAAGTAATTAAGGTTCACTTTGGGAACAACTAATTTTAATTTGTTCCTGCTTCGCTTCATCAATTAATCAAAATTTTATTATGTCTGATTTCTTCTTCTGCACATCAAAGGTTTAATGAAAAGATTACAATATTTGGACTTTATCTGAAGTACACTCGAGCTCTCAGTAATCGTATGTACTTTGGACTAAATCTTGGATAAATCATAAACTAAATCTTGGGCAGACTCGGATTAAAATTCTTCTGGTTTGGACCGCCAAAAACAAGTTTGAACTCATCTCTAGTGTGCACGGTTTAAATTCGTAAAACATCCAAGCTCTTGAAAAAACAAAAAAGTTTTATAATTTAAACAAGCATATAGAGAACAGGGTAGTAAGTACTTTAATTATGTTTTGTTTAAACTAGTTCATTCTATTTATGATGAGAAAATAATGTAATTGTCCAATTATATAAAATAATAGGGGTTTTTCAATCTGCAGTTGAAGAGGAGAAAAATGTGACTATACGTTTACCTACTGTTTAGCATCAAAGATACCGTTTTGGTAACAAGCCATAAAAATAAAACAAATCAATTTTTTAGTAGACACAAAATCTTTTTTATTTTGCTTTATATGTACATTATTAAATGCGATAATTTTTTTAAAAAAAGGAAGAAATAAATTATCATTAACCTAACCATAGTGATGTACCTAATGGGTTTGCAGAATTGACCTATCTATTTTATTTAAGGTTAGATCTTTTTAAACTATCATGATCATTAATTCAAAAGCTATATGATGAATAATGTAATTCATAAAATGACAAATATAACACCCTAAATAATTTTTAATCTATAGCTCAGATTTTCACGTACAGTACAACACTGTTTATACGATTAATTAATAAAAATTCCCCATTAAAATATAATTTTGAGCATTTAATTGCACAGTTAACTTGGATTTAATAATATTGATGTGGAAAGTTGAAACTAGTATATCTAATTTCTTTGCTGTGTCCCACACTTATTCTAAAGCATCACTGGTTTAGAATTACAATTTTAATTTTCAGTTAAATTGCTTTGCACTTTAGATACATTTTTCATTTAAAAAAATATTACTAAGCGTTGTGCTCATAGACATGAGAACTAAAGAATAAAGTTCTTTTAAAACAAAAATACAAAGAGTATTTTTAGTACTGGCCTTCTGATAGTCATTATGTGTACCTCATTTCTTTTTAGCAAACAGTATTGTGACCCAGAAGTGAGCATCTCTAATTTTAACTCCAATCCTTTTTATGACCTTACTCAACTGGAATTGAGGGTGAAAATCACTTTTTGGAACTTTACTTAGTCTTCTCAAAGAGCTTAGATGTGCTATCTAACTTTTATATGTTACAAATTCAAACACAAAAACATGCTTGTTCTGAATAATGATATTTTTATTTGAGGGGATTTGAATTTCTAACCCTTAAAATAGGATAATATATAGGGTCTTAATAGTTTTGTCAGGAGAATGATCAAAAGTTTAGACTCTTTAATGTTAATTTTACTTTTAGTGTATTTCCCCATACTTTTAAGAAAATTTTTAAGAAGTTTAAAAATCATTTTACATATAAAAATAAGGTATAAAAAATAATTCAAAAATAATTTTTTCATCATTTATTACTTTAAAATTATTAATAATTAAGAATGTTCTGAATTCTAAAGTATAAAATTTCTTAAACAATTTAATTTTAATTCATAAAATACAAAATTTGAATGAAACTAATCAAAAAGTTTCAAAAAAAAAAAAAAAAAAAAAAAAAAAAAAAAAAAAAAAAAAAAAAAAANGAGCAAAACTCCATCAAAAAAAAAAAACTAAAATAAATAAAAAAAAAAATATTTAAAAAAAACTTTGAACTGTTAAACTACAAGACCAATTTAATTAAAGTTTTGTTTTGTAAAATTACATGCTAGGTAAGTGTTTCCAACACTTATCTAGCACATGTGTAGTAATTTATGCCTTACAATTTGAGAAAAAAAAATTTTTTTCTTTCATTATTAATAAATTAAAAATAGTAAATAGAAAAAATATAAATTTTTTTATGTAATTTTCTAATATATAATTGAAGATCCTGTTAAAATATGCAAAAAATAAAATGAACTCTGAGTTGTTCTCCCAACTAAACAATTAAAACCTTATTTTTACATTTTGATGAATAAGGAAAAAAAATGTCTCAATTCGTAGCATAAAATATACTGTGTTAAAATTAACTACCATATTTAAGGTATTCTCTAAAATCCCACAGGATTTGACGGTATAACATAAAAATCCACTCAATAGGTCAAAAGTTATTTAAGGGATCTTGTTTTTTTCTTTTTGAACATCATACATAGCAAAAAAATGCAAATACTTAATTAAAAATATGTCTTATAACAATGAAATCTCACAGGATCAATGATGTCTGGCCTGTTTGTGGCAGCAAGGATACACACTCCATTGAGTGGTTCAATACCATCAATTTCAGTCAACAGTTGTGTCAGGATTCTCTCAGTAACATTGGAAGAGCCACTAATACTATAAGAGAAAAGAAATCAACAATTAGTTTACAGTAGGAGCAGACATTTTGTGTTGTTTGTTGACAGCAGGTGGGGCAACATTGCATGGCTGGATGTTCAAAATGCAAAAATTAAGGACAAAATTGCCAACTTAAGGACAATTTAAGGATGCTGATTCTCTAATGGGAGCAATTTGTATGATACCAGCATGGATTCACAGATATACAATTGGTAATAGTTTTAGTAGTTCCTGCATTTAAGTAGTGAAAAAAAAAGAAAAACATTTTTAAAAAAAACTCAGATTTTTTTTTAAAAGTTATGCAAAAATTTCTTTTTTTTTACCAATGAAGGGGGAAAATAGTCTATGTATGGAAAATCGTTAATTAGTAGTAAAATGCGAGGATTCTCTTGTGAAAAACAGTAGAGTATAATATAGTGATGAGGAGGGAGTAGAGAGATTAGAACGTTTTATATATTTCTCCCACATCGAATACCTTTATGCTATCGAATCAAGGGTAATTGTCTCTAACACTGAAAATAGATTAATGTCGTACTTGACATGCTATGAAGACTTTGTCGCTCATTTTATGATTTACTTTGTTTCACAGCATATATAACATAATTTTTGAATTTAAAATTTCTTCAATTCTTTTTTAGATAAATGATATTTATTATGATATTAATTTGGAAAATCACGAAATTTCAGAACATTTATTGAAATGTTTAATAATTAAGGACATTTTCTTTTTTTAAAGGAAGGACAACTTTGAGCCCTGCACTGTAAGGAAACTCCCTTTTATTTAACTTCATTGATTTATGTCATTTACCTTTATTCTAGCGATGCAATGCAATTTGCAATTTTCGTATGCAATTTTTTAAGGTCACACAGCCTAAATTTAGTAACCACTTGTTAAGAGATTAAAGTAATCCTCACAAGAAACATAAAGTATAGAAAAAGTGAACTCTGGTGAATCTAGAGTAAATAGTGAAGTTTCAAATGCAGTAGAAGAATATCAAAATGAAAACAAATTATGGCAAGCTTAAGGGCTTATACAGTGGAGAATTAATCCTACAATCATTTGCTTGCATTATGATATTCTGAAAAAATTTCTCAATATTTCTAGCCTTCTTCGTTTACTTTAAGTTTACCTTAACTTGCATTTCTCTAAACTTTAAAATACCAATAGAAGTAAAAGAGAATTTGTGGTGAAAAGTTTCTCACCTGCTATAGCGTCTTCTATGTTTAGAATGAAATCTCTCGTATGACATTTATGAGGGTTTCCTCACTTTACAAGTAGAAATTAATGATTTTTTTCCCAATTACCAATGGGGCGGCACCACTTGCACATTAGTGGAAATTCTCGAATCGCTTAGGCAGTTTTTTTTTCTTAGTTTGCTTTGCAAGCTCTTTTCGCCTTAGTCTGAAACAACAATCTAATTTTCATAATGCAATGTTTTATCACATTACAGACACTATTATAATCAGCAGTTAGAGAAAGAAGGAACATTTTCTTAGGATCATTTGAATGAGGATTGCCATCAATAAATAACTGTTTTATTTAAATGTTTGGCTAAAAGGTACTGGGTATTTTTATTTTGGTAATATAACAAAGTAAAAAGGAAGACCAGCAAAAACACTCCTTACTTATGCAAGTGAATGGTACATTTTTGAATTTTGAAAAAAACTTAATAAACAATAAAATAAGTTTTGAAATAAACTTAAGTAAAATACTCTAACCTATTTCTGGTGGATGTTAAAGAATCTATTTCATCAAAAAACACGACACAAGGGGCTGATGAACGCGCTCGCTTGAACAGATCAGAAACTGCCTTTTCAGATTCACCAACATACATGTTGAATAACTCAGAAGTCTAAAATTAAAATCCATATATATATATATAATGACATTGAAATTGAAACGTAACAAGCAACGTGCGTTACAAACGTATAACATGGAAATAAAGAGCATATTTTATAATTTATACTAGTTTCTTTTTTAAAATATATACATTACACCTTAAAATAAAATCTCCACAGCTGACAACGAAATATTTAACTTAGTTTTTTGATATTTTATCCAAAATTTTTTTGCTTTAAGATAGAAAATTTTTCAGTTTTCAGTCATTCAAAGTTTGAAAAGTTAACTTCTTAAAAACCTTAATTCTTAAAATTAATTTCTTAAAATTACATTTCTAAGTCTCTTAACCTATAAAAAAAATTCACTGAATAGTATTGATTGTTAAAATAATAAAGTTTATAAATTAATTTTAAAGAGTTTCGACTTTTGGGCAATTTCAAACCAATTATAATAAATGACACTACATCAGTTGTAATAATTACCAAATATTTATATTCTCCAGGACATTGGTCTATCATATGTAAGAATCTTTTATTTTATTCTCAAAGCAGTTAAATTTTATGTAAATAATATTTCTAAAATCCTATTAAGTAAAATATGTAGTTTTTACAGCAAAAAATATGCATAATTTTATTGGCAGTACATTTAAACTTGAAAGTATAAAAAAACAAGGTGTTATCGTTATGACAGCATCTTTTCAATCATGATTATTAAAGTTATGTCATAATGTCTCAAAAAATTCTTAAAATCCATCCGCCAGACCATCACCAACTCCTAGTTCTGATAGTCTTAAAAATTATTTAAAAAAGGCAATTTATAGAACATGTTTAGATCAAAAGTTTTTCTGTTTTTTTAATCATGCTAAACAATGTAGTATTTTTGTTACAATAATAGAAATAAGCCGCTTTTCTGAATTATATACTTCACTTTTCAGTTTTATTTTTGGACTTTTTATTGTATGTATGCCACATATTTTTATTAATTATTCTAATATTTGCAAAATACAATCTTTATATAATATAATTATAGCATAATTCAAAAAGTTAACAATTCATTTAAAATATTGTCAATATATATTATTTATCAACATATTGTTATGCTTAAAGCTTTATTGCGTTATAACAAATTTCAAAAAAGTAGTTTATTATAAATTATTAGTACATACGAGAATACATCTTTCTTTATAAACCCTATATACAAATTATCAAGTAAACAGTAAATTAAGTTAAGGAAATTTTTATAAGAAATTTTCCTTATTATTTTAGTGGATTTTCAAAAGTATAAAAAAAATCAGAAGAATAGTAATAGTTAATTGGAAACCTGTGCAGATTTGACTGACTAGTATTTTTAATCGTCATTTTATAACAATGGAATAGGCAGTTTACAACTGTCCCTAATAATCATTTTAAATAATATCATAAGTAGTTTAAAGCTGTCTCTGATTATCACTTTATAATAATGTCATAGGTTGTTTAAAGGGCAGTGCTCACCTTCACAGGTATGAAGTTAAAATGTTCCTCAGTGACAAGAGCTTTGGCAATCATTGTCTTGCAGCAGCCGGGTGGACCATACATCAATATACCTCTACTCGGTCTGATTTTGAATCGTTTGAATTGATGGGATAGTCTCAATGGCCAACTTATCATTTCCTGCAGGGCCTCCTTCACTTCTTTCATTCCTCCAATATCACTCCATTTTACCTGCAAAGGAAAATTTGTATTTATAAATACATTTTCAGAATAGTAGTTCAAAGTTAAACTGTAAGATCAGCACCATGAAAAGATTTATTGTCTGGCAATCAAGAGATGAGCCCCTGACACTAGACTTGGTGGTGGTCCCAACAAAATAGTATTTATTTTTAGGTGAAGTTTTTTGTCATTTTAAGCTAAGCTTTAGTTTTGTGGTCATTTTAAGCTAAAAACTACTTTCTGCTTGCCACTTGATTTTAGTTAAGACCTTGAGACCAGAAGTCCAAGCTGCCATGGCACTTAAAAATTGTAGCTGATACCCAATATTTTTTGCAAAAAATAACATTAAATTGAAAAAGTTGTTACACAGCTTTCCTTCCTATAACATACTGGCTAACATAAAAAATTTTATAATAATTTTTTTTTAATAACACTCTACATGTCACTCTGACTACTTTACAAAACAAATCCATCTTTCAACCTTACTGAGAGCTTATCTTGTGACAATCAGACAGCTTTAAGAAAATGACAGTAAATTTAATGCAACCTTAATAAGTGGTTAAATGGAACCATAGTTTTGTGTTACGAAGTTCAAGAAGTATACACCAGTGGTTCCCAAATGGTGCTCCCTAGGGTTCCGTGACAGAGTTAAACAGGTTCCGGTATTTATATTTAGATTAAATTAGTAATGCATTATTTACTTAATACTTTGGTTGCCTTAACCATATTATTTAAAGTAAAATACTAATAAAAAAAGAAATGACATATTTTTTTGGAAAAATGAATAATTTTTCAAATAACAATGTATTGAATTAACTATGAAAAAGATAAGCATTTATAATATATTATAGAAAAAATATTCATAACAATACTAGAGTCTGCTCCAGTTATGTGAATTCCAATGTCGGATATAAATTTTAGTTTAAGATTATTAATAAAAAAATGATCAAAAAAATGTCCTTTTCCTTATTAAACATTTTCAAAATGAAGCAGTCTTTCATTGGTTAATGTGTTCACAATTGTCTTTATAAACATCAGCTTTTAAGTCAGGGTTTCGTTGAAAGAATGTTAATCTTTTAGATTTCCATAGCTGAAAAAATACAGGGAAACACTGATATACACCATATTAAGGTTGCTGCGAATTTGAATGATACAATGCTGCAAAATTTCTAACAATGTAATAAACATTATGAAACTTTTACAAATCAAAATTTACTTCAAAGTAGAACCAATAAATCATACCATTTATTATTTCTGATACATTATAATAGGGGTTTCCAAACTTTTTCGCCCAAGAGTCACATTGCCTCCCTACTAAGTCAGAAGGGTAAAGACGTAAGCCAGAAGAGTTTTGAATAGTTGACACAAGGGTTTTGAAAAGTTTAGAATGCGTCAGCAAAAACCAAAGTTCCCAATATATATTTTACCATCGTCTTTAAAACTTTGGCAACCCTGTCTGGCTAGAGGTTTTGGACAATATAAACTGGATTTGAACAAGACACAAGAGATTTACGGTCTAAAATTGTCCAAAAATATATATCCATACATAAAACCAAATGTCATTGCACACTTATGGCATGAAAAACATAAATATCTTACTATTTGTTAACTGATATTTAATTTCATAATTTTGTCTAATACCAACTAAAATTTCATAATTTCAAAATTTCATTCTATTTTTAAAATTCTGTTTTAGTAAACTTTAAAAATGTGATTATCAGTGCTAGGATGTTAATAACCTAAAAAATTTTAAAACATGAAAAAAAGATTAATTAATTTATTTCTGAAACTTTGTTTTAAATCAGGTTTTTTCTTTTTAAAAAAAAAATTAAAAAAAAATTACAAATCGTAAACTGTATTAATAAATTCAATATAAATATAAAATAAATATGTAATTTATGAAGGAAAAAAATTTAAATAAATACCTGATAAAGATAAATAAGATTTATTATCTTTATCGAGTATTAATAAATAAGGATAATGAATCTTTAGTTAAATAATGATTCATTAATCTTTAGTTACAACGAATGAGGATTTATTAATAAATAGGATTTATTGATCTTTAGTTACAATTATTAAGAACTGTATTATCAAATACTTATTGATATTTTTAAAATTGAAAGAATGTGTTTTATTCATAGCAAATTCTTATATTTTAAAAAACTATGATTAATATCAACATTCGTTATTGAAGTACATTTAAAATACAAGATTCAATGCAAAATTGTCAGTAATCTATAGAGAAAAAAAATTCACTCATAAGCAAAATGCTCTATTTATAAAAAAGAAATTAAAAAAATAAAACAAAATGAATGAAATAAAAAAACTAAAAAATGACTAAAATTTATAAATAATAACCTATAAACAAAAACAAAGGGAAAAAATGCTTTTATTATCAATATGTTAGCCTTGATGATTATATTAAAGCATAAATTCAAATAATAACTGTTAATCTTTATATACTTAAAGTTCTCAATAGTTTTGAATAACTAAAAAAAAATTTTTTTTTTAATAATAATAAAAATTACCAGTAAGTTATAGACTCTTTTAAAATATGAAAGATAAAATTACAGATTTGTTACTTGTAATAGATTTTGTCCATTTCTTAGCTGTTTAAAATTGTTCAAATAAAATCATATCACATTTTGAGCATATAAAACAATTATTTTTTATTGAATTCTCATGCAATAAATGCATTCTGAATATGTGGATGTTATTTATTAGCTTAGTATGAATTTTAAAATAATTTTTCATTCCTTAAATGAAAATCCTACAAAATGTCAACTACAAACAGTTGAGGGAAGGTTTTTCCACAAAGAATTTTTACCATTTTTTCTTTAACCTTACCAAACCTGATCAATTGGTAAAAGATCTGACTTCAACTATACTAACAATAATGTGAAATTGCACTATTAACATATAAATACAGTTTTTATTCAAGTCTAAATTGTTATCAATTTTAAGTTGCACTTAAAAGTCTCAACAGGTTATGTGAAAAAATGAAAAATAATGCAAAAAAAAGTTTATCAATTCAATATCTGCAATATTTTTTATAAAATTATTAATAAAAATTAAATAATTTACATTTAAATAATTATTAATTTGAAATGATTATTAATTAACATTAATAATCATTTAAAAAAATAAAATAAAAATGACTAAGAAATTAAAAATTCATTTATTTTACCAGCGTTAAAAACTTTCATATACACACAACTTGCAATTGCTCTAATTATCAAAATCATATTCAGAAATTGATTTGTCACTTCCACTGTCACAATTGACTTCAAAACTGCTTGCGGCGATGCCATTTTCCCTCCTGCTGTGTCACTTTCACTGCCAGCCAATGCGCTTGTTACGAAACATTTTTTTAAATAATATATTATAGTCTAATTGGAAGCCTTTTTTACAATGGAAAAAAAGTGCAGCTTTGATTTGAATAAATATAATAATATTTAAAATCATAACTCTACTTGTTTCAAAAAAATTATAATGAAAAGCATCATTTTAACTTTGTAACAGCAAATTGATACTTACATTTGGAATTTCAAAATTAAATGGAACAGGTGGTTTTATTTGTTTTAAACTTTTCTTTAAATCTATCAATCTAAAAGGAAAATCCTGTGGATTCTTCAGAGAATCTTGTAAAAATAACTCCTTTGCTGTGAAAAAAAAACAGCGAATCAGCAATTATCATTAATAAATGTCAAATTAAATTAAAAGAAAATCTAATGTTAATGTAGATTTACAGTACAAAAAATGGAACACCCTACTAAATAACTTTTTATCTATAAAAAAATCTTTCTTTCCTTTTAAATAAAAAAATAATACAGTGTAACATAGTAATTTTTTTTCTTATTTACTTCATTTTTGTCTTCAAAAATCTTAATTGAGATTTTTGAACAATGTTTAGAAACTTCTTTAGTAAATGGAGAAGTCAGTAGGTATTTACTTTATATGTGTGCTCAAAACCTGAAACTATTATGACATCATAATTGAGAAAGCAAGTCTTGTGAAAATGTAGTACAAGTACATTTTAACTGAAAAAAAAATAGAAATCTTAAATTTTCTCTATATGATAAAAAAAAGTACTTATTTCCATATGAGAAAAAATCATTAACTCCATGTGAAAAAAAGTTTGAGTTTGTTTCTAAATTCAGAATTTTAAAATTGTCATAGTAGCTCTCATTAAGTTAAAGAAATGAATAGAAATTTTTTTTTTTTTTTTGAAAAATCATTAATTGTCTAAAAACTTTTGAAGTACAAAATGAACAGCTATAAAAGCAAAGAATCTTAGTAGAAAAATATAATCTATAACACATCAAATTGATCCTACAAAAAATTAAAAGGGATCATTTTAAAAGTTACTTAAGATTTGTAAAAAAGATATTCTGAGACCTTTATCACATAAATGCTGCAGCTGTCCACCACTAAAGCCACTGGTATCTTCAATTATCTCATTGATTTCAGTTTCACTCAACGTACATTTATGTTCATTTAAAAAATTTTGGAATATCTGAAAAAATAGCACAATAATTATTGAATACAAAGTTAATTTAATAAATTTATAATTTAATGTTGATTAAAATTACTTTTAATTTGATGATCAGATTTTCACAAACTGATATGTAAGGTTAATGATTTGAAAATAACATCCATAATCTACGAATTAATTAGCATACTTTCTCTCCATTAACTATATTTCAGAAATTTAGTTTATCCAAAGATAATCCCATGAAGAAAAAGAAAGTTTTTTTTTTTTTTTTGCTATCTATTATTGTATTTAACTGGGAAATTTTTTTATTTTAAGGTATAAAAAACTTTACATGATTTTTAACTGTTCTAAATGGCAAAATACAAAATTTGAACAAAATTGATTCTTGAGAAAAAGAAACTTAAAAATAAGTCTTTTTTTCAAAGTTTATAACTCAGAAACTATTCAATCAATACTTTGCATTTTGTTATTTAAAATTACATAGTTTAAAATAGAGTAAAAACTAGTCAACCACACAATTAAATATTTTTTATACATTATTAAATTAAATAAAAACATTAACAATTAAAAAATTATTTTTTTACATGGATCTATCTTTGATAAATGAATTTTATAATTGTGTGCAAAAATTTTTGAAATCCAATGTAAAACTTCTCAAGATATGTTCAAAAAAGAAGTAAGTGCAGTTAAAGTTAAAGGCCCTAAACATTTTACAATATTTTTGAAATTGTGGCCATTCCCTATATATTGATGGTCAGAAGCTCAAATCTAATAATTCAAAAAAAAAGAAAATTTCTTATTTAGAGAAAACACATTTTTAAGTCTGTTTCTGTAGCTTGATTACCATATTTGAGGTGTACTTTTTTGAACCTTTAAGATTGATAAACAACTTGTGATCACAGAAACAAAAGTTGTGTTAGGTGATATCTTCGTTATTTTGAGCAATGTGTACCTAATTAGAGCGTTATATTAGAATAAATAACCAAGATTCTTACATAAGATTTCTATCAAAAAACAGATATTCTTGATTGGATTTAAAGGAATCTCAGTATTTGAGGGGAGGGGGGAAATCTTAATTTCTGTATGGAAAAAAATAAAAAAACATAATCTTTCATAAATTTGTCTGATTAAATGGAGTATTATTAATAACTTATTGATAACACTGATTAATAAACTATGCTAACACACATTAATAAATTATTGATAACACATATTAATAAATGATTGGTAACACTGATTAATAAATTATTGATAACAGAAATTAATAAATTATTGATAACACTGATTAATGAAGTATTGATAACAAATTACCTGTTTTCTACCAAGAGAAGAAATATTTAAATGCAACTCTTTTGAAAATAAATCATGTTTTCTCAAATATGAGGGTATCAGGTTCACATTTGTAGTTGAAGCAATTACTAAAACATTTGAAGCATAGTTCTAAAAAGCACAACACAAAGATCAGTAAAAAGATTTAAAAAAAACAAACAAACTAAATACTATTGTTTATTGTTTGTTAAGATAATTATTTGAATAGTTTTAAAATAGTTCACAAAATATTTTTTAGTTAATTTATAGAAATAAGGATTAAGAAATATATTAACAAATATCAATTTATGTTAGGCTTGTAAAAATTTTCAAACTAATTTGCTATCATTTAGATAAGTATTCTTCTCTTACACAGGAAAGTAAACTAAGAACGCACAGTCTTTAGTCGTCGAAAATTCACCTTCCCTCTGTTATGTAGCCAAAAATTAATTTACTAAAAAGAACTTACAACTAGCATAAGAAAACTAATAACTGTTCTTTTAATTTTCTTAAAAAATAAAACATTGAAATTATTACATTAAATGTCCAAAAAGTAGAAGTATAAATAATAGCTTACAAAAAATTTAGCTTTAATAAAAAGAAGAATTTTTTTTTTGAGCCAGTAACTACAAAGCTAGTTACTATTATCAAAGCCAGTAACTACCTATTATGAACACCATTGTGCAGTAGTAAGGATAAAGAAAATTTAAATTAAACCCCGGAAGAAGGAAAAAAATTTTAACCTTGAAAGACAGAAAATTTTTTTTAGCTCTTTGGGAGTGGAAAGTTTGCACCCTACTGTTATGTACTTAATGTTACTTAGGTCTGGTAAAGTATAGTCAATCATAATTACTATGCTATGCTCCATAGTCAAACTAATCTAATCATAAAATATGTGGACATCAAAAGTTCAATTTTATAATTTTTTATGATAAATCTAGAATTAAGAAAGGATTTAAGGCATAATATAGCTAGTCTTCGGCAATAGTCAATACAATGCAGTTAAGCATTTTTTTAATAATATAGCCAGAGCTGATCTGGCTCAGCATAACAGGGGTGATTGTGACACGAAGTATGAACGTATGTGTAGCAAATCGATATCAGTTTATGTACTATGCATGTTTCATATTCAACATAATTTTTTGAACTAACATTCATAATTAAATTACCTACTAATGAAGAATATCACACCTTTATAGTAACTAATCCAAGAAAAAACTTACTTCTTATGAAAATCGAGTGAATATGAATCGAGATTCTGGATTTCAAAAACACGAAAATACAAATTGTGATGCTGAAATTTTAAATTGTATGAATGTGAATCACGATGCATAATTTTAAGATCGCACGAATACAAATTGCAATGTGTAGTTTTTAAATCAAGCATAAATCCAAAAATCATTTTTGATATGACAAGTGCACGATTACGAATTGTGATATCGGACTTTTAAATAAAGCGAATAGGAATCTTAATAAAGGATTTTTAAAATAGGTAAATATGCAAAGCAATGTTTGATAATAACATTACACGAATAAGAATCGCGATATTAGCAGATTCTGGCACAGTTCCAAATATTCAAAATGGCAAAAATCCACCAAACCAAAAGAATCAAATTGGCAGAAGAGTCACATGTATGTATGCGCTTTGTTAATGGGATTAAACAAAAGTTTCAACATTTTGCTCTATTATAAAATTTTGATTCGCAAAGTCCATGAAGCAATGATCTTGACATTTGTGGAATTCTGTGATATTTGAGGAAAACGCACTTGCACTGCTTCTAGTTTTTAAGCATAAACGAACCATACAAATAACCTGGAGTTTCATATAAGGCCCAAAATGTAATCACCCCTGATATAAGGTTTTGTAACATTGTATCTCTTATTCAAACAAATCGAATCAGAAATGTGTGTTGTATATAAATTTAAATTTTGCTTATTTAAAGATTAAACTAGATACCTTTTTAGTTTAACTAAGAAAAGCATTTACCTCAGGCCAATCTCTAGGGGTAAAGTGACTATTCTGGTTATTTAAACAAATCTAATCAAAATTGTGTGATTTATCAAAATTTCCTTAAATTTATTTAAGAAATGCTTATTTTAGGAATAAGGCTTGCACCCAGAAAATCAATGTATGGCTTATTTTTTGTTATGCTTAACTTTATTTTCATAAAAAATAGTAGAAATAGACAAGCAAATTTGATAAAACTATATAAAAACTTAAGGACATGAAAGGAAGAAAAAGTAATAAAGATGTTAACTACCAAAGTCTTATAAATGTGAGATTCAAAGTTTTCTCGGAATTCTTCTTCCTTGAAAAGAGGGTTATCATTCTTATAAATCATATCCAAGTCATCAAAGTACAAAATAGAGTGAGGACTGTAAAATAAAAATAATTAAAAAAAAAAACAATTTTCAAACATGCATTATGGAAAGATATTTTTTTAAAAAACAAATATTACCATGAAACAGCTTCTTCAAAAATTCTGTCAAGACTTGTGGTGTTATCCTTATGTTCTGAACTAAGAAAGAAAAAATACGCTTGAGCTTTTTTTTTTTTAAATTCAAAAAAAAAAAATTATTTGAACTAAATTTACTCCTTCTGAAACATCCCATTGAGAAACATTTTTATATTTAAAATTTTATATTTTTTATTAATATAAAATCTGACACAAAGGAAACTGAAATTATTATTTTTTCACATGTTAAATGAAATCTTCTAAAAATATTACAAAGAAAACATAGTTTAAAATGAGAAAACAAAATAAAAAATTTCAAAATTAATATCTGCCACACAAAAAACGAGAAACTTCACCTTTTTTAAAATATATTGGGGGTGACAGAAGTTTATTACAAAAGGAATGAGACCTAAAATTTTAATTTTAGGTGCAATAAAAAAAAAAAAAAATTCCTCTTTTTTGATTTATTTAAAAAATGCAGTTATAAAATTTTTCAATTTTATTTTATTATTTTATGTTTAAAGTGGTTTCCATTGGTAAAAATATAGAGATAATTTTTCTTGCAAGACTTAGAAAACAATTGTAACTTGAGGATTCTTCAGGCACGGAGTTAAGCACTCTAGAAGGTCAGAAAGAAGTCGAAATTTTGAATAATGATAATTTCTATTTAGTAATTAAATCGAATAACTTTTACCATAGCAACCAAAAAACATTAGCACATAATTTGGCATCAGGCAGCATAGGAGTTGAATTTTAAGCACTCTAGCTGCCTAAAAATTTGCCTAAATCTGACTGAGGATAAAATAGTTATCAATGCTAGGAAAATTTAACAAGTTTGAATTTAAAAATAAAGTCAATTATTTAATATATAACTGGTTGTCACAAAAATGGCTGTACAATTTTATAAAGCATATAAAAAACATGAAAGAAGAAAAAAATGTACAGTTTGCTGCCTGTTCCTTGTGAAAAAACATGTTAATTCTGTTTGGTTTCAAAATTCATCAATAGATATCATTATTGACTTAAAAAAAATAATATTTTTGGATACCACCAATGTAACAACGCTACATAGTCTAATGAAAAAATTAACCTCATTGGAAGAGGAACACTCTATCCCCTGAACCATCATGGTTCACTGTTTCTTAAATGTCATTATAAACACAAAAAATTACCTTTTTATATTGTGACATTCAACAACATATACAGGGATGCTGCATTCATGCTTTAAGGCCTTGCTAATCATTGATTTTCCAGAGCCACTAGACCCAACCAAGAGGATTCCGTTAGGAAAAACATTGAATGGCCCACCATCTATAACAGTTTTAATATTAGATAAATACAAAGAACAGATAAAACAAATTCAGTTTTTGATTCACAGATTTTATTTATTATAATTTTGATTAAGAATTCTGTTTTTTTTAAAAAATTATTCTATCATTTTTGGCAAAATTTATTGAGTATTGAGTATTTAACAGGATCGACATCAAAGAAACCATGCATCACTGTTTTGACACGTTATTTAGAAATATACAAATATATACAACTGGCCCAAATGTCTTATCTTCGTGATAAATTTTTAAAAAAATATATAATTTATTCATATTTTTGATAAATACAAGTTTAAAAATTAAAGAAACAAAAGAAATAGTATTTTTGTTGAGATCCATTTTGTAAGTAAATGAAAATAAAAAGCAAAAAAATATAAAACTTTCGACTTTCAAAATCTGAAATCTTTTTGTTACCTACAATTACAAAAACTTTAGACTGAAAATTGAAGAAGCACAACCTTTTCTTCTGGGAAAAAGTCATAAAAAAAGCTAGCTTTTAAATTTAAAGGTCACAAAAGAATTCAGTTTTTATAAAAATCTGTCTTAAAAAACAAAGTAGAGGATAAATTAATTATACCTTCAGTTGAAAATTTTTGTAACGAAATTCTGCACACCACAATTCTTCATAAACAACATTAACTTTACAATCTGTAAAGCAAATGTAAATTGATAAATTTGCTGGATTTCATTATCTTGAAAATTTAACTTATTTAAGTGATTTATACATAGTTGCACATTCTTCTTGTTTAATTTTTTTTTTAAACTTTTTAAAGCATATTATAGCCATATTCAGTAGGTAAGCTGAATGATATGTAAATTACCTATATAACACAAAATTTCATAGGCACTCACATCCTGTTTTTATAAAATTGGAAATAGCAAAATTTTTAAAATAACGAATATTTCCCAAATCCCCAAATGAATTTCTATGGAAAAAATGTATTAAAAATACCGATATTAAAAAATGGATTAACTTATTTAATGAAGCCAAAATAAGCAACAATTCTCCCCACTCATTGTCAAGACATTTTTATCTTTCGTTAGAAGTACACAATGATCTCAGAAATCAAATACTAATATTTCTGTGATTATGTGCATCTATTTCACAATCTAAAAATAAAGATATTACCTGATTGCAGCATTGAAGAAATGCTGCATTTGATAAACTTGATAACTTCCTCCAAAGCAATTATATCTCTAAAGCAAATGCAGGTTTCTGGTTTACTTTGCTTCATTATAATCCTTGACAGAGAATGCAGAAAATAAAAATTTTCTTCACATAACTGTTTTTTTCTACTTCTAAATGACTTTGCTGGATCTTTACGAGATGATATGGGAGTTGATGTTTGAATGGTATCAAACCCTGAATCGTCACTATCAAAGAGTTCAGAACAATTTACTTTATTGCACTGGAGCTCTTTATTATTGATTTCTGATTTTTCAATATTTGGAGTAATATGTTTGATAGTAAATAAACAGTTATACCCCAAGTAGTTAATATCCACTTCCAAGCCTTCTCTGATATAGATATGCCCTAAAAAATAATCAGTGTGAAAAAGAATGGTTAAGAAGAAAATAACGATGAAGTACTCAAAACTTTTTACACAATTTAATGATAAACAACAATTTTACCAATATTACTGTTACTATTAAAACAAATCAGTGGAATATATAATATACAAACAATACATTTATTGCAATTTTCAAAGCAAATTATTTCAGGGTTAGAGTTTTGACATCAAAAACTGGTTCATGAAATTACAAACATTAAAAATTGATTTAAAGAAATTGTCAAAACCTAGTTAAAATTGATAAAAACCTTAAACGATAAGCAAGAAATTATAATGCTCAATGACTTTTTAGAAATTAAACTAACATATAAGCATAGTGTAAAATTTTATACAAAGTAGGAAATCCTACTACTTGTATAAAATCTACTTGTTGTGCTTGTCAACATTACCTAAACATTAAAACTACCCTGTAACATACTACATGCACTAAACATGAAAACGGCCATAAAAATCACTGATCAACTGTCTTTTAGTAGTGATCTTATAATACTAAACACTTTAATGTTACAAAAAATGAAATATGTAACAGTAGAATTTGCAAAAACTTTTATATAATGTAGGGCGTGAAATTTTCCTCTAAAATCCTATTAGGAAAAGGGATAAGAAACTAATACCTTTTAATGAATAGCATATCTTCATGCATCAGAGAATTTCTTTTAATAAAAAAACATCAAACTTACCAATAGTAATATTTATTTCAAAATGCATTTATTTCAGATCATTTTACCAATAGTGAATTTGATATAGCAGGGCTGTCCAACTGCAAAGAGCCCACGGGCCAGAATTCCGGTCACTGATCACCAGGCGGGCCAGAGTTTGAAAAAGTTGAACAATAACCTCTTACCTCTTATACAATAACAATTAATAGTTGAATTATTAATTATAAAACAATGGAACAGAAGGATTATGAAACAATTTGCTTACATTTTAATGGGAAAACTAAGGCCGATCAGCCTGAATAAGAAGATGGCGGGCCGCACAATGTGTGTTGGAGGGCGGCATGCAGCCCGCGCGCCTCCAGTTGGACAGCCCTGTGATATAGCAACGTCAGATTAGATGTTTATTGAATTCTACTGAAATTCAATTTCAGACATAACACAGGTAAGGAGATTTCTTATTTTTTAATAAATATATTTTAATCATCGTGGTTAATTTTTAGCTTTTATATTCTTGATGATTCCTACTACAGATGTGTATCAGTATCTTTTGCTATAAAAAATCTGTCACATGTACCTTGAATAACTTATGATCGGATCGTCACGCTCAAAGGACTCAAACTAAATGGCTCGAGGGGCTGACCTTAACTATACCAATTAATTAGTTGTGCAGACAATATTTTGAGTCACCAAAAAAAGGCATGTAAAGGTACTTTCTCTGAATAAACATACCTTTTTTTTCAAGGAATTTCGATTTCTGATCCTCAAAATATATGGGGTAGCCACAATCTGGGAAATGTGGTCCCCATAGTTTGATCAGGAGAGAGTTCCAAAGTTTGTACCTCATAAATTAAATTTTATATAGATATTTTTTTTTGCATATTTCCCCATATCTCAAGAACCTTTTAAAGCAAATTGAAATTTTTTTTTCACAATTACAAAATTTGTTTACCAAAGATAATTTCAAGCAAAAAATAAGTTTTAGTAAATATTTATTATTCTTTTATTTATTAACAGTAAAAAAAAATTTTAATTTTAAGATGCAACATTTTTTAGCTCATTTTAAAATACTGAATTTTACAAAGCAAAATACAATATTTGAGAAAAATTGGTTGAATAGTTCCTGAGAAATAAAATTTTTAAAAAAAAGTCCTATATTTAAGACTCAATTTCTCAGGAACTATTCAACCAATTTCACTGAAATTTTGCATTTTGCCTTGCGAACTTAAATATTTTAAATACTAATAAAATTATGTAAGCAATTGTATATACAAAGCAATTGTATGTTACAGCTCAATTTTTTTCCAACTCTTTTTAAATAAAATAATAAATATTTACTAAAATGTAATTTTTTTCCATGGAATTATTTTATAATTGTGTGCAAAATTTTTTCGATTCGCTTAAAAAGTACTTGAGATATGGCAAAATATGCAAAAAATAAAATTAGCATAAGAAGTATACTTTGAATCACTCTCGACCAAACTATTCTGACCATATTTCCCAGATTGCAGCTACCTTCTATATTTTGGGGGTCAAATATCCGAATCCGTTGAAAAAAAGGTTAGCTTATTCAAAAAAAGTACATTTTTGTGTTTCACTTCGTTATTGAAAATATCATCTGCACTAATTAAGTAGCTTATTTTATTAAGATGGTGTCCTAAAACATAAAAAACAGATCATTAGATAAAAATTTATTGAGGGTAGGTCCTTTTTCTTGGTTTACTGTACACTGAAGAACTATAGTTCTTGAATTAGATAAATTGAAGAAACTATTAAAATAATATAGTTCTACTGAAGGTTTACATAAGGAGCACGGTAAAACCTACTTTCTTTTTTTAAAAATTTCATAAAGAATCATTAAAATATTATAATAAAATTTTATTAATACTACTTAGTTAACAAATCAATATTAAGCATTACCACTAATACAATTACATTGAATATAAAAATGCATATTGAAATAACAGTTACAAATAGCATACAAATTTTTACAATCAGACATTGCTAAGAATGAACAGTTGAAATGTCTCTTAGATAATATGTTAAATAGATTTTGGTACTATGCTAAATTTAAAATATTAAATAGGTAAAAAGGATTTAAGAATTTTCACATTCTAATCAATAGTATTTAATTTTATAATCGTCGCTGAAAAGCCGACCCAATTTTTTGGTTTACGACTATTAATGTTCAATTCTGTATCCTTGTAATTTTGAACTCAATCCAGAAGGGAACTCCTGCATCAAGTATTGGGAGACATTTGATCGAACTTTTCGTTCGAACTAACCACATTTACGTTATATGGAGAGGAAAACCAAAAACCACCTCTCATCTAACCCATAACCTATCTACTACAAAGGATATTTTATGTCGGCACTGAGGTCAGTGGAAGCTGGGTGCGGAATTTATATGGACCAGCTTCCCCATTGGATTCAAACAAAGTTCACCTCAATGAAAGGTGAATGCTCTATTTCCTGAGCCATCAGGACTCAATCAATAGTATTAATCATTTTTAGTCTCTTCCTTTTCCTTCAGTTTTTCTTATTTTCAATTTCTTAGCATGTCATGAGAGGAAATAGGTTTCTTACAAACAAAAATGCCAGTTCTAATTATAAGTCAAAATTTTATGATCAGATTTCTATGAATTTTCAAACTTCGGAATTGAAGTTAAATTAATGAATTAATTCAAAACACTCTTTGATATCATTCGGGGAAATCAATGGCCAGTTCATATTTTACAAGTAAACACAGAAAAGCAAACTTAAAAAACCAACTTACTCAGTATTTTTGAAACATACGTTTGAAATTCTAGAGAATTCATGAAATCTCTATATTTATCAGGAGACAAATAGACTTCTTTTGCAGCTTCAGTACTTGATTTCAGGGGTAAAACAGAGATTGTAGAACTTTCATAATGTTTGAAAATTGAAGAATGAAAAACAGCACACTCAGCTTTTACTGCATCATGAGAAAAGAGTTTTAAAATTATAGAGCCTCTATTGGTGCTTATCAATGCCCAATCACCGTATGCAAAAGAAAGAGCAGCCATGGTGGATGGATGAAGATAAAGAATTGAATTTGACTGTTCAGACAAACTGAACTTGCTACCTGGAAAAATAATTTTATTTAGAATTAGCAGCAAAATTAAATATAAATTCTAACCAAATCAAAGTAAGAAATTTAAACACTCGCTTGAAAAAAAATATTATGCTATTAATAAACAATAGTTGATTGGATCTTGAGTCAAGTTTTGCGGGTAAAACTACACCAGGGCAGGCCATTAAAAATATTATAAGTACATACTTTTAATGTAACATAAAAGCACTGTAGGCAGTTCACTTTGGTATTGAAATAGGTGTGATCAGGTTCCAAGCAGGGTTGCAAAAAAACCACCTGCCCAATAAAACCCGCCCGGGTTTTACTGGGTATAACCCACTCTGGAAAACCCACCCTAAAGTGGGTTTTACTGGGTTTTTCTAAGATTGATTTCTTTTTTCATCCCCTGTTATATTAAAGAGCTATTCTATTGAAATATATATGTAATCTAGCCTTAAAAAAAATTAACCTACAGTGAAGAAACAAATTGTGTTGGAGACTGGAGAGTCACCTTGCTGGCTAGATTTGACTGTATAGCCATTGATTCGCTTTCTATGCAAATAAAAAAATTTCCCCTAACATTTTTTAAGATTAAAATATTAAAAAAAAGTAATCCTGTGTTAAAATAAGTTTCAAATGTGTGACGTATGTGAGTACATATAACATTTTGTATCATGATATATGAAGAAACTTTTTTCAGACTTTCACATCAATTTATTTGTATTAATTATCTATATGAAGCCAATTTATAAATTAAACTTAATTATTAATATTAAAATAAGTTTTTTTAAATTAAGGTACCTATCCCTGCCCTCTCTTTTGAAAACCCTCCCATAAAACATGAAAAACCCAGAAAAGCCCAATAGAACCCAGAAAAGCCCAATACAAACCAGAAAAGCCCAATAAAACCCAGAAAAACCCACCCGGGTTGGGTTTTTCTACAAAAACCCGGGTTTTTTGCAACCCTGGTTCCAAGTGATAGGCAAAATATACTGTTTAATAAATATTTTTAATATAAATCAATGGTTTTTTTTAAAAAAAAATGGGTGATTTAAATAAATAAATTAAAATCACTTGATTATGCCTTTTATGTGTATAAGTTAAATTTCGGATTAGTGAAACTCTCTGTTCTATAGTCACACAGTTTTATATATATCAGAGCATAAATGAAAGTGACAGACTGGAAGGAAGAAAACGTTTCCAAGAGAAAGGTTCTGAGTGTAAATGGATATATTTATATTCGTTAAAAAATTTTAATGATCACAATCACTAAAGAGGTATTTTATAGTTAAAGAATATCATAGATATTCCTCAAACGTAACACTTATACTTCGACAAGTTATAAAATAATTTACTGAAGATGAATTCTGAAATTTGACAGTTAAATTAAACCATCTAACACTAAAAGCTACAGTGTATTCGATATTAATCTCTTTTTTTTCAGTTCGGTGCTTTTTTTCTCTTTGTAAATCTAAGTTTGAAAAGAGAGTTCAGTTCCGAAATGTGAACATTTTAAGCATATCAAGCGATTTTTAATAGATCGCAGAATTGACACTTAACATTTATTCTCCCAAAAAAACCTGGATAAATTAAAGTTCAAAAAATCGATACAAATATACCATCAAATAAATTTGATTGCAGCTTAAGGCAATTCATTTTACGGCCACTTGGTGTATCCGATCCCTCCATGCTGTTTCACAACAAGTCACTACACGAAATTCCCGGTAATATTGATAAGGAATATAAATTTGTCATTGTATTCGGTAGCGATTTTAAGCTTGTAGCTTACAGTAAAGTTTTAAATAAAAGCTAGTTACTTTTATCAATTACAAAGCTCAAAGCAAATTTGTTTTCTCCGCTTGATTATTTTGTTATTTGCTCTACTCCCTATACCTCAGTGGTGTTATGATGAAATTTGTTATTGTCTGATGAAATAAACCTCTTGTTCGTTTTACCAAAAAATCGGTAGTTTGTTAACTAATTATTTTAGATAAGTTTAATTTTACTTTTATTGTCATCATGTTAAGGAGGCCTTTTTTGAGAGCAGTAAGAAATGTCCACCAGTCAAAAACTTTAAAATCTGCTCTGCAGTCAAAAGTTTTAAATCTGCCTGAAACTAAAGTGACTCGTTTACCAAATGGGTTACGAGTTGCAACCGAAGACTCTGGCATGCCCACTTGTACTGTTGGCTTATGGATTGACGCCGGCAGTCGTTATGAGAATGAACATAATAATGGTGTTGCACACTTCCTGGAGCATATGGCTTTTAAAGGAACATCAACTCGAACACAGACCGGTTTGGAGCTTGAAGTGGAGAATATGGGAGCTCATTTGAATGCTTGTACTTCTCGTGAACAAACCATTTTCCAAGCCAAATGTCTAACTAAAGATGTGGGTCAAGCTGTCGATATAATTTCTGACATTACCCAAAGCAGTAAGTATGGAGAATCGGAAATAGAAGTAGAGAGAGGTGTTATCTTGCGTGAAATGCAAGAAATTGATATGAACTTGCAAGAATTAGTATTTGATCACTTGCATGCTGCAGCTTTTCAAGACACTCCTCTAGGGCGTACAATACTGGGTCCTGTTGAAAATATAAGAGGTATCAAGCGCAAAGACCTGGTTGAATTTAAAACTAATCATTACATCCCACCCAAAATGGTACTGGCCGGAGCGGGGGGTGTCGATCACGAGGAGCTAGTGCAGTTGGCAGAACATTACTTTGGAACGAGTTGTGGACAATCTGACTTCAGTGGTATCTTAGATCCATGCAAATTCACGGGAAGCGAAGTTCGATTGAGCGACAAATCCATGCCTCTAGTACATGCTGCAATTGCTGTGGAGGGTTGTGGGTGGGTTAATCCCGAAAGTATCCCACTGCTCATAGCGAACATTTTAATCGGCAACTGGGATCGATCTCACGGAAGTGGCGGCAACATATACAGTAAATTGGCACATAAGGTTGGCAGTGAAAATTTATGTCACAGTTTTCTTTCATTTAATACTTGTTATAAAGATACTGGCTTGTGGGGTGTTTATCTTGTTTCTGATGGGAAAACCCTGAATGATATGATTTATTCTGTGCAGGAAGAGTGGAATAGATTGTGTACATCAGTCACCGAAGAAGAAGTATCGAGAGCAAAAAATCTCCTGATGACGAATTCTCTTCTCTTATTGGATGGATCTACGCCCATATTTGAAGACGTGGGCCGTCAGATACTCAACTACGGTCGCAGGATACCCATTCCTGAAATGGAAGCTCGTATTGATGGAATCGATGCGAAAGTCGTGAGAGAGGTTTGCACTCAGTTCTTGAAGAATAAACCTCTATCTATTGCCGCAATAGGATCAGTTGATGAGCTAGTGGACTATGAAACTTTGCAGAAACAGATGTGTTGATTATGTAGAATTATGTTTTCAAATTATTGAATAAAATGATTGATTTATTATTTAGGCTTTATTTTATGCATGTTTAAAGGGTATATGCCATTATAGTTGTTGTTATTGAGTATTACATGTATTTTTAACTTTTTTGTTTATGTATATATGTAACCCTGGTGAATGTCAACAATCATGTAGTCGCTTGAGTGAATGTCCAAAATATTTGTTATATTCAATTTGATATTAATTTATTCATTGTTATTATTTTATTCGATATTTTAATGTCTTCTGAAGTTAGATTAGGAGAAACATCAATATACATTTCGGAGATTTACAATAACGACTATGCGATTGTAAACATTTACCGGTGAAAGTTAACTACCAACAATTCCGGGCATTCAAAGTGACACACACATATGTATATATATAAATGTATGTATGGGTTATTTTCTCAATTTGTTAACTTTCGAAGTCTTAAGCAATATTTCTCATTAAGATATAACTATATTTTCAAGCACCACCTCTTTGTGTGCTCTGTAACACTTCACCTATGACAGGGGAGCATCTATTTGATTGCCCCTCTCTTCTTGACATTCGTTCCTGTGACGAATTTCGTGCCCTCTCACCTTCTGGTGCTACTTCACTATCGTATTGCACTGCAAGACACCTTATGTCTGAGAAGACGATGGCGGGCCTTAATTTTCAAAGAAATCAAAACATTTTCAAGAAATTTTGAGGAAGAAATATTTCAGTCATATTTATGTAGTCTGTTATGGGAATCTTAAAAGTTTTTTAAATTACATTTATCCTAAGAATAGAGAACACATTTGACGGAATACTATCAGATCCCACTTACGTTAAATGTCTGGGTACCTAACAATAAGTCAACTATATCAGAACTCTTTGATACAATATTCAGTAGTAATGTTGGAAGTAGTGAGTATTTCATAAATTGCTCTTTAAATTATCAACTTCGTAAATATGTTAAGTTTCTCTGCAACAAAGTACCTTTCCAGCGAAAGTCCTTTTTATGACGAAAGTATTTACGGCAATCTTAAATAATGTTCTCCGTGCAACAAATAAAGAGGTTGTCTTCTTATAACCCATTTTTTTATTATTTACCTTTCCAATTTTTGTAATTATTTAGATGTTTATCTTTTTCATTTCTACCATTCAAGAAAGTTGGAATTTCTGTGAAACAAATTTGCTCTCTCATGTGCCTGTTTATGGAATCTGACCAAATTCAAGTTAACATTTCTGTTTCATGGGTTAATGAAAAGTGATTATTTCTTATTTTTGGATGTATTGCTGAGACTAAATTTTTTGTGTCATTTATTTAAATAAGTACAAAGAAAAAACTTGAGTTGTTTATATTGACAAACTACCAATCTCTCGGCTGCTCACTATAAGTGTATAAAAGGTTGCATTTTCGACGGGACTACTGAAAGTTCCACTGTATACTTCTTCCTGTGCTCATTTTTTAGGCTGGGGTTAATGATTAGCAAGGTATTGTGCAACAAAACTTAATCATTTTTATTTTATTTGAATAAGCCTTTTTAAGAGGCTTCCATGAATAATAATTTTTTTTTTTTTTAATTTTAAAAAGTGTTACCTTTATTTAATTTCTTAACATGTTTCATTTTTTTTTTCCTATTTTGAAAAATAAAAAAATTTTCTTATTTCTGTGCGTTTATAAAAGTGAAAAGGGTATAAAATTTTTTCATTTTGTAATTAAAATTATTTACTTTTTGTTAATAAATTTTTATCCGCATTTTGTTGATTTGAATCATATTTTATAGTGACCGATTTTTTAAAAATTCTTCATTTGCGTCAATCGGATTATTTTTTTTAATATATATAACCATAAATTACAAATAAACTAAGCATTTTATTAAGAATTTATTTAATTTTCATAATTTTAAGATTCATTCTAAACATATTTTTATTTAATTTGTAGATGAAGGTTGACATGATCAGTAATTAAATCCCCTCAAATTAGCTTCAAATAACAAAATTACATTTGTAGTTTGTGTGTAATATTCTGGAATGATATTCTAAATATCTTCCATAGTTTTAGTACTATTCTGACTGCAAGTAAAGAGAAATTTTTTATACCATTTTTTAAGCACTTAGCTGTACTATAGTACTTACTATAGCTGTAAACTTAAGTACAATAGCTGTAAAGAGTAACGGTGGTTATGGATTCTTCAAAAAAAAAAAAGTGGTGGTATTGAAAACACATGAACCATGGCGGACTCATGTATTTTGTTTAGGAAACATTTCTTTTAAATTTCAAAGTCATAAAATTTTTTACATATTAAGAGTAATTTTATTTAATCAAACTTCTATAAATCAAACTAATTTTCTATTTTGCTTTACTTTGCATTTCATTCCTATATTTATATCACTGCATTTCAAAATCCATCTGAATGACCAAGGTATGGTGCGTATTTCTAAACCGGTGCTAAAATAGACACTTATGTGCATGAAAATTTTAAAAACATTTGTTCGAAACAAGATCTTTGTACAGGGCTACTACTGATCTATAAAAGGCTTAAAAAAAATTGTAGTAAGGATATTCTACCTTTTGGTTTGGGAGAAGTTACTACCTGCGACTATCAGACCTTTTTCTGGTATTTGACCGATACAATTAAAACTCCATATCACAAACTTGAAGAGTGAAAGAGAAAATTTCTAAATATCGAAGTTTAGGTTATTAAAAATCATATTTTTAAAATCAGAATAAAGAAAAAACGTTATTACATGCTTTTTCAAGAAGTAATTCATTAAAGTAAACATTATGCTCCATAAAATGATTTTTTTGAAAAGAAAATTTAATTTTTTCTTTGCTTAAAGAAAGAATATGATAATTTATTTCTTTAACTTTTTGACTGAATATTATCTTTTTAAATGTGTTTTTATACATTTTGATCAATAGTAAACATATTCAGTTTTTATTTGATAACCATTTCGAACAAATGACTACAAAATTGTTATCAAATGGTTATCATTGGTCCAAATGGCTTCAAAACACAATAAATACAGTAACCCTGAAGTATTGGCAGTCAGAAACTTGCAGCGCTCCCTAGAATAGAAAGCACCATCATGTTATTTTAGAATGATACCTTACTTTTTCAGGGCAACACTAGTTGAAATGTGAGCCAGGCCGTGTTATCATATCGTTGCAATCATTAGGATGATAAGAAATTCAGCATTTTTTTAATCTTTTAACCAGCATTTTATCAATCAATTCAAAACCACAATCCACCTCATTTTGGCTTTATTTTTTTTATCAAAGCCGCATAAACCCCTTTTAGAATATTAAGAAGGATGGGTATGCATTTCACCAGCTGAAAAGCTAGACTGCTACCTTTGTCAGTCATTAAAATATATATAGTACATAAAATATCTATATTTGGGAGAAAGAGATATGCTACTTGAAGTAACGTATAATAAACCAACATATTCGAGTTGCTGTTCTGGCTTTTGATATTTCTGCCTATTGTAACTAAAAGGATTTGCTCTAGAAATTGCTTCTCATTCATTTTTTTCAAGGAAAAAAAAGTCAATATTTCTCCAAAAAGCAAAGAACAGTTTGTTAGTGAAATATGTAATTATTTTAGTTTTATACGCAAACACTTATTGTTAATGGGTTTAGCTTACTGAAATTAAGATAACCAAATGATAATCTTTTGTTACTATATAAATTCAAATTTGTGTGAATTTATATAATAACACAGCTTTTATCTTTTTTTTTAACACGGCATTTATTTGTCGTTAATTCAATTTTTTTTTTCTGAACGTCTAAAAATTTCAATACAAATGTCAGAGTTATGGTGGCTCAGGGGATACACCACTCGCCTCCCAATGAGATGACCTGGGTTCGAATGCCAGCTGTGGCAGGTCGATACGAGCTTCGCTCCTGGCTCACATCGATATCACACTGAGGTAAAATAACCTCAGTGGTAGATGGATTACAGGTTAGAGTCCACTTGCCGTTAGGCTAGTCATGAGCGGTTTTTATGATTTCCCTCTCCGTGTAACGTAAATGTTGGTTAGTTCCATCAAAGAGGCCTTCACGATGGCAAAACACCTGACCGCCGGGACAGCCTGCTCAGCAGGACGCTGAACTCCCGTTCACGAGAACGGAAGTTCAAATCCCATGTAGTAAATGGTGACTGATGCACGTTTAACCTGTCGGATCACAAAGTCCACCATGTTCCTATAAAAAATTATAACTCAGGGGGTACTGAATTGGAGATGGATCGATCTCTGGTTCAGATCAAAATTACGATCTGTGGATGAATTAATGGCTCCGTCCTCTAAACGGGTGCGGCACAAGTCGAATTCTTGGCCAAAGAAGTCGCTCCTAAAAAACTGGATCAATCGCACCAGGGCTCGAAAAACCACCCGTCCGCCCGTCCTCGGCAGTCAAAAAATCCCCGCGGACAACGAATTTCTCGAATCCGACGTCCGCGCGGACGGCCATTTTCCCGTTAATGTTGGTGATACATTTTCAATTTTTGTTATCTTACAAGAGTCTAGCGCCTCACTTCTAAAATGACCCTCTAATCTAGAAATACAGCAACATACTGCGCATGGTGGAATTGATGTTTTCTCTGTCTCCCGTACTGCAGCGGTTGAAAGGGACTTTTCAGCAACGAACTTACAAAAAATAAAAAACATTACGTACTGGTCTTAAACAAGAAGCGTTAAACGCAATTATGAACATCTACCTAAATGGAAAACTCCTTTCAGATTTTTGTGCAGAAACCTCTGTAAATCGTTGGCTTGATTGTGGAACTGGCAAGCGTCATATTTGATTCATTGAAAAAACGCAGTACCCTCGGATAAATTGACATTCCAGATAACTTGACATTTGTTATTTAAATTATTTCATAAAAGAAATAAATTATATCATAAAAGAAATAAATTATTTTATGAAAGAAATACTAGGTTCCTATTAGTAACCTAGTATTCCTTTTATTACTGTATAATGCAATCCTAGTATTTGTAATCCTTGTAACTACTAATTCATTGTGCAATTTATATAAATGTTTGTAATAAATAAAAGAAAATTATATTTTTATTTATTAAGAAGCGACGGGTTCGTTTCAAAGGAGGACGGGTACATTGTTGGACAAGCCGTCCTCAGGGACGGGTAAAAGTTTTGAGTTTTTTCGAGCCCTGAATCGCATCCCTTGCCTTAATGGCCTAGCTACGACAGTGTTTCCCAAAGTGGGGTACGCGTATCCCCAGGGGTACGGGAACAGTTTAGCGGGGGTACGCGTTCTTATGCGAAATATCTTGCAATAAACGAAAATTTCAAAAAATTTTATTTAACTATAAAGCTAGCCATGAAAATTTATGATTACGTATTTTTCTATTGGCTATTTCTTTGCAGAATTAACAGTTAATAATTAGTGGTATCAACAGTCAGTTGTGATTTTTAACTTTATTGCAACTTTTTTATGGTAAAAAATATGTTCATTCTTTTTTATTAGTGGTACACAGCGTTACGAAAAATTTAGAAAGGGTACACAAAAGTCATAAGTTTGGGAAACACTGGCCCTACGGCAACAACAAATGTCACTCCACTTTATATTTATTACTTATGTAAAAGTGCTGTCGGACTCTTTTCTGGGGTCTTAACTTTTTCAGCGTGTTCTATAGGGTCCATTGCTCGAATTTTGGAAGCAATTTTTTTCTGTGAGTTCTTTTTCTTAAAATTTTTTAATGAGAAACGACAGCGAAGCACAACTTTGAATTTTTTTAGTCCTTCAGTCATAACAGTTTTGCTTATCGATAAAAAGTGCTTTCCCTCAAACCATCAAGTCCCTTTTTTGGTAAGGTAAGGAAATAGTTATTTACTTTTTTTTAACGCAAAATTTAATAATTCATGAATGTAATTAATAATTTAACATTTTGTTACCTACAAAAGCTGAATAGGAATTATTTAAGTTTACTATAATTAAAGATGCTCTGTTAAAACTTTCCACAATATCACTCAATTTTTAAAATTTTTAGGGTTGAGTTTTTTTAAGGATGGTCAGCTCAAAGTCGCAGGTTACAATTAAATTTGAAATTTTTAGCTTCTCCTAATTTTTAACTTGCCTAATGTAATTAAAATAACTGTAATCTTTAAAATCATTGAGATTTAATTTGCTTTAGAAATTTAATGCTAGAAAAAGGTAGGGAGGTATTTTATTTAAGACGCACTAGAGCTGTACAATGGGCTATTGGCGACGGTCCGGGAAACATCCCTGAGGACGATCCGAAGACATGAAATCACAATTTTGATCCTCTGCGGAAGGGATGGCTCCTCCACTTTGGTAGCCCGACGACCTAAGCACGAAGTCGAGCATTTTACGGTAGAATACTTTAAAGAGGACCAATACCGCGCACCCCCGGTCCCTACTCAGGCTGATCAAAATAGTCATTCACCCGATTACTGACCGCAGCCAGTGACGTTTATCTTCGGTGTTCTATTGCGAACTGTGTATACGATCAGTCCACTGCGGGACTAATGCTAAAAAGAATATTCATTTCAAAAAGTACTAAAATTTAGTAAAAGTACTTAAAATTTTAAGTACTTTTACTTTTTACTCGTTACTTTTTTAAATAAAAACTTTTTACACGTTACTTTTGCTTAAAGTACTCGTTACTTTTCAAACGTAACGTTCCCAACGTATGAAAAAAAAAATAATACAAGGATTTTATACTTCGTTGTAAGTTAAGAAAGGACAAGTGCGATTTAAGTAATCATCAAAGACTGCATATAGTTCCTTTTTATTTCGTTATCAAACTATGCAAATATATTTCAAAACAATATAAGAGACAAAGGTTTAATTCAAGCTATCTTTAACGATATAAATCATAGAATTATTAAGAAAAAAGTTATAGATTCGTAGTCTTACTGGAATCCTACACTTGGCGACATATTTCGAATTTTGATAGATAAGGAGATCATGCGTTCTTGAAAATAAAACCACTATATGAAATTGCAAAAGTATTGGATTCGATTGGACCACTAAGCATAGCGAATTTTAGGCTGACATGCACTTACCAAATCAAATGCGCAATGAAGAAATTTAAATTTTTTGCCGTAGGAAAAATCGTCTGCAAGAAACAATGTTATTTTTTATTTTATCAGTTTCTTTATATGCGAACAGAACGATGTTTATTTTTTTCTTTTGTCAGTTTCTATAAATGCGAACAGAAAAACACTTTGTTAGGATTTCGAGATATTTTTATTAATTCTTATAACTAGTTCAAAGATAATTCAATAAGGTTTGTTTCACTCATTTCACACTATTTGAGAAAACAAGCAAAAAGAAAGCTGTACAACGTTGTTTCAAAAGTTGGCGATGTAGATATATGTTCGCGCTAGGGAGCTTTGAATCCATTTGACATCCTCTTAAATTCAAACAGGCTATCTCCCTAGGGATAATGGTTTTTTTCTTAATTTGTTGCTGTTGTTGTTGTAGTTCATTTACGTCGCACTAGAGCTGTGTGCTGGGCTATTAGCGACGGTCTGGGAAACATCCCTGAAGATGAACCGAAGACATGCCATCACAATTTTGATCCTCTTTTGAGGGGATGGCACCCCCGCTTCGGTAGCCCGGCGACCTGCACGCAAAGTCGAGCACTTTACGGTATAAAAGTTTAACGAGGACCAATACCGCACACTCTCGGTCCCTACGTAGGCAAATCCAAGTGGTCACACACGCGAACACTGACCGCAGCCAGTGATGCTTGACTTCGGTGATCTGCTGGGAACCGTGTCTTAACGATCAGTCCACTGCGGGACCTTAATTTGCAACAGAGTATAATACAAGGTTATGAAATATAGACAAATAAATGAAAACGTAAAGTTTTCATACGGATTCCACTTGATGCGTAGCATTCAGTACGTACTGCACTGCGCTGTTCGAAACCTTTTATGAAACTGCTGAATCTCTCTAATAATTAATATTCATGTCCGTGAATAAGAAACAATAGTTTATTTATTTTTTTTAAATTTATTTTTATTAAAAAATTTCATATTTCAACAGTACATATTATAATACTTAATAAAATATAAGTAATCCAAATTATATATTTACAAAAAATGTTACTGTTTACACACGTGTGTAAAAAAAGGTAAATTTATTCTCACCAAAGTAATAACATTGAAGTGAATAATTTTCAAACCAAAGCAAAAAAGTTTCCATAAACAAATGTTTAAAAGAAATTGATGACTGTAATTAAAAGTGTGCGATTCTTTACTTAAAATTATACTATTTGTAAATCGAATAGGCAACTCAAGGTGACACGATTTTCCGAATCTCCCCACTTTTCTCCCCACCGTTACCATGGTTTCAGCAAAATTTGTTTTTTTCCTCCATGCAAGTTCATATTCTTATTTCTCAATGAAACTTACCGTCAACTAATAATAACAGCCTATTATATTTCACAAATAATATAATCAAAGTAAATATTGCCAACTTCTATGCATATATACACATTTTATAAAGTTTTGTCAAAAGTTGTGAGTCTTTTCCTCATATCAGCATACATTTACTGTGCAATCGGCGAAAGTGTCGCCTGACCTAAAAGAGAACAGTGAATGAGTTACACTCTTAGAAATCCAAATCAAAATTTTTGATCATTTTTCATTGATGGACCAACATAGTCTTGATGGTAACAATCAATAATTCCATCATGAACCATTATATTTCTGATAGTAACCAACATAAGTAAACATCACCCCAATATAGGGATTCGGCCTGATTAATGATGGTCCTACATAAGAATAGCAACTTGTTTTGATGGTTTGTTTATGTTGAACCATCAGAAATTTCCATCACAGTTTCCTAGAAATCAAATGTTGGAACGATCATGAGTAACGACCATCCCAATGTAGGAATTCGAACTGATTTATGATGGGCCCACGTAAAAAAAATGTTTTGATGGCATATTCCTGAAAACCAACAAGAATTCCCATTAAACTTTCATTTAAATGTATAGTTGGAACCATCACGGATCATCATGGATTGTTGGTCCATCAGAATCAAACTTCTTTGGATGGTTAACCATCATAGTATTAAAGTAGCATTTCCCATCATGGAATGATGGAAGCTTGTTGGCATATCAAAAACCATGAGCACATAATGGAAAAAGTTGGATAATGGTGACTATCAAATGATGTCGGACCATCATGAATCGCAATGAAAACAACATAAACTATCAAAATGCTTTGATGGGACCATCAAGATTTTTGACTTGAAATAAAACTCTCAACTTTACAAACGTTGCATTTCTACCCTTCCGTTGGATTTCATAATATTTAACAACCATTTCGTCCATGAGTTTTGATGAAACTCGAACTTGCAAATATTTGATGAAACTGCTTCCTCCCTCATTCTATCAGTTCATTTCGGAAGTTTGAACTTAAGAGTTCTCTCCAACTTTTTATTCATTTATTAATTTTTTTCCACCTAGATTTTAAAAACATTTGCACTATATGATGGGATGGTGCAGCGGTAAGTTCGCTCACTTTATAAACAGGGCTCCCGATTCTAATTTTCGGCGATGAGTGTGCACTCATACTTATGTTGTATTTTCGAAAAAATTGTGTTAATAGATGTGTACCAGTAGAGGCCAGTTCTTTTGACGAAATACTTATCCTCAAACAAATGAAGATATTAATTGTGTCTAGGGGTATTACTACCCCTATTAGTGACTATGCACTATAAGTGACTATGCACTATAAGATACGTGACTATGCACTCTAAGATTACTATTAGTGACTTTGCACTATAAGATAAGAACACTTACGGTGCCACTTGAGGCAAAACGTTTCTGTTGGAGTTGGCGTTTCTATTTTGGAAATATTACTGACATAGGGGATAAAGTGAATTGCTAAGTTGTAGCGCATCATTGATTTAGTATGAATAGACGCCAAATTGACATTAATACTTATGAAAAAAATAATAATACATGCATTTATTTGTTTTAAATTCCCCAAACTGGGTGGTAACGAAATCTAATAATCAGAACAATCGTCTTTAATTTGGAAAAAATGTTACTGTTAACTTGACGAGTTTTACACAGAACTTAGTTGTAATCCACTATGTCTTTACCAATGCCCATAAGCGAGTTAATGATTGCGCATGCGTAAGTTTATTGACCGTTCACCAATTGCAAGAGGTCCAAGCAACCTGCTGCGTAATTTCAATTCTGATTAAATTCACTGTCTTAATTATTCCAACAAAACCTGTAAAAAAAATGATCTAGAAGGATAATTAAATTTACCTGCAAGATGAGTGTGATAAGGAGAAAGAAGACAACAAATACAGCGAGCAGAATAATGAAGATCTCGTGTTGTAGAAGCCAGGTCATCCAATAACCACTGGTCAGAATAAGATAGAGTCCCAGGGCTAAACCGAAGGGATGGTAGAGAACTTTCAAACTTTCCTCTTCCTCTTCTTCGTTCTCTCCCCCAGCCATTCTTCTTTCTCTTCTCTACTCTCTTAGAATCAACAATCTCTATGTTTAGCGTGTCCTTCATAAATATAGTTATTTAGTTTCTTTATCAGAAACAGAAATGAACAAAATTATGGGCAATGAGGTTGAAAATTAATATTTAAGCTAAAGAATAGCAAAAACTCTATCTAACTTTATTTCTAACCGGCGATGAATTGTCGATCCATTTTTTAAGTATAAGACTCAACGCCGTAGCCTTGTAATTTTGAACCTAAACTAAAAGACGAGGGGGCTCCTGGATTAATCATAGGAACATCACTTGTGGAGGACTTTTTGATGGAACTGTTCCGCAATAGTGTAAATCGGAGAGAAAAACCTCCCAAGGTTATTCAGCCGGCAAAAGGATTCTAACCCATCATCCGTCAACCAGTGATGATATTTTAGGTCAGAGAATTCGTATCGACCAGTCATCGCTAGGTTTCGAACCTATGTGACCTCGTAGGGAGGCAAGTGGTTTATCCCCTCAGCCAACACGGCTCCTCTATTGAAATTATATTTTCGTAGACCTAGCATGCCTGAAAATCAAAAAAAAAAAAAAAAAAAAAAAAAAAAAAAAAAAAAAAAANAAAAAAAAAAAAAAAAAAGAAGAAAGGGGAGGGGAAAAAAGGAGAAAAGAAGTAAAGGAAAGAAAAAATACGCTTTAAAATGTTCCAATCTTTTATGCTTTATTTCATAGCCACATGCTAAAGCTTGTGAAATTTTTTAAAAATTGATAAAGTATGAGCATTGGCTTTCCAGATAATTTTGAAAATTAATTAATTATTTGAACTGAAAATGTTATTTTTTCTAAACTGTTTAAAAAAGTTCCAAAAATTAATAAATTATTTGAGCTAGAAAGCCGACCGGACTGTGTTGTGGTCAGGTAAAAGGCCTTGCATCACAAAGGTTCTGGGTTCGAATCTCGGGCAAGGCATGGATGTTCTTCATTCTCTGTCCTTATTGTGGGACCAACGTTGACCCACCTAATAGGGTGCCGCTGAAAGAGTGGCCAACAAATCTGCCCTTCAGATGCCTGTTTTGACGAAAGGTCATTCTCCAGGTGGGCATTGGAAAAAAGAAAAATTTGAGCTAGAAACATTAGCTTTTCCATATTGTTCAAAAAATTGATTATTTGAAACTAAAACGCTATGTTCTCAAACCATTTTGAATTTTTTTTTAAATGAAGAATTACTTTAACTGTGAAATGCTTACTTTTCAGAAATTGTTAGCCCGAAATATTTCAAATAACTGCTTTTATTATGTTAAGTTTCTTTAAATTTTCTTCTATTTGTTTATTTATTTACTTTTTCTAATGATATTAATTAGATGACCATAGTGCTAACGAAAAATATCCTCAGTGGTAGAATGATCATGGGTAAGAGTCTCCTTGCCGTCAGGTTAACCATGGAAGGTTTCCGTGGTTTTCCTCTTCATGCAACGCAAATGCTGGTTTATTCCTTCGAAAAGTCATCCGCGAAAGCAAACTTTCTTCCTATACTTGATCCTGGCGTTCTCTTGTCTTCCGGATTGGATTCAAAATTACAAAGTTACGGAGTTGAACATTGGTAACTCAAAATCGGTTCAGCTGCTCAACGTCGATTATAAAATAAAAGAAGTTATTAATTAGATGAATTATTTAACATTAGTTATTTAACATTAATTGTTTAGCTTAGATTAGACGCAACAACTCGAAGAAAATTACCGAACACAATAATCGTGATAAATTAATAGGACTTTTATGAATCTTTCAAAAAAAAAAATTCTACTCCCATTAAGCATTTTATTAATTTTGAAAGATAATTTTCTAGCTTCCTTTACATTTCTAATAGTAAAAATGTAACAAAAATACTCAAAATAAAGTTTTCTGTAAAGCTACAATGCAACTTAATGCCTGGCTAGCTGATATCTAACCTTTCGGGGAAAAAATAATAATCAAAACTCGCTAAATTTTTTAAATTTTTTGGAGCCAGGACCACTTTTTAGGTGCCAGAGGAAAAAAATGTCGGAATCCTGATAATTTATTAAAATATAGGGATCCATCTACTATATCTTAGGCTCCTTGACGATAGGTTTTTGTAGATCCCTGTTTATATTACATTAATACAATTTAATTTTTAAAAAAATAGTTGTAAAACTCATTCCAGAGCTAAGAGACCGTCCAAAAATGATATCATACTGATTTTTATATTTTTGATCCTCCTATTCCACCCTTTGTCAGAAAGTGTTGCACTTCATCGTACTTGCTACTCTAATTCCTCGTCACGTGTCACGCTGCATTACATTATCAGTTCAGAAACAGAGAACATATTACTATATATACATCATATTTCAAACTTTAGCTTTAAACTTTTTACCGAGTGTTTTAATGAAATAAGTGAGAAAACAAGAGCAGTTAGATGTGCATTTATTTTGATAAAAAAATCATAAAAACTGATTGTTTAAATTGTTTAATCTGTTTTATTGTTTAAATATTTTAATTTTAATCAAAATGTGTGATGTCAGACTTTTTGGTACCCGGTTTTGCCGATCATCACAATTTTGAGAAACCCTCCCTCCACACCAATCGTGAGATCCTTTACTGACGGTCTCCTAATAGTTTATATATTAATGTGTCTTATGAGGCTTCTTAATTTAGTTGTATTACTGTTTAATACACTGAACTCACTTTTTTGTATACTGCCTTCACATAACAAGAAATTACAGTGGTGTGATTTTAGAGTTATTTACTAATAATTCTGTATCAATAATACGCCAACAACATTATAAATATTGAAAAAAATTTCTAATATTCAAAATCCAAACTGTCCCGAAAGCAAACGATTCTAAGACAAAAGTTGAAAGAAAAAAGAAAAGGAAATAAAAACAAGAAAGAAATTAAAAGATTGAATAATTTGGGAAAATAATTAGAAGTTATAAGAATAAATTATTAGAAATTAAAAGAACGGATGAATATTCTAGTATAGAATAGTCATTCGTTCTTTTAATGTTCTAGTATTTTCGTTCGCAAAATGCATCGAATGGCAGCTAATTTCTAACATTTCAGAGCCCATCGTCTTGCATAAATGTCCCAAAATCATTTGAACAGATATTTTTTAGTTGTCCCGAACTATTTTAGCCTCGTTTATGAATAACTCTTTTCTCTTAAAGATTCTACTAATAAAGTATACTTCTGAATTAAAAACAAGAGTATACTTACCGAATGAAAAGTGTAATCATTGTTAGGCTAATTTATAGGGCGTTCGACAGTTTGTGGCAGTCATAGTAACCGTCTCCAAATTGAAGATCCCTCTGCGGATACACCGTTACCATGGAAACAAAAATCAGCATTGATTCTTCCTCGCCATGTTCCTCGCATTCAAGTCAGAGAAATCCATGAACGATGACGTCAGCGCAGTAGGTATCCTTGAAAAATGTCTATGGCAGTGGTATCCAAACTGGGGGCGAATTCTCCCTTCTCCCCTTCAACGGGGTGATAATCCTCAGAAGGCGATGAGCATTGAAAAGAAAGTAAAACAAAGATAAAAAAACTAGCGAATATCGATATTGAAAATTTATACGAGACCGGTCGTTCTGAGTTCAGACGAAGAATTATGAATTGAAAATAATAATAATAAAATAAATAAATAATTAAATATCAAAGAGCTTGAACTTTCTCGTCATACTTTGGGTTGAACAAAGATCTGTTTTCCAGATTCTCTTATAGCGAAGAAATAGATGAACATTTGCTTGAAAGCATAACTCTGTCGAATATTCATGCTTTACAATAGAGCTTTCAAATTTTAATTAACAACGCTTTCGAATCTCCCAGATTACAATTTAAAAGAAATATCTACTCCTGTTTCTTCAAATATCTGTTCTTTTTTAAAAAATAAATAAAAGAAAAAAAAATGTTAAAAAATTACTTTCTATTTTTTATTATTATTATTTCAATTCAGAATTATCAATGCTTATAGTGGAAGCATGTGATTCTTTGAACACAAAAAAAAGAAGAAAAAAAAAGTGAAAACGTGTAACAATTATGTCCGAATTTCTGTCTTATTTTTCTCTATCAGAACGTAATTAATTCACGAAGTAAAGAATAACAAAGATGGATTAAAAGTTCTAAAAAATTAAATTAAGTAAACGACTTTAAAAGCTTAAGCAATCAGTGACAAAAATAGCACAAAATCAAAAAGTTTAAAATAGAGTAAGTTTGGGTAAGTCTTTCTCTATCGGCTTCACGTAATCAAAGTCACTGCAATCTCCATATTCTTTAAGATATAATACTAAATCTATATAAAAAAGTGAATTAGCTTTCAGATCTGATTGTGTGACGTAATTAGTAATTACCACTAATACAAAGGGATATTTTCTGTAAATCGCTTGAAATATGAAGAAATACGATCGCTAAATTCACCTTTATTTTCGCTTAAGTTTATTTAATTTTAGAAAAATTGAATTTTTCCAAATTTCTCTGAATTTCTTTTCATCTTCATGAATATTTAGGATATCACATTATAATATTTCGTTTTCTCTGCTCTTNAAAAAAAAAAAACAGAAGTGAAAAAAAAGGGGGGTGGGGAGAAAAAAAGAAGAAAGAAAGAAAAGAGAGGTGCGATAGGTGTCAGTCAACATTTAAGGAGTAAATATAATAATTTAAAATTAAAATGATGAAATATTCACCACTATGAAAACTGGAATATTTATATTCATTCTAGAGTTTCATTTTTTAATGTTTAAATATTAACTCTACACAAAGTAATCTTTCTGAAAATTTTTATATCAAGGTATCAGAATTAAATAACGATTTTTAAAAATAAGTTTAAAATTAACACCTTTTGTTGGTCGGAAAAATCACACGGAACGATCTGGTGTTCCCCCATTAATTTCTACATTTTTTTTGGCTGTCAAATCACTAAACTAATAAAAGTCATATAGGCATTACTTTCCTGTAAAATATTTTTATATCCTAAATTTTTAGGTTTTTACCATTAATATTTTGTTTATTTTACTTCATTATTATGATTTTGATTGTTTCATCACTATGAAAATGTGTTGCATGCTCTCTCTCTCTCTTGCTACTTTGTTTAACCTCTACTTTATACAATTACGACATAAGCAACTCTTTTAGTTTTAAATTATGAATTTAAAACTAAAAGAACTTTATCATAACGAAATTCTTCTATATTACTTTATAACGCTACATTTTAAGATAAACGTATTCGAATCGGAGTCTTACTAACCGTTTTACAATCATAATTTTTTTGGTGTAAATTACATTAATGTGCATAAATAGCATATTACGCCCTTAATATGCTATAACGTTAAAAAAATTCGTTCAGGAAAATAGAACTTAACGATCAGCTTTATGTATAAATTGTAGATTTGCTTGTTTGGTAAGCTAAAATGAATACTTTGTATTTTCTCCACACTGTTCTCGGTTCGGGAGGTAAATATTGAGGAAATAAACAACAATGCATGAGAATCAATTTCAGAGGTTTAGAGGAGAATTCTAAGAGTTATAGAATCATACGAAATCTTTCATAACTATTTATCACAAAAAATTTTCTCGAAATAAACATTTAACTTATTGAACAAGAAATGATCGTTAGGCAAGAGAAGTGGGAACACAAGCGTGAGCAAACAAAATTCTTTATACTAGTACATTTATTTTAAGTGAACTTTCAATTGTAAAAAATACTGTTTCATGGTAAGAAATAACAATTATTGAGAAGCAATCATTACTGTTGGTGAGCAGCAAAGAAGTGGGAGCTTAGTGCCCTAGTAATTTCTATCATATTCTTCCTTCTTCATAGTGCCCTAGTAATTATTATAATAAAATAATTATTTGGAAAAGTAAACTTGAAAATGAAACGGTGAAAAATTCTTCTCAATGGAAATGAGCGAAAACTGGAAATTCCAGAGTAGTTTTTATTGAAAAATTTACAAAGCGACATTTTCTAAAAACTATAATTAAAATTCTCTAATAGTGGCATTTAATTGTTTAAGGCAGTGTGCGCAACTTTATTTCGAGGGCATAGAAAGGAGTTTTTTTTTTTTTTATGTAAGAAAAATTGTATTTCAATTTCGCTGATTGGTAAAATTTGGCAGCAAATTTTGAGCTTTGGCAAAAAAGAAAAAAAACTTTTTTGTTGATAAAGCTATAACTGCACTTAATGAGGTTTTGGGTAAAGCATTTCGCTGGGCCCCTGAAAAATGATACCTTATTATATTCGCTAACTTTATTAATAGTTTTAAAAAAAATTATTTTTTAAATTATTTTTTATAAAATTATATATAGGACATCACTAATGTCACGTGGGCCTCATAATGTTATAAAAAAGTTCGACCCGGGACAAATGCTCCGTCGCGTCGCCATCCACATAATATATTTAACTAATTTTTAACGCTTAAATTTCAAGTGTGGGCCTCTTAATTTGTATAGTTCAAAGCTTTTCATCTTCATGCATGGGCCTCTCTTAAAGTAACGTTCAAAAAGATAACATACAAAGGTATAAGAATACTGATTTTATTTCCGAATACTAAAAATATATAATTTAAAACGACTATTCCATATTTAGTTTCTTTTTTCTCGTTCTTCCTTTTTATTTAATTTTTCAAATCACTGAAGAAAGGGAATACAGTGGAATGCTTTGAAATATCATAGGTGAATTTTACTCATAATTTATAAAAAATATATTTAATTCTGAATGAAAAAAAACAAACTTTCCATTAAAAGTATTTTTCTATGGTAATAGAAAATAATTACAACAAAATGTTTGTAAAAAAAGATGAAATAAAAGCTTCGAAGCGAAGTTCCTAGGGGGCCGTTCAAAAAGTACGTACACAAAAATGGAGAAATTTTAACCCCCTCCCCCCCCTTCGTACATTACCGTACACAAGGTCTTACTCCNTCCCACCCCCTTAGAGTACGTACATTTTATTAGTCTACCCCCCTTTTTCATAAAAATTAAAATAATTATGTTTTAAATAAAATTAAATATTTATTTAATATAATGTATTAATTTAAATTATTTAAACAATAACACCGAACTACATATACGTACTTTGTATAATACCTCCCCCCCACCCCATCATACAAAACCGTAAAAAATAGCAAATCCCCTCCCCCCTTCGGGATGTACGTACTTTTGAACGGCCCCCTAGGAATCACTCTTTAGCCAGGAATAAACTGCGCATGCGTGAAAACAAGCATGGGGGGGGGTGGGGAATCTGTGAAATACGTAAACGTAAACACTTCACTGACAGAGCGATCACATGTTTTGAAGTTATATCTATCCTCTCATTTGGGGTAAAGACGAAGAAAGCACGCTTAATAGTGTCATACTTTTATAATAACTGAATTTTAAAAGAGAATGATTATTCTATATTTTTCTATCGTGTTTGTTTTTACCTATTTCCCAGACACAAACTGTGAGAGTATTTTTAAATCAGCCGAATGTTTTTCCTTGTCTGGTCCGTGGAAATCAGTGAATTTAAATGGAAGTATGGACTTTATATTTATAAGTATCTACTCATTGAAGTGTTATATACTTACTTTCTCGTTTCACAATTTATTTTCTTTGTGATATTACTTTTCAGTGGTAACTGCGGGTTCTTAGGACCCAGGACATCCAATATTTTGGGTTCTTTTTTTTAAAATAATCTAAATATCTTCTTTAAAGATATATATAAAATAAATATTTTATGATTTTCAAAAACAGGGTTGCTATTTTATCCTGAAAAAAGAGAACTGTTATTTCCAGGTCACTGAGAGAAAGTGGATGGAACTAAAATTGACCCATACAATTGTTCAGCAATACCATGATAAAAAGTACCTTAAATTTGATAAAATTAAAATTTATATTGTTCCAGAAATTTAAAAGTTTTTCACATCATATATAAAAAAATAACTATTTTCATATTATTTCGTTTATTTTTACACAGAATTATAATTCATGAATCATAAATCATATTACAGTATATAAAAGTCAGTTTAAGTGTTCATTCTTAACAGCTTTTGATCAAAAAAATTTATTTTTAGTTGTGTTCATCTGTTTTTTCTTTTTGATATGTTATCTGTTTTTGTTGGTATGTTTCGTTATTTTGTTTCTAAACGGAATGGCACTTAATAGGTTTTATCACATTATTACTCAAGAAACTGTATGTTCAGTTGCCAACACTTTAAGCTTTTTAATTTGTAATTTTATTTTGTTTTTCAGGTTTAACTGTTAAATCCAATGTTCCTGGTAGCATTTATACAGACTTGTATAACAACAATATCATTCAAGACCCTTACTTCCAATCGAATGACGTCCTCTATAGTTGGATAGGAAGAGATAGTTGGACCTTTCAGAAAGATTTTCAAGGTTTATCCACCATTTACATTTCATGATAGTTTATAGATAGAACTATTTTCAAACTAGAATCTGTGAATATTTTAAGTATTTTGTTTTATGAAATTTTGCTATGGACCTTAAATATTTTCAATTATGAATGGTTCATTTGCTACTCCAAGGTGGGTAATGCTCGCATTGTATACAATGACATCTACTCTTTAGGCAAAATATGATACTAAGGTTTGTCAGATATAAACCATAAAAAATGCAGCTGCTTAAAATTTGAAAAGAAATGTTATTATCTCGAAAAGAGACAGTCAAAATTATAAAATCTTTATATGATAAAGAGGAAAAATTTGTGCAATATATAATTAAAATCGGCTAAGTTAAGCAATTTATGTTAGCTTATTTTTATATTACTGTACTAACTTCCTTGGCAGAATTGCAGTGACACTGTGTTACAGAGTTAAAGACACAACGTTACAGAGTTCTTGCAGAAAGATTTTTCTTTCAAAAAGTGAAACATTTTACTTTTCTTTTCTGCAGAAATTTACATGCAATATTTGAATGTTTAGATAATCACTTTTTGACAAGCTCATTTTACGCCGATAGTATCATGTACTGATGTAATATTTCAATTGTATTTTCGGCAGTTACTGATATTGATTTTCGTGTGATTTTTAAATATCCCAGTATATTTCAAACGATATGGATAATTCGAATCATGCATTTGAGTATTTACATTTTAAAGCAATAATTCTATCAAATTTTTGGCTGTTATTGCTGTTAATTTCTCCACAGTTTTTAAGTCCGATAATTTTTTAGAGTGAGGGAATTCATTAAGAGTTTTGTCGCAAATATCTCAAAAAAATTTTGTCTCAGGGGTACTAACCTTGAATTCGGAATAACTGAATACTTTTCTATTTTCCAAATCCTTTGTTATGGTTGAGTTCTGCTGTAAATATTTATTTATGTAATTCACTGCTATACATTTACAGACCAATTCTATTTATCATTCTCATGCTTACATAGTAATTTCCTTTGAGAATTTATCTTCAATTAAATTTTTGTTGCGTAATCCAGAGGTATCTTAGCAAACGTCTCTCCTTTTTTGTTGCCTCTTTTTTATTCCCTTTTTGTTTTAGTGTCAGACATCATTTGCTTTTATCATAGATACAAAGTTTAAATATTTTTACCTTGAGTTTGGCCACATCTGGCAGTTGTACCATCATTATTAACAAATATTTCTGTTTTATTAACTTTTATTGTATCTAACCTTATTAAATGAAGTGTGTTGATAACCATGTTTAATGTTATTATTATTTTTTTTAGTTGAGTGTCATTTGCTGCAAAAAGACAGAATCTTACTACTTGCTCATGGAATTGACACTGTTAGTAAAATATATTTGAATGGAAAAATGATTGGCTCTACTGATAACATGTTTATTCGATACCAGTTTGATGTGAAACCTTTCCTAAAGGTAATGCAAGTTATTTTTTTATGTTATATAGTGCTATCTATAGCGATCAAATAGTTCTTGAGAAATAAAATTTTCAATTCGCAACTTTTTTAAAATTTAATAACTCAGAAACTATTTGACTGATTGCATTCAATGTTTGCTTTTTGCCATTAAAAACTCCTTCTCTTGAAACAATCTAGAAATTTCTGTACCTTATAATTAAAAAAGTTTTTTAAACTTTTATTAAAAAATTATTAAAAAGTAATAGATAGTTAAAAATTATTTTTTACATTGAATTATCCTAATAAATGAAATGAGAAATTTTTAAGCAAATTGAAAAGTTTTTACATACAATTATAAAACTCGTTTTTCCAAAGATAATTACAGGGAAAAAATAATTTTTTGTTTAGATTTTTTATTATTTTATTTAATAACAGGCGAAGAAATTTTGAACTGTAAGATATACAATTTTTACATCATTTTAAAGTAAGTAAATTTGCGTGGTAACAAACAAAATTTGAGCGAAATCTGTTGAATAGTTCCTGAAAAATCAAGTTTTAACTATACAACTTTTTTAAAATTCAATTTCTCAGAAACTATATGACCAATTTTGCTCAAATTTTGTATTTTGCCTTGTAAAATTGAAGCAAAATTTGTTTAGCAAAATAAAATATGTATACCTTACAATTCAAAAATTTTCCAATTAAAGTTTAAATAAAATAATTAATATATACTAAAATTTATTTTTTGCATAGAATTATCTTTGGACAAATCAATTTTATAATTGCTTGCAAACATTAAGGTTATTTGTGTTAACATTAAGGGATCCAAACTTTGGAGCGCTCTCCTGGCCAAACTATTGGAACCCAATTTCCCAGATTGCGGCTATCCTTTATTTTTTGGGGTTCAGAAATCCGAATCCGTGGAAAAGAAAGGTATACTTATTCAGAAAAAATATGTTTTTGTGTATGATTTTGTAACTTAAGATATCGTTTGCACCAATTAATTAGCATGTTTGCGGTCACCCCCTCAAACCATTAAGATTGAGTTCTAGAATGCGAAGATCCAATCATTAGATCAAAAGTTATTCAGGGTGGTCCTTTTTTTTGGGCCCACTGTACATCGATATTATCTTATTTTGTTATCATCTCGAATTATAAGAAAAATTAATTAAGTTTGCTCTAATTTTATTTTAATTCTTAGCAAAATAACAATTTATGAAGCGTTGAACTTAGTAACCTTTCTTAGAATATCTCTGAAAATTTGTTATCTCCCTTTTGCAAATGACTTTTTTTCTCCTATATTATTTGGCAAATGTTTGTTCATAGAATTTCTTAAATTTTTGATATAACTTGAGTCCAAAAAGTTAGACTCTTAATTTTAACTGTGTTATCAATTCACTTATATTACATATGTACATTACATATTGTGTGTAACTTATATTACATATTATGGCACATTTATTTGCACATACTTTGAGAGTGTAGAAAAAACATTTAGCTCAATACTCTATGTATTAATTCACTATGTAATAGTTTGGTAATTACAATATAAATTTGGGATAGGTTAATTTTGTTTGGGAAGGTTTCTACAGTATTAATGCGGTATTCACTGGCTTTTGTAAAACTTAAGCAATTTGCAAATGCTTGCAAAATAAATCTATCATCCTCCAGTTACTGATCTGAATTTAACTATCAGCTGTCAAAATTACAATAATTATACTTTGTAAATTTCGGAATGTCAAAAAAGACAACAAAAAACAAACAAACACTTATGAACACTGATGTCCGTAAAATCCTTTATTAATGTGATCAAGTGAATTTCCTACAAGCTAAAAATAAAAAGCTTCATTTTCAGTTCTCATAGTTTGCTGAATGGGTTTCTTTTCCTTGCCCAATGAATCATTGAGTGAAAACCTGAATTGTAATTATCAAAAAAAAAATTTTTTTTTAAACTTTCCATGGACTTTATGCTGAATAAATTGTTTTTCTTATGTTTTCCTGTTTTACCATGGACTAAAAGTTTAAAAAAATTTTTTGCTGTGATTTTATCCCCCTTCCCCTGCCTTTATAACTATGTTACTCTAGTGCTTCATGAGCCAAAATTTAATGTTTGTTTTAATTTTTAGTTAGTTCATTAAAGATAGTCCTAAAATCTCCAGATAGACTTTTCAGTCTTAATTCTAAAACTGAAACTTTGAGGTTGCTTCAATGGGATGAGCCAAAATGTGATGATCCACTTTTTATTTCTAGAACAACAGCACAATAAGGATTGCAATAGAATCCCCAGTGGCATATGCTTTGGAAAAACATAAGATACAACTCTTGGACTATGTTATTCCTCCTACCTGTCCACTCCCTGTTCAGAATGGAGAGTGTCACGTGAACTACATCAGAAAAATGCAGAGCTCTTTTAGTTGGGACTGGGGACCTTCCTTCCCTACGCAAGGAATTTGGTGATTATTATTCTGAAATAAATTGTTTTGAGACTTTGGCTCATTCAAATGTCCCAATAAAAAATCACTGATTTGAAAAATCCAAAGAAATGTTCTATTTGAGGTTGGTCTGCTGAGGTAACCAAACGAGTGATTTATTTTCTCAGAGTTTTAAATTTAATTAGAAAATTCATCAGCAGATGGCTCTTCAATCCTCATAGCTGCCAACTGTACTGGATTTTGCCAGTTTCTCCTAGTCTACTTGTTTAATAAAAATTCTCCCGGTTTTGTACATTTTTGAATATTCCCTGAAATTGAGTAAGTTTCCTAAAAAAATCCCTAGTGAAATAGAATTGTTACACTATTTATTGCTTGCTTGACTATTTAAATAAGTATTAGGCTTAATGAATCAAGTTTCACTAATAGTAATCATTTTAAAGCTATTTCATTTTTTTTTCTAAAATTTTTACCACTCTGTTTTTAGCAAGAAATTTAAAAATGTTACTTCACCTCACGCAATGCAACTAAAACTCTCAAGCACCTTCCCGTAATCAAGATTGAGATTTTAAACTGGTTATTTAAACTAAGAGAGAAAATCTGAAATAATTATAAGGATTCTTTTCCTTTAATTTCACCCAGTTTGATTTAATTGTAGTAAGTATTTTATTGATTTCTAATTTTTAATAATTCTGATTTTTTATATCAAATTTTTTTTTTTAAATTAAATGAAGGTTTAATATTGTTACTAAGATGAAATTTCTGAATAACAGAAAAATTTATTTTCAATTTTTTGAATTTTTGAAATTTTTAAAATTAAATTTACTTTTACTGGTACATTTGTTAGTTTCAAGCACGGAAATTAAGATTTTGGCATGAAAAATTATTTATTACCAAGTATTTGTTACAATTATACAAACTAGGCTATTTTTTATTTATTTGGTATTTTTTTAATATATATCTGAGGCAAAAAACCATTTTTAACAATTGTAATTTGTATAATAAGAAATTGCTAGTTATTTTCTCTTTTTTTTTTTCACTAAGCCCTTCTTTGGCAAAATAAAATTTTTATCAAAACATTATTTTTGGCAAAATATTTTAAATGAGTAAAAAACATAAATGTAACCATTGGGTACAAGGTCTAACCAACCCTAAGAATTGTTCAATTTTGTGCATTTCAACTGCTTTATTTACGTAAGTATTTATTACCGTCATGTGGGGCTACTTTGTGCAGGATTTCGCAATTTTTGAACTTTGACATGTAAAAAAACTATGTTAATTCAAACTTTAGTAAAATTTATCTATATTATATTCATAACTGGACTCAGACGAGTGAATTTGATCAATATTGGCATTATTTGTATGTAATATTTACAAATAATAAGTCAAAACATACCTTGCACAAAGTAGCCCCCAAGTGGGGCTACTTTGTGCAGCGATAGGAATTCAGTTTAATAATCATGTTTTTAGTAAAATATTGATATAAAATTGTTAAAAAAGTTAATTGTTGACATTTTTAATAACAAAAACATCAAGATATGTAAAGATATTAGTTTGAAAATAATTTTCAGCGTTAAAAAACCATTTTTTATAAAGAATTTTTTCTTAAAAAGAATGTTTATTTCAAAACATTTGAGTTTAAACAAAAGGAAACCATATACATTTTTGAACATTGAAATGGATGAAATTTCAAAAATAATAATTATTACATATTCATTAACATTTATAATATTGATAAATTTGAACATAACATGCTTGAATGAACATGACAGAACTTGCTCTTCAGTTTCTGTCAAAATCACCTGATGTCCTATAAAATATATTTTTATGTGTTAAATCGTTTGATTAATTCATTAGAAAAATCTTTGTAGAAGAAAAATAATAGTTTACCAGGAAGTTTCACGTGTTTCTTGTGAATTTTATTAGAGATAGTATTTCTGTGGATTTTGTACTTCCGAGAAGCTTCTGCAATCGACATACCACAAGCAACTGCTTGCAAACATTGTTGCAGCTTTTCTAAAGTGTAATCACGGTAGTTTCTCGTTCCGGGTATTTTTTTTATAACGTCTGACAATTTTTCTGTCGAAAAAAAACAAACAAATGAAACTTTGCACAAAGTAGCCCCACAGTGCATTTTTTTTCATTTTCCATATATTTGTTATTAATTTTAGAACTTTTTTAACGCTAACATGATATAATTGTTTATTAATATATAAATAAAAACATTTTCACTTACGACAATTTTTTTATCAACGTCTTTGCATTTCTCAGCTAAAGTTTCCACCCGTACTTTTCGACTTCCGACGTTCTCGGAAAGTTGTTGACATTGGATAAACAAAACACACTCTGAGATTGTTTTAAAATTCGAAAATTTTTTTGTAGTAATAGAGAAGACTTCTATCTTCAAATTCCACAAATTTTTAACTTGAAAAAAACATAATAGCAATAATAATACTGAATAACAGAACTTGAAAAGTGCCAAATTCGAATTTGCACAAAGTAGCCCCACATGACGGTACTAGTTATTTTTGTCATTAAACTGTTTCATTATTTGAAAATGCATTATTGTTGTATAGTTTCTATAATAATTTATTTTCGTATGCTAAAACTGTTCAGGATCAAAAGCTTTTTAATTAAAGCATACAAGTATTTCATGTAATAAAAGTTATATAGGGATGATACAATGCATTACTTTATTATTATATAAATCAAAGTATCATTGGTACATAATTTATGAAAAATGTATTATTTATAAGTAGTTCATTTGATTATTAATATTTATAAATTACATAAGTTGTAAAAGATCGAGACTAAAATTTTATAAAAAAAGGCATTAAAATTTTACTGTTTTTACGTTAAGAAACTTTGATTCTGAAATAATCTTTCAAAATATATAAACTTTCTTTTGAATTTAGAAGACTTATTTCATAACTTATGACTATATTGTGAAAGGAAATGTGTAAGTAGATGTATTCAGTGATAAAAATGTATTTTTATCTTAGGAAGCCAATAGAATTAATTGGTTTTGATTCCCTCATTATTGAAAATGTACTTGTACAGGCCAATTTTCAAGGTTGGTTATTTAGATGCTTTTCATGTTTTCATTTCACATTAATAAAATTCACAATTTTGCATTTCTGATGTACAATAATTTGACATTGCAGATTATGTAACTGTGAAAAGTATGACTGTTACAATATACATGACAACTGTGGATAGTAAATCTATTGATGGAATATTTGAAATTTATTTGAATGATTCACTTATTTTGCAATCTCGGACAATGGTTATTCCTGAAAAAAATTTAGAGGCCAAGAAAATTTTTAAAATCAATTTACCTCAGGTATTTATTACCATTTTTCTTAACTTTTCCAAAAATTTATAGTATTGATTTAAAATTCATGAATATTGAATAAAAATGTAATGTTTGTTATTGTTTTTTTTTATCTTTATTTTCCAAAAATATTGAGTATATTCTAATTTTCTAAAATACCTTTAAGTTTCTTTTCTTTTTAAATTACAAAATAAAGTTATGTTCATTACTTCAATTTTATTCTTGATTCGATTTAAGCCAAGTATATCCTTATATTTAAGTTTTCAATTTTATTTATTTTCAAATAAGTTGAGCATTATTTATTTTACCTAAAAGTTTAAAGTACATTCTAATTTCTATTACATTTAAATTTTTCCCTCCTCTTTCTTAAATTTTGAGAATAAAGTATAATTATTCTTAAAATAATAAATAAATTCCAATGTATATAATTTCTCAAATATTATGCAAAATATTTCTCGATACACTTATTTATTTTTAAGATATAGCAATAGAAATGATAGTAGAACTTAAAGACAGTAGAAAAATGGCAAGAAAAAAACACCTACATTAGGGAAGGAATAAGTTTGAACAAAATAATATGGGCTTGCTTCTAATTCGCTCCTCTGCGGAATTCCGTTTTCCTTAATAAAACTTCATTAACAACTTTAAAATTACTGTGAAAAGTTTGAAATGTTGAGCTATGAAACCATTCATCAAATATATAAAACCGGGCCTAAGCATGTATTCGATTCTAACCAATTTGTTGTATCAGAATTCTTAAGGCTTTTAAATTATATTAGGAAAAAAACCTTATCCAGGAATAATTTGTTTCTTGAAGTAATTGATGTATTAGCCATAAGTTGAAGAGGATGTTGATTGGTGTATTTTCAGTTGTTCATATTTTTTTTTTAAATAATGAAAATAATTTTATTTTAGAAATATATAGAATCATATGGAGCTCCAAAGTAAAAAAGTTACTCATTTTTGTGTACTTATAAATTCATAAACTTAGAAAATGGACTGAAGGGTGGGGCTGCAGTGCTAAGTGCCCACTTAAATTAAAAATAGTAAGTTAATATTAAAATATGTTAATCAAGTTGCAATTTTATAAATAGAATTCTGATTATCTAAGAAATTATTCCATTATGAGTTCAAAATACAATGACATGTGGAAATAACTAACAAGAGTAAATAAAACTAAGAAATATATTTTTAAAAAAATTCTTTTTAATTAAATTTTTATTTTATTAAAATAATAAATCTTCTAAATTGTAATTTTTGTAGTTGAATTTGTAATTTGGAAATTATATTTTCTAAAAGGAAATTATGTTTTCTTATTGTGCAAATTTTATAATTTTTCTTCAAAACTGCAGTAGCAGGTGTAATAATAAAAGAAGAGAGATAACAGAAGGTTTTGGTGAGGACCTCAGGGTGCAATGTGAAAAATTAAATACAAGATGTGGAAATAAAATTAATTAACTCGTTGAAATAAAATTAATTAAGTTGAATTGTATTACTTTGATCGCAAAGTTTTTTTGTTTTTGAAACTGTCATCAGTCTTTCACTTTGGATTCTTGCCAAACCACCATTTTTTTAAAAAATTTTTTTATCTCTTTCAATTTATTATTTCATTCAGGCTTGTTCCAGCTAGTTAAACCACTTTGCGCATGTATGTCTTGGTATTTTTCTACTGTCATTTGGTGTTAAGAAACTGAGGAAGATTCTTTTTTATTGAACTGAAATTAGTCCATTTCTGTACTTTCTTTGCACTTTATTAGCATTCTTGTGAATTTATATTTTACATAGCAGAAAGCATGCCTTATCCTCTTTTGAATAAAGTATATTCTATAATTTAATTTTTGAAAAAATAAAATTTCCTTTTAGAGTTTAGGAATAAAGCTGTGGTGGCCGAATGAATTAGGTGGACAGAACCTCTATTCTTTGAATGTATATTTCTCAAGTGTTAAAGAAAATGCTTCAAAGTCTATACAGATAGGTTTCAGATCTATTGAATTAATTCAAGAACCTGTTGCAAATTCTTCTGGTATGTTCCTTCATTAAAGTTGCTCTATAATAATGTTTTTCTTGATATGCATTTGCTCACTTCATTATGTTTGAGATTGAGAGACTAAAGACTTAAGTTTTGTTGTCATATGTTGTAATAAATTCTTATCGACCAAGTTGATAAAAAATTAAAATGTCTGTAAATCCTATCCAAGGTATATTATTTTTATTACAAGAAGAATAGATTTATCCAGCAAAATGTTATGTTAAAATATTATTGCTAGCATTATTAAAGTCATTTAACTTTTGGTACAGTGATTTCTAAATAGTTATTATTTTAAGGGTGTCTCAAGTTGAATTGTATTACTTTGATCGCAAAGTTTTTTTGTTTTTGAAATTGTCATCAGTTTATACTTCCTTCCCTTTTTAAAATTATATCAAGAAATGTTTACAAATTTATGAAACTATTTAAATAATATGTTTTTTTCTTCTATTTTTTACTTTGTGTGCAATTGAATGAAAGCATGAAAATATTTATAGTTTTTAAAGCCATAAATAACATTTTTGTTTGTTTGTCACCAGGATTAGGATGTTGATGATTTGCATGGGGTTTTTCCTTGCCCATTGTTAAGGCAGTATTCATGNAGTTTTTTTTTTTTTTTTTGAAATTGTAATCAGTTTATACTTTTCCTTTTTTAAAATTATATCAAGAAATGTTTACAAATTCATGAAACTATTTAAATAATATGTTTTTTTCTTCTATTTTTTACTTTGTGTGCAATTGAATGAAAGCATGAAAATATTTATAGTTTTTAAAGCCATAAATAACATTTTTGTTTGTTTGTCACCAGGATTAGGATGTTGATGATTTGCATGGGGTTTTTCCTTGCCCATTGTTAAGGCAGTATTCATGCTCTTTTTGGTATTTTTTTCTTCTTAATTGATAAGTTTCCCTTTTTTAATCAATTTTTATAGATTTTAAATATTCTTTTTTTTAGAGCATTTGACTGGAGAATTAGTTCTTTTAATTAATTAGTTTAAATTTTGCACTGAATATTGTTATTTTTAATATCTTCTGAGAACAAGTGTTCATGTCTCAAGTTATGAAGGAAAAAAAAATTTGTACAATCGACAATCCTTCGATTTGAAGAGTATTAGACATTGCAATATTGGTCGTTCTTGAAGATTGTAACTAAAAATGATAAAATCCTACTTACCTTTATCAGGTATTTTCATAAATTGCATATTCACTTTAATTGTTATTGTATTTTTTACTAAATTTATAATCACAAGTTGTGATAGATAATTTTTTTATGTAAAAAAACTAATATTAAACATGTTTTTAAAAATTTTGAGGAATATTATTTTTTATTTTAAAGTCATTTAAAATAAAAAAGAATTTTGATACCATCTACATCCTATCCCTATTTATCATTTTTAAATTGTAACTGAATTGTAAGTTATTGAAATAATCATTTCAACATCCTCATGGTCAATAGCAAAACTTTTTTTCTTCGGTAACAACCAGACATGAATGCACTTTCGTGATTGTTCAAAAAATACATTTAAAAAAGTGTGATTAGTACTAAAAATTAAGAAAAAAATTACCTTATATTATTATTTTGAGTTTAAATTATATTTTATTACTTTAAATTATTGTTATTATAGTATTTTATTGTCTTAAAAACTCTATAAGCCTTGTGCTCCTGGGCGAAACTTTACTGAAATTTCCTTTCTATATACCACTTATGTATTGATTGACGTGGGGAAAACTGATCTTTTGATAAATTAAAGTTTAAAGTTAAGAAAAAAAAGTTGAGACTAATTCCTAGATGATTAAACTACATAGGGCTATCCTTAGATAAGAGGATTCAAAGCTATAATATGTCCTAGTAACCTTCTACTTTTGCTTTGAACAAACGTAGACCCACCAGCACAGCAGTGAGTGTTGCAAATTGACAAGGCAGCTGCAAATAATTTTTCTAATCAGGTCTTTCTTTTTCTTTTCTTTTTTTTAAAAAAAAGACTAAAAATTTACTGAGAGGAGAAATAATGGCAAGAAAAATTTAAAAAACGAAATCTTAATTTATGAGAACTTTAGTTGCTTGTTTATAGACCACAAAAGGAGTTTTTCAATTTTTTTAATTGTCAATTATTTTATTTCATCATTCCAGTCAATTGAAAATGTTTATTAAAACAAATTTTAACAAAAAAATTTTTTTTATAATTTTTATCTGCTTTTATATGTGGCAAATTCGGTGTACACATTAGTTTAAGCCCAATAATAATCTCTGGTCACAGAAAAAATTGAATTTATGAAGATTGGACTATAAATTGATTCTGTAAGTCCTGCTACCAACTATTACAAAACCAACAAACATACCAACTATTACAAATTATCTGTAATTATTACAATTTCATAATCAAGGTTACAGTATTATGGTTAAGTAATAGAAATCATAATTATTGAGAATTTCCGAAATAATCTGTTTAAAGTGAGTGTTTTCTACTTGAACTACTAAGGTTATGAAATTTTGTTGTTTTCAACTGTTCTACAATAATTTTTTTCCATTCCTTAAACAATTCTAAAAACTGTAAATAAAAACAAAAACTATTTGATAGAAGCAAGAAATAAAATAAGCAAAGAAATCTTATCTTTCTCTCCTCCAACAAACTATTCTGAAATTTGATCTTCTCTCTTTATAGAATAGAACAGTGAAAATACATTAACTCAATTCGCAAAAGCTATGAGCAAAAATTTTTATTGAATCATCCCAGTCAATTAAAAGTGTAAAAATGTTTATTAAAATTTTTTTTAAAGTTTTTTGTTTATAATTTTTATCTGCTTTTATACTGGCCAATTTCACTGTACACATATTAGACTAACCCAAATAATAATCTCTGGTCACAGAAAAAATTGACTTTATAATCATTTGTCCTGAGGCAGGAATTCATGTAAAGAGATAGTGTGCTGTTTTTGTTCCAAAATAGCATATTTCACAGTTATTGAGAACGAATATAACACATTCTCTGCATTGCAATTTTTAATAAATTCTCTTTGACTTTAAAAAAATAAATAAAGTCAAGCAAACAAACCAGCTAAAATGTGATCGAAATAGTAGTTTCTTTAAATTACTGGTCCTTAGGATTAGAGACTAAATATTGTTTTTTACCCGTGCATGATATTGTTGTTTAATTATATTCTAGGTTTGAGCTTTTACTTCCGGGTAAATGGGGTGCCATTTTTTGCAAAAGGATCCAACTGGATCCCTGCTGATAATATTGTTTTTTATCCGTGTATGATATTGTTGTTTAATTATATTCTAGGTTTGAGCTTTTACTTTCGGGTAAATGGGGTGCCATTTTTTGCAAAAGGATCCAACTGGATCCCTGCTGATAATATTGTTTTTTACCCGTGTATGATATTGTTGTTTAATTATATTCTAGGTTTGAGCTTTTACTTCCGGGTAAATGGGGTGCCATTTTTTGCAAAAGGATCCAACTGGATCCCTGCTGATAGTTTTCTGGAACGGATCACTCATGAATATGTGGAAGATCTCCTTCAGTCGGCTAAAGACGCTCATATGAATATGTTGAGAGTTTGGGGAGGTGGAATATATGAGACAGATCATTTCTATGAGACAGCAGATAGGTTGGGTATACTTATTTGGCAAGACTTCATGTTTGCTTGTTCTCTGTACCCAACTGATGATGATTTCATTGCAAGCGTCAGCACAGAAATTACTCAGCAGGTACACTTGTTATATTACATACATTGACCAGTGGTTGCAAATGGCACACTGCAAGTAGTGAAACTCCTGTAATCGCTACTTTTTTTGTTGTGTAGTGTGCTACTTTTTTTTGTAAAAAAAACTGTGTATTGAGTAGTGTGATACAAAAAAACAGTAGCTTTTAGCGATTTCTCTCAACTACTTTTAACATGTGTTTAGTAAGGAAGCAAAGTTCTAATTTTTGGAATTTGATGGCTGCAAATGTTCGGCAATGGACACAATTAAAATGCTCCTTTAGCTGCTGCAACTGATAGCATGGAATAGAACAAGAATTACGTCATTAGTATAGTTTATAACTTAAACTAGCCATTATGAATAATAGATTATTTATCATTTTGGTCATTCTTTCTCATGCGAATGAACACTCGTGAAGCGTCGGTATTATTTCAAAGAAAGNAACATATTTTCGATGTATTTAATTTCTTAGAGGAAATAAAAGAGCATTAAATACTTAACAGAAATGTAAGTATTTGATAATTTCCTATCATTTCTTGAACTAGATATTCGCTGTCAAGAAAGGTATAAAAAGTTAAATGCAAAAAAAAAAAAAAAAAAATTGGGAACAACAAACTGCTTATGTAAACAATACTAGAAAGCCAGTTTAGATAGATGCAAACCAAGTTTTCCTTAAAGTAGTTACTACATTTAGAAAGAAGTTTGTAGTTCTACATTTAAACAAAGTAGTTATAGTAAACTACAAAAATTATGTAGTTTTTCCACCCAGTGACTTTAACACAACATCAGAGTTTATTGATTTAAATAAGTTTGATTTAAATCACTGAGTTTTTTTTTTAATCATTTTACTAAATCATTGAAATTTTTTAAAAGAAATCTTTATTGATTTAAAAATTACAAAGCATTTTATGAGATTTTTAATTTAATTATTTTCATGGTTTTGAAAGTTTTTTTAGATATATTTCTGTGTTTTACTTTTCAATTAGCAAAATTACATTAGTGTTTGATACCTACAGAATTCATCACATTATTGTTGCATTAATATTAGTACTTACCAATTCCTAAATTTAAAACATAATCTTCAAAACCATAATTTATTTTAATATTGCAAACATATTTCTCTATCTTAAAGACTGCCTTTTTTTAAAGTATGATTTAAAAATATATAATTAGGGTGGTTAAGTTGTTCTATATTAAAATATTTGTCAACCTAAAATAAGGTTAAGGTATCAAAAGTTTAAGACAACAATGATTATTTTGTCACTTCCAAATATTAAAAATCAGGTTAATAAACAAGTGTGAGATTAGTTTTTTGATTTGTTTGTCAGTTTGTTTTTCAGTAGCTAATTATGATACCTTTCTATTCCATTTTCAATTAATTTGAATCGAGCATTTACATATAACATGTACTATAAAATATTTTTAATGTTGTAATATTGTTCGAAATGTTTTTTTATTTATTTTTAATAATGTTTCAATTTTAATTAAATTTTTACAATGCTACTAATTATAAACTAAAATTTTTGCATTATCATAAAAAAATAATAAAAAAAAATATTTTTTATTTAAATGAAACAAATGAGATTTTATGTTTTGATATATAAAAAAATAATAAAAAATCACAAACTGATTAACAATTTATTATGATCTGTATAATTAAAAGTCTGTAAACAGTTAAAACTTTTTAAAAATATATCTCCCCCTCTTTTTTTTAAATTACAGTTTACACTAAAAATATGTTTCTTTTTTTTTCTTTCCAATGTCATCTTTTTTTTTTCCATGTGTACTTACTCCATTCATTCATGATGTGACAGATTTTCTCTGTCACATCGCATTTTCTAGGTGGCTTCACATAAAAAGCTGTCAGTGTGTGATTTTAACTGCTACTTGCTCTTAACTAGGGAATGTTTTACTCTGAACCCCTAAGTTGTTGCAATAGTGCCTTTTTTTTAATGAAATAAGTAAAATTATTTATTAAAATATTAAAACCGTATGTTCTTGATATCTGAGCACCTTTACTAATGGCATTATAACAGTATAGCTAAATTATCAATTTGATTTTATAAAAGAGGACTAATTAATTTCTTTCATTATTGTTTTTAGCTTTAAAAGAAAAGTATGAAAAAAATGCTAATTTTTAAAAAAAAATTTGTGCATATCTTAAAAACCTTTTGTGGTATGACATTTTTGAGAATTATATTAGATTCTATGTGGAGAAATTCGTATTTTTAACCATATGTGAAATGACTGTTGAGCAACATCAGTCACTTGATCACTGATCAAGGAACTGATGTCACTGACAACGTCACTTGATCAGTTGAATTAAAATTGTTAGTTTAAACTCTAACTTTTAACTAAATTACTAAATATTGATGTTATAAATTTAAAAATCGATTTTTAATTTTAAAATTTCCATTTCTGAATGTATATATATATATACAGTGGTACCTCGAGATACGAGTGCCCTAACATACGAGTTATTTGAGATACGAGCTGTCGAGCGAGCGAAGTTTTGTTTTGAGATACGAGTGACATTTGAGATACGAGGAACGGCCAGGCAAGTCCTTCTCATCCTCGACAATGCTCCTGCTCACCCACCGAACCTCGAACATGACATCCTCGAAGAGTTCAAGTTTATAAAGGTTCTCTATCTACCACCACTCCTATCCTGCAGCCCATGGATCAGCAGGTGATTTCTAATTTTAAAAAGCTGTACACTAAGCACCTGTTCCGGCGCTGCTTTGAGGTGACAGAAAACAGAAACCTCACCCTTCGAGAGTACTGGGAGGACAACTTTAACATCGTGATATGCCTCAGAATTATTGATCAGGCCTGGCTGAGCGTTGCAACGAGGACCTTGACCTCTGCATGGAAGAAGCTGTGGCCAGAGTGAGTCTGTAGCCGAAAATTGTGCTGTGACCTGAGTCTATAGCTTCGAAGGATTCGAACCCAAAGTGCCAGTGGAGGAGGATATTGGGTCTCTGGGAAAATCCATGGACCTGGTGATGGGTGAGAGAGACGTGAACGAGCTCATCGAGGAGTACTCTCAGGAACTGACGACAGAGGAATTACAAGAGTTACCGTCGCAGCAGCATTCGGGGGTTCTGCAAGAAATTGGTTTCGAGGAAGAGCCAGAGGTGGAGGAGGTTATCTCTACAAGTGAGATAAAAGTGTTCTTGGGAATGTGGGCAAGAATTTCACAGTTCGTGCAAGGAAACATCCCGAAAAAGTTGCATCTGGTCGTGCATCGGAACTATTTCATGACACTCGCCTAACTCATTTCTGCAGCATTCTGAGAAGGAGGAAGAAACAAACCTCCTTGGACAGTTTTTTTTTAATCCAGCTAAAAAAGCAAAGACCGGTGAAGAGAAAAGCAGTGACTAAAATTAAGCATACAGTAGCATTTAAGATGTGTGCAACTTGCATTTAAGTGATCAAAATACAAATATGTATGCACACTTTATAAAACCAGTTTTTTTTTTTTTTTTTTTTTTACTTTACATTTTCTTTTATTATGTTTTTATACAATATTTGTCATTTATAAATACATTTTTCTTATTCAAAAACACGTAACAAAAACAATTGGGGGTAGCATTTTTGGGGCTGGAACGGATTAATGGCATTTCAATTAATTTCAATGGGGAAAATTGCTTTGAGATACGAGCAAATTGACATACGAGCAAGGTTACGGAACGAATTAAACTCGTATCTCGAGGTATCACTGTATATATATATATATATGTTTTCAACATTAATGAAAACAGACGAGAACTGATTAATTGATTGTTTTGTTTGAAACCTTAATTTTTTGTCCTAAAAAGTTCATAGATTGTATAAATGAAAAAGTTTTTCTCTAAAGTTTGAATGTAAACTTGTGAAGTTATTATATTTAATTAAGGTGAATTTTAAGAGATACTTCAAATATTACTTGATTCTTAACTGGTGACATTGATTAAATTAAAAATGTAGAAAAGTATTTAATATAAATTAGACAGCTTTTCTAAACATGGTTCTTCTTTTTACTTTTGTTTTACTTATGAGATCGGATTTTTTAGCAGCAAAAATATATTTTTGTGTTAAGTTATTTCTATTTTACACACAATTGTGTGTAGACATATATATACACATACGTGTATATACATATATATCTTAAGTAGTCGAACCTGTATGAGTTGATTAAAACTTTGATAATTTAATAAGAATCAAGTATAGTAAACTTATTTTGATATAGGTACGTCGACTGCAACACCATGCTAGTATTGCAGTTTGGGCTGGCAATAATGAAAATGAGCAGGCTATAGCTGGTTCTTGGTGGTATGAAATTTTAAATAAGTCATAACTGGTAACTTTTAATTATTGAATTATTAAAAGCTTTAAAAGAAGCAATATACTTAATATTTGCTAAAATATTTCCTATTAAAGATTAAGTTTAAATGATCAATGTAGTTATGAGAAATTGGAGAGACAGTGTCATTAATTTCTATTCTCGAATAAAAAATCATTAATTAAAAAATTTACTTTTCAGAAACTATTTTTAAAGTATGATTGTTTAAAATACAAGTTTAATGATTAGAAGTGTCCTTAAATGAAATATAAAATTTTTAATTCAATCAATTAACGTGTTTGGATGCCTTTCTTTCAGCATACTTTCAATTTTTAAGTTATTTATGAACCTAACATCGTCATTCAAGACAATCATAACTTATGTTCTATCTCTAATTTACTAACAGGCCTGCTGTGAAAGATAATTTAGAACAGTACAAGATAGATTACATTCATTTATATATAAAAACAATTAAACCGATTGTGGAAAGAGAAGATCCGACTCGTACTTTTCTACCATCAAGCCCTTCGAATGGTCCCAAAACTGAAGAGGAAGGTTGGATTTCTATGAATCCGCAGGACGAACAGTTTGGGGATGGTATGCATTATAAAAAACGTTTTTTTGTTTCTCAATATTTTGTGTTGAATTATAATTTATATTTTAAAATTTTAGTTGTAAAATTCTAATACAATAAAATATAGGTTACTCTCATTTAGACAATTTTTTTTATTTTTCGAAAAACTTCAATTCTTTGCTATTCTGATAATAGATTTAAAAAAAATATTTTAGATAAATTTAGGGGACTGATCCTAAAAACGATCGGTTCCTAGTAGAACACCAAAGTCAAGCATCACTGGCTGGGGTAAGTAAGCGGGTGGGTGATCACTTTGATCAACCTGTGTTGGGACTGAGAGTGTGCATTATTTGGTTCTCATTGAACCGTAAACCCTCGTTCTACCTTAAAGTGCTCGACTTCTCGTGCAGGTCGTCAGGGTAAAAAAGAGGAGGAGCCGTCCCCTCTGCTGAGGATCAAAATTATGATGGTCATCCTCAGGATGTTTTCCAGACCGTCAAAAATAGACCATTTTACAGCTGTAGTGAGATGTAAATGAAGTAACTACTTAGAAAAAAAAATTTCTTGCCAGTTCTCATTTTTATTAAATATTTTCCCTAGAAAAAGTTTTACGTTTGGTAATGTTTACCAACTCTTGTTACCAAATGTTACCAAAATGTTACCAAATTCTCTGTGATGGTGACAATTTTTCCAAGAACCGCATTCATACATATTATACAGGTCTGCTGATGAAACAGGAATTTTCTACAATGTAACCCCACACCAGAGTTTTAAGTTCAAGGCGGGAAAAGTCAATCTTAGGCACACTGTCCAAAATAGATTACCAGCTTTGGCGTTCTCTAATTAATATGTATGAAACGAACAAGAAGAAGAAGCTCTTGACTATTCTATAGATCCATATGTTTTTTTTTTTTTTTGCAATTAAAGAATTTTCTGGCTGATCATGACCATAGTAAGACTGTCTTCAAGCATTTTCATGAAATTATGTTTAATATGAACAAAGAGTAAAACCCTCCTTTTAATACATAATTGTGCAGGGCATCCCGAAATCATTTAACTTACAAACATCAGTGTGGGGACTGTAGTTAGCGACAATGTCGACCTTCATCTATGAAAAGGAACGCCACCCTAGAATCTAGTTAAAATGTCTTATATACTTGTGAATCAGAATTGTATTTTTGTAGTGGTAGATACACTACAATACTCCCCCTTCAGAATTATGTCTGTGATAGAATTCGATGAACGGATACCACTAGTCTAGTTAATTCATTGTTTTGTGAGAAGCCGGGAGAGCTGTATTAAGATCACTGTACTTTTTTGAGTGCTGATAGTGAGAGCTGTATTAAGTTCACGGTCGTGGTCGCTCCTGTGTTGCCTTTAGCAGTCGAGTGTATACATTGTGTGTGATCAAGACTGAATAGCAACGGCATGAGGAGGTGGATAATGTCGCAGTCACAAGTAGCAAGCAAATCTATTCAATGTGGACCATCCATAGAAGTAGGTGCTGTCAGATCGAAGTGGGCGTTACAGTCAAGATTGGCGTGTTCATATTGAAGTGGGAGTTTCTATCAAGGTAGGCATGTTCACATCACGTCCGAAGGTCACCAATGTGGGGACTGGAGTTATCGACAATGTCGATTTTCGTCTGTGAAAAGGTACTCCACCATGAAATCGAGTTAACATGTCTTATATACTGGTGAAACGGAATTATATTTTTGCAGTGGTAGATACACTACAATCTGGATCAAATATTTACCATAAAATTCTACAAGTGTTATACTAAGGGTTATATCAGAAAAAATTTCATTTATTACTTTTAGCATACTTTGAATGTTATTTATGGTCAGGGTCAGGTTTTTGACGTCAAAAAGTGGTTTTTGACATGACAAGGGTATAATACTGGTTTAAACCGTCAAAACCTGAAGTTTGCCAAGAAAGTATATAAACTTCAAAACTACCAACAGTTGCCATGCAATATATTGAAATTTAATTATACTATAGGTCATCAGCAGGTTTTAAAATATTTTTTAATTAAAATTAAGGTAAAATAACAGATTTAAAATCTCAGAAATTTATATTCAAATGCATGTGCAGAAAAATTTTGCACAAAAATTTTTTAAATATTTATATTTTGAAAAAAAAAATTTTTTTTTTGATACTTAAGAAAATTAAAAGTTTATTACTATGCATTTTTGACATATAAGGAACATATAACTAATATTTATAAGGAACTTACAAGTTATGTTGTATAAATACAAACTTGATATAAGATACAAGTGTATAAAAAATTTTTTTTAATGTTATACCGAATATCTTTATTATCCAGTATGTTAATTTGAATTTAAAAGTAGTTATATTTGTGAATAATGATAAATATAATTCATATTGTTTATTATATTTATTTATAATTATTACACTTATCATTTTAAAACAATTTTTATCTCTTAATTTTTTTTTCTCCACTTGTATTAAGAATACAAATAATGCATATCTTGAAAGCAAGAAGTAATTATTCAACAGCTGAATATTTAGATATTCAACAAAACTATATAGTATTCAGCAAAATGAAATTCACAAGTATTTGGATAAACTAAATTTTCAGCATAGTAAATGAATAGGCTGAATATACTGTAAATCGACACTAACTACTCTGTGTATTTAACAGAAAGCACTTAAATTTGTATTGTCTTATGTTAAAAAGATTATTAAGAAGATTTAAAAGAATATTAAAAAGATTTTTCTTTAAAAGATGTCTAATGTACAAAACTGCTAATGTTTATCTTTAAAAATGTCTAATTTTTAGTATAATCTATACTATACACTAAATTTGGTTATAAATAAATTTCTTAATAATATCACTGCAGATTTTCAATAACACATGAAAATGAATACATAATATTACAAAAGATGTGAGCCTGCGCAACTGCAAGATTTTGGTTACTATTCAAAATATAAGTGTTTCTTCAAAATTTTAAATTTATTTTTTCTAGAACATATTTAGAAACACTCTCCTTTATAAAAAATATATAAATTTTATGTATTAATTAAATTTCACACATGAATATAGGTTTTTGACATTTTTGACGTGACGGTTTAAACCATCAAAAACTATCACATGTCAAAAACCTGCCAACCCTGTTTATGGTTCAACTCTGTATGAAATGTGATTTGCATATTATCAGTGTTTTCAATGAGATTTATTTATTATCCTTTCTTGTTCAGTACATTTCTACACGTACACTGCTCCAGAGTGGAATGACACATATTTTCCTAATCCAAGGTTTGCATCTGAATATGGATTTCAGTCTTATCCATCCTTTGAGTCATTTTCAAAAGTTTCTACCCCTTCAGATTTGGTTTATCCATTCTCTGACTTCATGAAACATAGACAACACCATATGTTTGGTAAGTTTTTAACTTAAATAAATCTAAACATTGCGTTTAAAGCTCAAATAATGGCACAAAAATGGACATATTATACTGTCGTGTAATTGAAAAAACAACGTAAGTTCCTCGGGGCATTTTTCAGGAAAAGTGATTGACAACTATTTACTTTCTATTGCTAATTCTGTGAATAATAAAATAGAATTTCCAAAAACTGATAAACCAAAATTTAATTTAGGAAAATCTTTTGCATCAAACTTAAATGTCAAGTATGTAAAAATCTCAATTTTGAATTTTTTTTCACATTGATTTTTATATCTCATGGCAGTATTGTATGTTCATTTTTATGCCATTATTTATGTTTCATTCATGTTGTTACACTTAATTCATCTGTAGCACATAGCATATCCTATCTTCATAAAGTATTCAACTTAGTATAAAATGTTAATGTTTAGCCATTTGATTGGTTTATACTTGAATTTATTATTTTTCAGTTGATTAAAAAAAATATTTTCAGCCTTTTCTGTTTTACAAAAATTATTTAAATGCTTTATTTGAATAGTAGTCCAGCTCCGCTTATGACTTGGCCATAAATGAAGTTAGTCTTGTACTTGTCATTGTTATTTCATTTTAAAACTAATACATCCCCATCTTTTCTCTGCTGTAAAATAGAAGGGTCTACAAAAATAACAAAACAGTGGGAAACAACATATTCATTAGACTTTAAGGCTCTGTAGTTATACTCATTACATTGAATACTGATTCAACTAAATCTGAAAAGTTGATTTAGTTGAAACTGAATGAACTAAATTTCAAAAGTTGATTTAGTTGAAACTGAATGAACTAAATCTCAAAAGTTTATTTAGTTGAAACTGAATCGACTGAAAAGTTGATTTAGTTGAATCAATATATAATGAAAGTCTTCATGCATACATATTGGGAGAGAGAGAACTTTTATTTAAAAACAAAAATGGTGTGTGAAGGTTATGGAGTTCAAACTTTAGATCACTCTTCTACCATTCTATTAAAAGCTCTCTAAAACCAATGCAATTAGATTTACTTTTTAAGATTTTAACTGGGCAAAGTACATGTTAACATATTGTTCTGATATAATTTTTGAAAATTAAGTAATGAATTGATGAATATATTCCTTACAACCAGGTAATCTTGAAATTGAAAGAATGATTCTGGAGCATTTCAAGTTACCTTCAAAAGATTGTGGTGTTCAAGGATTTAAGGATGTTTTGTACATGTCACAGGTGATATTGATTATACGTATATCCTACCTTTAATCTAAATTGTTATTGAAATATATTTTCTAACTTCAATATATAATATAATATATAATATAATGGAATATATTTTATTATTACTAAAATTTAAAAAATATTGTGACATTTCTTAGTCTACAATTTCCCCTTTCGTAGAAAGGGGAAATTGAAAAAACAGTACTGGAAAAACAGTAATTAAAAAAACAGTACTGGTTAAAATAATTCTTTATGTATGATATAATGGGGCCTATTAAATTTCTTTAATAATCTTCTCTATTTAGAAAATAGCTCAATGCCACTTTCTACTTTCTAATCCAAAAAACCCAATTTAGAAGACACAAATAAAACTAAGTGCTGGGGGGAATCACCATTGTCAGTGAAAAAAAAAAAAATATTTCTCTCACTCAGCATTGAATAGCAATAAATGCAAGTCTACATTTTAGTTGCAGATTTTTTTACATATTATTCAACATAAAGGCTCCCTTGTTGATTTTAATCTACCAAATGAAGATTTCCAAAATGCATGCTAAAAGTAAAATTAACATTAAGGGGTCCAAACTACTACTAGGGGTCTACCACTATTGGAACCAATTTCCCAAATTGCAACTATTGCCTATATTTTTAGGAAAAAAGAATCCACAAATCTAAATCTGTAAAACGATATGTTTATTTAAAGTATGTTTTTGTGCCTGATTTCATATCTTTAAATAGCATCAAAACTAATGAATTAGCATATTTAAATTTAGGTCTTCAAATCATTAAACTTTAGTTTTAGTAAAGGAAAATCTGTTCATTAGATCAAAAGATATTTTTGGATTATCTTTTTTTTGTGCAGTGTACTATGAACAATACGAAACTAGAATGGCTGAGCATCAAAAATGTCTATTTTCTACTTTCTGACTATTTTGTTTCATAAGTATTTTATCACCTAATGATTATGCTCATAATTAATAGTGTTTTTTCTTTAACAGATTGTTCAAGCAGTTGCAATTAAGACTGAAACTGAAAAATATCGTCGTAATCAAGATGAAATTATTAACGGCTATGGGAAAACTATGGGTGCTCTGTACTGGCAACTAAATGATATTTGGCCAGCACCGTCTTGGTCCTCAATTGGTAAATAAGATATTAATCATTTAATTCGTTTATTAATTAAATTTAATTACTTTCAATTGAATCTATTTCTGTTTATTTATATCTGCGTATCTATAATTTATTTCATATGAAGTTACAATGACAAATACAGAGGTATGTCAAAGGCCTCATGAATTCAATTATGAACCTTATTCGAAATTGCTGTAAATTGATCCATGTTGTTTATAAGAAATATCAAAAAATATTTATTGAATTCCCAGTCATTTTGAGTAGGGTTACTCTTTTTTTTTAATTGCTCTGCTTTTTTAATTTTTATAAACTTCTAAAACTGCAATTTTATTTTTAATTTGAAAACAAAAATCTTACAATTGAATATTGCATTATAATCCTTTTTCTAATTTTTAAAAGTGTTATTTTGATTTATAAACTATGTTTCAGAAAAATCATAAACAATTGTATTAATGGACACTATTTTTTCTGTGAGTTCAAAAACTTTATTTGATGTCAAAAGATATAAAACATTTCGGGACTGTTTTCCTAAGTTGTTCGTTGGACATGTTCGTAAGCATGTTTTGGGAGGCAATTTTGGACTTTCCTTTTCTTAACAAAATAAACAAATCAAAAACCCTCTCCCATGCCTATGCAGGAAAGTCCCAACCACCCTTGTTTTTTTATTTTATTGTAATAATTTATTGGTAGGATTACGTTCAAATATAAGATGTAACTTTGCATAAAACAAAATTTATGTTTTCATTCATTTCACAAAATTCCCATTTGAATATTCTTTAGAAATCTTCTGTGCTTTTCCCAAATTTGACTTTAAATTAAAATTTTACTCATTAAAATTGGTTTGGGTTTTTTTTTATTTTAAAAATTAGAAAACAAATAAAGGTATTTTAATGTGTTGCATAAACATTGCTCATACCCTTCTTACCTCGTTGCCAACAAAAAAAGAAAAACAAATCACAACCCCCTCTCTCCATTAAATGCTTACAATATATTTAAACGTCCTCCTAGGCCAAAAAATTTGATGAAATTGATGATTCTGAGTCATTTGCTTGATTATTTCTTGATGAAAAAAAATTCTCTGACTTTTTTTAATCCCCTACATGTCCTCCTTCAATATTTTTTTTAAAAGATTCACCATTTTCTATTTCCTTTCCCTCAGGTATGGTGTAGGCACAAATTTATCTTGTTACTTGATTATAATGAAAGAATTTCGAAACTACCAGGATGATTTAAAAATATTGAAATTTTGTCTAATTATTTAAATTTCATTGTAATCATTATTTGTATTTTATTCTATTCTTATGTATCTCAAAATTTTTGTGTTAGCAACATTTTTTAATCATGAACAAAACAAAGAAAAAGTGTCCTTAAAAAACAATAGATATCTTTAGAACACTTAATTTAATGAAACACTTTTTCTTTATAAGGATTCATATAGTTTATTCTCTTTTTATTGCACCAGTCTTCACAGTAGATCTTTGCAAAACGTTTTGAGACGGTGTTCTTTCTAGAAAGCATTTTTGTTGTAATACATGTTTTTTGTTACCAAACAGAATATGGTGGAAGGTGGAAAATGTTGCACTATTATGCAAAAAATTTCTTCTCACCTGTTCTTGTGTCACCCTATGAAGAGAATGGAATGGCTATTGCAAAAGTGATATCAGAATTACCTACGAGTGCACCCTTGACTCTCAATGTATCTATCTATGATTGGTCACAGTTGAAACCACTATATTCACAAGAAAATTCTTTCACTCTGGTAAATAGTGCTTTTCTTTTTAATGGCAAATTATTTTAACATTTGAATTTTTTATGACATATTCTGATATAATTATTACGCACTGTCCGCAAGTGGTTTTCCATTAATCGATTTTAGGGTTATGTATTTTTTATTATTCGGGAGTGTTTAGAGGTGAAAAAAGGGCTTGACTCTAGAATTTGTAAACAAAATAAGTGTGACAGTTAAGAAGTTAACAGGGAAACAATTTTTAATGTTTTATTGTTTTACATGTGTGTATATATACATATATGTGTATATATGTGTGTGTACATACCCGGTAACAACCCCGGAATTTCCGGAGCATCTCCGGAAATTCCAGTGTACTCCGGGCACTCCGCAAAGATATACATTTTACCCGGAAAATAAACCCAGTAGCTAATTTTCACATTTTTCTTAAGATGACGTCACGTAATCCTATTCCCCGCCCCTTTCACGTCAGCTCCTTCTCCTCCCAATCGAGAACGGTGTTTCTTTTCCCCGCGCTCTTGTGGTATAGTGCTGACGTCACCGAACCTGCAGAGCTAGAACTGGTCGAATGACGTCACCATTACATTAAAACTGTGGTGCGAGCCTGTCGTGTTTACTTTTTTCTGCTGCCGACGCTAGGCTTAGTTGAAGTTAGTTGCTGTTTGAAGATAAAATCATGGCTTCCAAAAAAACATTCACAAATGTATAGAAAAGAATATTCTGTCGAATGGCCAGTTTTTTCTCGCTCGACTAAATCTATGAATCATGTATACTGTAATATTTGCAAATGCGATTTTTCTATCGCTCATGGAGGTCGAAATGACTGTTTACGGCATGTGGAGGGATCGCGCCATCGAGCGAATGGTGCCGCTTCTTCCTCCAGTAAAAGTATTAGAGATATGTTCTCTAGTTCCTCAAAAGAGAGCCNGAATACATTTTAATCTACTAATTTGTTTTTATATTTTTTATGTTTCTTTGTTTGAGCTTCTCCGCGCTTGGGGCAGCAGTTCACCCGGTCGCTGGGAGAGTATTTAATGATCTCTCCTAGAAGTTTTCTTCAGCGCAAAGTCTATGGAAAAAATTCTATGCCTCCCAAAAGTGGCCATAAATAGAGGTGGTCTTTCCTGGAGTTTTTACTGTATATGCATATATATATATATATATATACAACCACGGTCAACGCTCGTTATAATGACCTTTGTAATCATGCAAATTCAGATGTTTTATGACGTGGGGTTGTTATATTGTGAGTGCACAAAAATACCATAACTATTCACTCATAATTCAAAAATACTTGACAAATTTTAACAAATCGACTCTTCACTTTTATAACAACCCGGAAACTAACAGACAAATTGCATAGAACACAATTTTTTTCTATATAAAAGTTTGTGTAAAAGTAACCTTTAAAATAATGCTTCATAGGTAGGAAAAAAAATCATTAAAAACTGTATACCAGGGTGCTTAGAGTTTTTAAAAAGTGTTTAAAGGTATTTTTTTTTCGTTTTTTAAATGCCCTTAAACATGCTTTTCTCATTTGATGTTTTTAAAAAGGGCTTAATTTTTCTTTTTCCAAAATGGGATACTTTTTCTTTAAATTTTTCAATTTTTGCCACTAAGTAGGCAAAAAGCATGGTTTTTACAATTTCAATAGAATGTCTAATTTATGTTAAAAAATAATTTATTTTGATAATAAGGTAACAAATTCGCCACTTTATTTTTCATATATGTAGTAATTTCATTAGTTTTTTAGTTTGATTAAATAAATGACTACATAATTTATGCTGATTACTTATAAAACACTAATTTATATAGGGCAAAATTGTCACCGCGGCTCCATGGCTATTGAATGTAACAAATGGTGATTAGAAATTTAACTGCCTGCCACCAAATTATCCTCACATTTTTAGTAAAAAATGTACTCTGTGTTCATTTGTTATTTCGTTAAAAAATATGAAATTATTATTAATTTACTAATAAATTATTATTATTTTATTGATTAATATTGCATTATTGTTATTTTATTAGTAAGTAGGAAATTTTTATGAATATTTAGTACTATTCTGAAAATTACTATATTCTGCTACTACTAAACAAAACTCAGTGGTGGGACAGCTCAGAGAGGGCCAAGCTTACTGTGCCCATCTCAGTTTTCTGGACCTTGGGCTCTGGGGAGCAGGAGCAGATGTTCCGGTCATTTGGTCAGCTGAACACGGAACCCCCAGTGTTTAGTTCCCAAACATGCTTAGTATTCATTTATCGAACCACCGAAGGGATGAAAGGCTGAGTCAACCTTGCCTGGCCCAAGAATCGAACCCAGGACCAGTGGCACAGGAGCACGACGCACTATCTCTTAGCCACCGGGCATCATATTCTGCTATTATATTGTTTAAAATTTTCATTTTTTGAAAAAATGCTCTGACTGCAAGCAACTGGATATTTATTTTAAAAGGTCATTGAACAACTTGTTGTATAAAGCATTGTTGTTAAATAAAACATTGTTTCTTTGGAATGCATAGTATACGATAACAAGGCTGGTAACACATTACACTGAGGAGAGAATTTCTTGTTTCATTGATACAAATGCTTGATTTTCCCTAATTCGGGTATGGGGATTTCAAATTTAAAATTAGTTTTGAAATTATTAGTTCATGAAATAATTCTTATTTTATTAATAAATAAAAAAACTATTATTTATTAATAAATACTGAATTATTATTTTATTAGTAAATATGACATTTTTAAGAATATATAATACTATTTTGAAAATTACTATATTTTCAACTTGTTTCTCTAAATATTTCTTTATTTTCAAAATAAACCTTGTAATGTTTATCATATTTTATGAATGCTTCAAAACAAATGCTCTACTGTTTTGTTTTGTTTTTTCAAACAATTTTTTAATGGCTTAAAATTTTTAATTTTTGAAGAAATGGCCACTGTTAAAACTGCTACAGCTGGCCAGCTGCAAAACTCCTTCATTTTACTCTGTGCTAATTCCACTCTATGGCAAACTNTATTTTTGTGTTATTTGCATTTTCTTAAACTCTCATTATTTAATTACTGAATTTCTCTTTTAATTATTGAAATCTGTAGACCTTTCATTGTAACTGAATAGTTATATATTTTGAGATGAAATTTGAGCTCAAAATAAAATGGGTATTTTCCCTTTTGAATTACTGAAACTAAATAGATATTTCTTTTTAGAAAGTTAACACCATTATATTTTAAAAAATAAGAAAGTTAAAATTTACTTTGTAAAATTCTGGAACAGATACTATTCATTGGCATAAATGATAAATGCAATATATATGAAAACAACAGAGTCCATAAAACAATTTTGTGGACTCTTATAATCAATCATATGCAGGTTTTTTAAAATCCTAGCAATAGTGAATGTATGTATAATTGTAGTACTCCTAGTATGCTATTAATGGTTTTATGGATCCTGAAAATTATCTTTATATTGTTATCAAACTGATTAATAATCATTTTAGCTGAGATAAACTGAGTGAAAAAAATAATTTTAGCCGAGACAAACTGAGCCAAAAAGAGATTTTAACTGAGACGAAATGCAATTTCTGGTGAGACAATTTGATACTTTGCGAGTAGCATCCCTGATATATATATACACAACCGCGGTCAACACTCGTTATAATGACTTTTGTAATCATGTAAATTCAGATGTTCTATGATGTGGGGTTGTTATATTGTGAGTACACTATAACTATTCACTCATATTTCAAAAATAGTACTTGACAAATTTTAAAAAATTGACACTTCACTTTTATAATAATTTGAAAACAAACAGAAAAAGTGCATAGAATGCAATTTTTTTTCTTTATAAAATTTTGTGTAAAAGTACTCTTTAAAATAATGCTTCATAGGTAGAAAAAAAAACATTAAAAACTATATATCAGGGTGCTTAGAGTTTTTAAAAAGTGCTTAAAGGTACTTTTTTTCGTTTTTTAAATGCCCTTAAACCTGCTTCTCCCATTTGATGTTTTTAAAAAGGGCTTAATTTTTCTTTTTATCGAAATGAGATACTATTTCTTTAACACGTCAATTTTTACAATTTCAATAGAAAGGCCAGGATAGCACGGTTGGTAAGGCATTGGCTCCATGTCCAAGAGGTCGTGGGTTTGATCCCAGCTGGCCGAAGACTCCCCGCGTTGTAAATGGTGACTCATGCACATTAAATCTGTCGAGTCGCAAAATCCTCCATGTTCCCATAACAAATCAGTACCTCTGGGGGTACTGGTCCAGGAGTTTCTTTGTCTTCTAGATTGGTTAAAAATTACAAGGCTACGGTGTTGAACGTTAGTAGTCGTAAACCCAAAATTGGGTCGGCTGTAACAAATGGTGTAGAATGTAACAAATGGTGTTTAAAAATTTGACTGCCAGCTACCAACTTATCCTCACATTTTCAGTAAAAAATATATTCCGTGTTCATTTGTTATTTCCTTACAAAATATGAAATTAGTATTGATTTACTAATAAATTATTATTTTTATTGATTATTATTGCATTATTGTTATTTTATTAGTAAATAGGAAATTTTTATGAATATATTTAGTACTATTCTGAAAATTACTATGTTCTGCTACTACTAAACTGAACTCAGTGGTGCGACAGCCCAGAAAAGGCCATAGCCTACTGTGCCCATCTCAGTTTTCTTGACCTTGGGCTCTAAGGAGCAGGAGCAGATGAACGTGGTCAGCTGAACGTGGAACCCCCAGTGTTTAGTTCCGAAGCATGCTTGATACTCATTTATCAACCCACTGAAGGGATGAAAGGCTGAGTCAACCTTGTCTGGCCCGAGGATCGAACCCAGAACCTGTGGTACGAGAGCGCGAAGCACTTCCTCTTAGCCACATCATATTCTGCTATTATATTGTTTAAAATTTTCAATTTTGAAAAATTTGTTCACTGTTAAAAATGCTCTAATTGGCAACTGGATACTTATTTTAAAAGATCATTGAACAACTTGTTGTATAAAACATTGTTGTTAAATAAAACAATTTTTTAAATGAAACATTGTTTCTTTGGAATACATAGTATATGATAACAAAGCTGGTAACACATTACACAGAGGAGCGAATTTTTTGTTCCCTTTATACAAATCCTTGATTTTCCCTAATTTGGGTATGGGGATTTCAAATTTAAAATTAGTTTTGAAATTATTAGTTCATGAAATAATTCTTATTTTATTAATAAATAAAAAATTAGTATTTTATTAATTAATACTGAATTATTATTTTATTAGTAAATATGACATTTTTATGAATATTTAATACCATTTTGAAAATTACTATATTTTCAACTTGTTTCTCTAAATATTTCTTTTCGAAATAAAAATTGTAATATTTATCATATTTTATTAATTCGTCAAAGCAAATGCTCTACTGTTTTTTTTTAAAGATTTTTTTAACAATTTTTTAACTGCTTAAAATTTTTAATTTTTGATAAAATGGCCACTGTTAATACTGCTGCAACTGGCCTGTTGCTAAACTTCCTCATTTTACTCTGTACTAATTCCACTCTGTGGCAAACTGTTAATCAATTCACAATTGTTTTGATTAATGATATTTAATAATGTTAATTTATATATTTTTTAATTAATTTCAATTTATATATTTTTTAATTATTAATTTTAATTAATATATTTTTTTTAGTAATTTTAATTAATATAATTTTTTTAGTAATTTTAATTAATGTAATTTATTTTTATTTAATTTTAATATAATTTTTCTATTAATTAATTTAAATTACTATAATTATTTTCAGTTGCCTAAATCCTCCCAAGTTGTCTTTCGACATAATATAGATGGACCTGATGGTTTACTCTCCAAGAGTGGTTGCCTCAGCAGAAACCATTGCTTTGTGAGTTTTAATCTATATGAGAGTGAAGGCTTATCTCTAGCATCATCTAACACACTTCTACTCAGTGAATTTAACAGTGCAGTGGGGATGCAGAAGCCTAATCTAACAATAGTAAGCCATTTCATTTATCACAAATCTTAATTGCAATAACATGATTTTTTTTTCTCCTTTCCTCAAAAACCTTACAAGTTTCAATATTTGTGAATTCCATGATGCCAAACCAAGTAATTTTGCATCTGACTTTGGATTTTGTTAGATTTCTGCAATGATTTACTTTTTCTACCCTTCACTGTTAAGTTGTGATCCTCAATATATGATAAATAAAAATATTGTATTTAAACGATTATTTCTAAACACATGTTATGTATAAAAATTTTCAAATATATAAACAATTTATCAAATTATATTAAAATGATAATTTTGTATAAAGCAAAAAAAAATTTTATAAAGCTCAAATGAATCTACGAAAATGGACATACTATAATTTCGGTTCTATAAGCAATAACCTTCCTCAGTCTCTAAACACAAGACATCATTTTGTGTTGAAACACTGTTAATGATTCTAAGTGGTTGTTTATAGAACTGGAACAATAATATGTCCATTTTTTAAAACTTAAAGATATTTAGCTATATAGTTATACTATAGGTATATTATAGGTATACTATTGTTAAAGATATTTAACTAAAATATACCTTATTTCTGCTTCATTTACGTTGTTTTGCCAATGTTCCGATGCATACACTTGGACTATTTTGACCCTATCTTCATACAACCTACTCAAAACATACCCTACTTTCGTTTGAAGAATAATTTTGACCATAGTAAAAATTAATTCTGAAGTTTAAAAAAAACAAATTTTCTAAGATATTTTCTTCTGTGTTTTTCTAGTTTTAACTAGCTTTCATGAATTCAAGAATTAAGTAAAAATTATGAGTTTTATAATAGCTTCTTTTTTTAAATTTTCAGACTTCTATCAGTGGACCATTTAAAACGGAGAGTTCAGATTGTTCCTACAAGATTTCCCTAACAACAGATTATGTGGCACCATTTGTTTGGTTAGAGATGTCGGATATACCAGGGAGATTTTCTGAAAATGGATTTTTCTTAATCAATTACAAAGCTGATGTTACATTTTATAGTAAAAACTGTCCTAAAAAATCTGATATTACTGAAAATTTAACTGTTATGTCTCTGAAAAATACTTGTGCCAATAGATAATTATAGGTTTATAATAGTTTAAAAAAAATTATAAATTTAAATAGTTAAGACATTTATTATAAATGTATAATAAGTCAAAACTTTTACTTAAAATGTGTCAATTTAGTTAAACCAGAAAATTGCCTTTGAGATACTCATTGTTTGTGACATATTAATGGCAGAAATATTTCTGTCATTTTTAACTTGACCTACATCTTTTAAAATAACTTCTTTTTAGAAATCATACTTAGGTAGAACTAAATAATAACTTATATTTTTTACAATGAATATCTAGAATATTTGTTTCTACTTATGATTTGCAGCATTTCTACAAAAATTTAACTTCTTCTACTTGATTTTCTCGTTTGTTTTATTTGATGTCTGTGGCTTTATTCATCAAAATATATTATTAATAACAACAATGTCTTACATATACATATGTTGTGTAAGTTATGTTAACTTCACAAAACATTAAGTTTCCCTTAATTGTTCAACTTTTTTTTTTACAATCTTTTTAAACATTGTTTTATATAGATATCTTAGTATTAATGGTCATGTTAACTATTTACGGAACATAAATATTCCCTTACATTAGACTATTTTTCTCCTTTTTTTTATTTTTTAATAGTTTTTTTTTAATATATCTGATATACATATATTTTATGGTCATATTAACTATTCAAAAAACATTAGCTTTATCTTACTGTCTTCCTATTTCTTTTTTTTTTTTACTATGTAGAATATTTTGCTCACACATAAAATTTCTAGTCATGTAATTATTCTTATTAAGGTCAAATTAGCTGTTCTTAACTTAAGAATCATATGTTATATTTTTGCTTTATTCATTTAAAAGCTCATTTTTTAAATAGTTTTGTAATTTTATCTTTCATTGGTTTATTTTTCTTAATTTTATTCACTCGTTTCTCAACTTTTTTGGATATTTTTACTTAAAAATATTTTATCGATCTGGAATGTTCCACTTATACATTTGTTTTTTGGTCTTTTTGTATATTTATTTTAATTAAGGTTATTATTGGTTCACATTTTTTATTAGTTTTGTAACATTGAATTATTTAAATATTTCCTTTATTTTCTGCCTTATCAATTTCATCTATGCTGAATATAAGTTATTTTTTATTTAATTAGTTTATTTTCTTTTTAAGAATTAAATCAAATAAATGAATGAATTTATTTTTAGAAAGCAAATTTCTTTTCATAAAAAATTATTATGAAGATTGCCATGATTATTATGAAGCTGCTATTTAAACTTATTTTTGATGCTATCAATTTATCATTTTTATGATGCTATTTATTTGTTAGAATTATTTTTATTTCAAGACTTAATTTTTATCTTAAACCAACTAAAATATAGTTTTTTTTTTAATCCAACAGGCAACATTCTTGTCAAAAATATATATAGAAACAACGAGCTTTAACATGTGTCTTCACATTTTAATTTACTATTGTTATGCCCGAAAATTTATAAACTGAATTTCAGTATTCAACTAAATTTCCATTTTATATCTACTATTGTTAAAGGGCTGTAGTTATAAATCTAAGTCTCAATAAATACATTTCCTCAGTTGTAAAAAAGAAGTTGGTCCATGTGACTTTACATTATTGTATGCATTTTAAATAAAATAAAATTTTATTCTTTTGGAATTTTCTAAATTAAAGTTTTGATAAAATGAGGGTTTTTTTAAGTAAGGGCTGTTTTGTTGTGTATGCCAAAACGTGAATCGTGTGTCGCAACGAGTGCTTGGCAACAGAGCTTAGTTACAGCTGTGTAGGTAAATTTTACGATCAGTTCTGTGTTGTTAAAATGTTCAAATAAAAAAATCGCCCACAATGCATGAAATAGATTGAACAATGATGCCTTTTTTATCGGCAAAAAACCAGTCTGCTGCATACATTTACGTATGCGTATAATTCATATGGCAGTTATAAGTTTAGCAGTCTCGATTGTTTGAAAAAAAAGCAACATCCTAATAACGTGACCTCTTGGTTACCGGAGCAAGCGGTAAGTTTGTATGAAGAGGGTATTCTAAATCTAGTTGTAAGGTATGATAAGTGTTTGAACAAATTTGGCAACTATGCTGGAAAAAAAAGATAATATGTAGAATTGATTGTATGCAGAATCTGAAAGTAAATTTACATCTTGATAATTTTCTTTCGTTTGGTTTTTATTTTCAAACGGCCCTTACTTAAAAAACGATCCTCGTATCATTTAATTCGTTAATCAATTCTTTAATTTATATATTTAAAAATTTTATTCATTTTTATAGCTTTGTCGTATGTAAATCAAAATTATATTTAAGCAAAGCAAAAACGAAAAATGGTATTTTAATCTAGGAAATTATTATTTAGGAAGATGGGCTTAAAACATATATACAGAACATAACGTTGTTAACATTCTGTGAATAAATGTTTCTTACATAGACTTTTTTCTTTTATAAATTTCAGATATTTTTTCAATTATTTAAAGGTTTCTGCACATAAAATTTTTGGTTTCAGCCTTTTTTATTTTTTTTTTAACCTAACTGTGGTATGAATCAGTATAGAATTCTATAAAAATTAAACATTTTGCAAAAAGAATCAATGATTTTCAAACGAATTTCGCGAAAATGGTGACGAAAGGATTGATTACAAAAGAGTTAATCAATGCTTGCTGAAAGTTTTTCATTTTATTTAACTCTGTCAGATTTTTATTGTGCTTTATTTTTTCAGTAATGATGTCTAGAATTTTAAACTAAAAATTTTAATGTGCATTCCTGGTAATTTAAGGATTAAATCTTAAGGCGAAGATTTCAAATATATCCTTCTCTCAGACTTTGAAGGCCTTTGTGATTGAATTAGTTGTTTTTATGAACGGTTTCAAATTCATCTTGAATCCTTTCACAAATCTTGCATATGTGCATGCTGAAAATAAAGTTCTATGTGAGGAGACCTCTTATTACAGCCCTGAATTAAAATTTTACATTTACCTGTAATCGTAGTATTAAATGTATGTATTGTTATGTAATTATTTTATGAAATAAATATTCTGTCGATTAATTTCGAATTCTGTCAACATTGCTGATGTGCTTACAATATTTGCGCATTTATTGAGTTCAGTTAAATCCTCCAATATCCAGTTATTTGGAACACTTTTTCCTCTCTGGTTGTTTACCTTTTTCAAATAAAAATTCATACACATCTGTGATCGATACTAGTCTTCCTATTTTCTGTATCAGACGTAGTTTCTTGCCCTCTTTAGTTTATTTCTTAAAAAAACTAGTTTGCTGTAAGAGTTTAGGTGGGATAAAATTGCATCAAGCCTTCTTGCCATTCAATTCATTCACTTTTATCCAGTATCTGGGGTTCAATGTTTGAGAAAATATTCTTTAAAATTCACAATTTATCTAACTAATGAAATTTGCATTATATGAGCACATCACAATCATATATGAGTATCATAACAACAATTACTCTTCAAGAATCGACCCACTGAAGGGATGAAAGGCTTAGTCAACCTTGTCCGGACTGGGGATCGAACCCAGGACCTGTGGCACGGGAGCGCTACCACTCAGCCACCGGGTGGATTCTTATTCACGCAATTTTAATATTAATCATCGATTTCCATATTTACCTGATTTAAAAGTTGCGCATTTTCTTATTTAAGTTATTGAAATATCGTACATTATGATTCTTATTTACAAGATTTAAAAATCCAATATCCCGTTTTGTATTCATGCATTTTTAAAATTGCGATTTTATTATCAAACATCGATTTTCGTATATTTACCTTTTTCAAAAGTTGAACGTTGCGATTCTTATTCAGGCGATTTAAATATCTTACATTGCGATTCTAATTTACGAGATTTAAAAGTACAATATCGCGATTTGTATTTACGCCCTTTTAAAGCCCTATGTAGTGATTCGTATTCACACGAGCTTAAAATCTATTGTCGTGATTCGTTTTTGCGGTTGTAATATCAAACATCGATTTTCATATTTATACATGCTTTAAAAATTAAACATTGGCTTTCGTGATTCGTATTTACGTGATCAAAAAATTACGCAGCATGATTTGTACTTTCGCATTTTTTTAATTCGATATACAGTTTCATATTCATGTGATTTAAAAGCCTCATCTCGGGATTCACATTTTCTCAATTTAAAATTATGCATGCCATTCACATTCATACATTCATACCATTTTAAAATTAATCATCTGGATTTATAATCGCATGGTTTACAAGTTTAAGAATCTCACTTTTTTTTTGTCAAATTTTTGGATATATATATATATTCATTCATTCATTCTTGGATTTCCTCTTTTTTACTTTCTGACCACTCTCATCCCTGCTAATGGTACTAGCATTATTGTTTCCTGAACGATGCAAGCAAAATGTATAGCCCTATTCAATCAAAATTGCAAGAACTTTCTTACGTAAACAAATTAATTTACACAGAACTAAAAATAATAAAAAAAGTATATGAAATTAAAAATTTTAAAAATGTTTTTCATGCTGACTAAAAAAAGACGTTAGGCGCATCCTCTTTTTTTTTATTTTTATTAATGCTGAAAATTATCTCTTTCATTTTTTATAAGTGATGTTTCAATTCCCTGCGCTTTTCATTTTAGGTCTGACAGAAATAAAATTATTTCTCCTTTTCAGTCTACTTGAGAAACAAGTTTTAAAAAAAAAATTATATTATGTAAATACATATTTCATGACCTCAAAATGCCCTTTCCGTACTCATTTCTTCTTCAGTTGTTCTGTTTTATTTTTATTCCCTATTATATCAAGTGTCATTTGATTTTGTTACTTAAAGGGCAAACTACGAGTTTCATTACCTAAGTTCGGAATGGCATAGACACAGTGGTCATTTCACAATTTTAAATTATTTGTTCAATCCATTCCAGATCCCTTAAAAGAAGAGAGGGGGGAGAAATTGAATAATGGTAACGCTAATTTCAAATTAACAAATTTACTTAAAGATTCAATTTCAGAATTTTTTTTTTTTTTTTTTTGGTTGAAACATACAAATTTTGAAACGTTCTATACAACAGAGAGTTGCATAAATGTTAGGACAAACTTTTAGGCGATCACGTCATCAGGATAATTATTTTAAAAGTTCATTGTTGTTATATTGAATAAAACATGGTTTCTTTGGAATGCTTAGTATTGGAAAACAAGGCTGGTAACACTGTGGTGTGAATTTTTTGTTATATTTATACAAATGCTTGATCTTGTCTAATTCGGGTATGAGGATTACAAATCTGAAATTAGTTTTGCTTCTGCATATTTTTTTTAAAGGACATTTTTTTTTTGTCTGAATCTACAAGTTCAGAAAAAAAACTATATGTAGCAAGGGATCACGTAAGTATGACAAACTTCGAGGTGAGTTAGGGCGCAACATTGGGATTACAATTGCATGGGAACTCATGCTCAGTAGTGTCATCGTACGTGCTGACTAAAAGCGCTTTCTTATTATGACTTTTTCAGAAGCACATTATTTGGTTATCAAAATGGGCTACAGGGGATGAAGAGCAGAACCCACGGCAACACTTCGTATGCTTTCACCATTGGTGTGTGGAGAGTCGTAGGAGAAGGAAGTACGTTAGTTTCTACCTTCATTTTCAAATAGATTAAAAACTTTTAAATTTGGAACCGAAAATTACGTTGAATATAGTTTTAAAAGAAAACGTCATGGAAATTTAAAAAAAATATTTTTGGCAAGTAAATACGAAATAATTATCAAAGGGGAAAATATCGTAGTACATTCTTACACAACTTGGAAGAGGAGGGGGGAGGATCAAAACATGGAGTCTGTCTTTCCCCCAGACAAAACGGTCTTTTCCCCCAGGATTGGATTATTCGATCACGAATAAATAATTTATGATATTTAAGCACTTCTTGCGGAGAATGACGACATTATCGGACATTGGTTCCAATGTAATTTTGATCGTGATGATATGTACATACCTTAACTCCACTAAAGTTAGTCGCAACATTTTACGTGACCACCTGTAGTGTATAAGGTTTTTAAAATTGTACATAACGACAAAAAATAGACTAAAAATGTCATTAAAAATATATAGCTTGGATAGAAAGCCAATTGCTGGTTTAAAATTAGCTTTGTGAAAAGATCCAAGTTCCGTTAATAAAACTCATGCAACAGAAAACAAAAGAAAAATTTTTTTCCTGTAGTATTTAAAAAAAATAATTAAAGAAAAACGGGTAAAAAATGCATGGGTTCTTGCCTTTTCCTTCAGTAACTACAGAATTTACTTTCCTCACGTTTAAAAACTTATTACGAAACTTGCCAACGGATAGCACAGCTAGTTGTGAAAATAAAAAGGGGAAAAAACAATGTCTCAGAAAAAATAACATTTGCTGTAACAATATCTGTGAGGACAAAATTACAACAGTCAACCTTACAAATATTTTAATTAAACTGGTCAAAGATGCATCAGAAGGAAACATTGTTTTACAGTTTTGTAGAGAGCAAAATCTGTTGGTGAATTTTTGAGTGAACTTTTCCTTCCACTTTAGTTAAATTAATTTTCAACTCATCAGTTATTTTTTCTACATATTATTTTTAATCTAAATTTTTAATGCAAATTCGCGAACAGTTTTTCTTTTCCTTCCTCTCCAGTTTAACACATCGGTTATTTTTTTTCTACTTATGGTATTTAATTTAATAATTTAGTGAAAATTCATGTAGTCTATCTGGTCAATCTATTTTTACTCCTTAAAAATTTTCAGACATCGCAGATAGAATGTTTTATTGATGTCAAGATTTTTTTTTAATTGTTATATTGATAAAATTGTTTCTAATATTATTAATTGTCAGGATTTTTTACATTCTTTTCAAGTTTTTTCTTTAAATTTTCATTTTATACAGTTCTATTTTTGTTCACGTTATTTTTTTCTAACCAATTTATGTTTTTTACCTACATTAATATGCCAATCTTTGGGCGTCGATGGGAAGGAGGGGTAGGAGGTATAGATTCTCAATAATTGGAAATTCCTGGAGAAAAAACCCTCAATATTTCAGATAAATATTGAAGGTGTTAGCGAATTAGTTACATTAAATTCTTTAAAGTTAAAGACAAGAAGAAGATAAAACTGAATGATCTCTCCGAAGGTATTTTGTACATTTAGATTTTTTTTCTTCTCTTGTGTGAAATTCAAAAAATTCTTGTGACTATGTATTTTAATTTCGTCTTCTCAAAAATTGGGGCCCTTTAACCTACAGGGTGCAAAAGGAATGAAAATAATTTAATCGTAAGTGAGATCACATGGCCGTTATTTATTAAAACTTATTAATAAATTCTATTTTTTCTCTTGTTGTTTTTTCTAACTAAATTGTGTTTTTCTCTTATTAATGGGCAAATGGTATACAACAGAAATATTAATCAATCAATTACAAAACTGAAATATTAATCAA